GGTCTGTAGTTTTTGTCGGAGCAGAATCAAAGTGGTTTCCTGAAGTCTTTCCTCTTCAGACCAAACACAGAGATAAGTGTGTGTGATAAACGCCGCAACAACAGAAATAGAGTTTTATCACTTTGTAACTCTGGAGGTGACAGTTATTTTAGTTTTTATGAAGTTCTGATGTGTTTTATTGATTTATTAAACTAAGCCGACAACAAAAGGTCACGACAGCCGAAAAAAGGAGATTTAATAGTTATAACTTTAGTCACTTTAGTCACTGTGTGTGTGTGTCTGAGTGTGCGTGTGTGTGTGTGTGTGTCTGAGTGTGTGTGTGTGTGTGTGTGTCTCTGAGTGTGTGTGTGTCTGTGTGTGTGTGTGTGTGTGTGTGTGTGTGTGTCTGAGTGTGTGTGTGTGTCTGAGTGTGTGTGTGTGTCTGAGTGTGTCTGTGTGTGTGTGTGTGTGTGTGTGTGTGTGTCTGAGTGTGTGTGTGTGTCTGAGTGTGTGTGTGTGTCTGAGTGTGTGTGTGAGGCTGTAGACCCAGGACTGAGGCTGTAGACCCAGGACTGAGGCTGTAGACCCAGGACTGAGGCTGTAGTTCCAGGACTGAGGCTGTAGACCCAGGACTGAGGCTGTAGACCCAGGACTGAGGCTGTAGACCCAGGACTGAGGCTGTAGACCCAGGACTGAGGCTGTAGACCCAGGACTGAGGCTGTAGACCCAGGACTGAGGCTGTAGACCCAGGACTGAGGCTGTAGATCCAGGACTGAGGCTGTAGATCTGTCGCTCCGTTTGGAACTTTTGCCCATTCTTCCTGTAATCAGCACTAATCTTAGAGAAACTCGTGCCAATTCCAGATCATACTTTGTAAATACAGATCATATTCTTTTACGACTCTCACATCACTCTTCAAATGTTCACTTCTGAGAACAATGATCTGGAGCTGCTTCAACATATAATTGTTTAATATGAAATGTTTTAAGGGTTGTAACAAATCATGGCCACAAGATGGCACTGCGTCCAGCGACAGCTGTCCCACAGAGAAGGGTTCAAGACATCACAGACTATGAACCTATGAGAGTGACACCTCTGTTGAACTGAATGTATTCTTTGTTCACTGTGAGGCCCTCAACAAATCCCCATCAGCAGCTCCTCCAGAAGACCAGTTTCTGTCTTATTTTACCATCGTATTCTTTCTGTCCCTTTTAGAGACCTGGCCACAGTGATCCATGAAGTCTGTGGTCTTTGCACTGAACCAGGTTTGATGTTTTTCATGTTTTTCAGATCCACTGGTGCTGAAGGCTGTAGCCGAGGGCGTGTTGTTTGGGGAAAGCCGTCTTTGTTAGTCTCTGGAATCTACACGTGTCAAAGAAAATACATTGCAAATATTTGTTTATATATTTTTTATTGCCATCACTGAGATGGGAGCGGGGTAAACAACAGGAGGCACATGCCAGACCTATTGTACATGTGAACCCAGGACCTTCTTAATGAGCAGTTAACCACTCAGCCACTCTGCCAGTTGTAATGAGTTAGTTTTTACAGAAGTTTAGATGTTTTTATTCGTAACAAGTTTCGAGAGCAGAGCCTCGAGCGTCTTCAGAACTGTCACCCGCTTTGGTCACGTGTCAGTCCTCGGCACAGAGAAGCACAGTCACATTCCCACACACCAGAGGGCGCCGTTTCAGATCTCTGCAGGAGAATTAACCACATCATGGATCGGGACGAGGGTCAAACCCTGGATCAACAGCACCAACCGAGATGAGGGAGCCTTCCTCCTGTCGCACACATGGGACACCCTCCTCCAGAGACCACCGGGCGAGAGGGGGCGTGGTCAGTCAGAGCGACCTGTCAGTCAATCAGGCTGACCCCGCCCACTGAGGAAGTAACATCAGCTGATGAGTGACCCGTGACCAAGGCGGGTGACAGTTCTGAAGACGCTCGAGGCTCTGCTCTCGAAACTTGTTACAAATAAAAACATCTAAACTTCTGTAAAAGCTAAGGGTGTATTCAGACCTGCACATTTGCTCCACTTTAAACGAACCAGGATTCGTTTGGAACTCTGATCCGAACCTTATATGCAGGTCTGAATACACACAAACGAATCCTGGTCCGGACCAACGAACAGAACCGAGACCCACTTTTTGAGGTGGTCTCGGTCCGCTTCCAAACGAATTCTGGTCCAAGTCGAATCAGGTCTGAATACATCCGGTGTCGATCCGACACAACTCCAAGATACGTGCGCATTTTTTGGGCTTAACAAGCCGCAGACAGAAACTGAGGAATTAGCCACGCAGCGGCTAACTATGATGCTAACTATGATGCTAACTATGATGCTAACTATGATGCTGAGCCGTGTGCAGACCTGGAGCAGTGAGGAGACGCTGTGCAACAGGCTTATGGAGTTACAACTGTTCACAGTTTACAGTGATGTTAATGGCAGCATCTTCAAACCATTTGCATTATTAAAAGCCTGACACTGTTTGACTCACGTCTCAAACATTATTAAAAACCTGACACTGTTTGACTCACGTCTCAAAGAGCAATATTCCGCATCATGTAGTGAACTGTGTTCTTTGGTTCCTACCTGATCCTCAGCGTCTGTTTGTCCCGTGGTTATTATAGATCCATGGTTTATCCACATGCTGCTGTCAGTAAGTTGTGGAACAGGGTTATTATAGATCCATGTGTGGGACAGAGTTATTATCATAGATCCATGTGTGGGACAGGGTTATTATCATAGATCCATGTGTGGGACAGAGTTATTATCATAGATCCATGTGTGGGACAGGGTACAGAGCGCACAGTCTCCTTCGGCTTTCTCCGACGCTGTTCCAATATTTAAAACAAGGTGTTTGGCCTGTGTCATATGAGCTGCTGTTGATGTTGAAGGTGGTTTTGGTCTAAAAAGAGCAAACATAGGCAGAGCAGACTGCTGCACATACGAGCCCTCAATGTTTTTCTCCGGTTCCGCATCTATCCTCTGTGAGCTCTCTCTGTCCAATAGGAGCCGATCGTCACACGTGTCGATATGTTTATATAAAAAAGTTCACTTGCAAAAAATACAGTCTGAATACGAACCGGAGCAAAATAAAAAAGTTTGGTCCGCTTTTGATTCGGATCAAGCAAGCGGAGCAAAGGACTTTTCAGGTCTGAATGCACCCTTACTCATTACAACTGGCAGAGTGGCTGAGTGGTTAACTGCTCATTAAGAAGGTCCTGGGTTCACATGTACAATAGGTCTGGCATGTGCCTCCTGTTGTTTACCCCGCTCCCATCTCAGTGATGGCAATAAAAAATATATAAACAAATATTTGCAATGTATTTTCTTTGACACGTGTAGATTCCAGAGACTAACAAAGACGGCTTTCCCCAAACAACACGCCCTCGGCTACAGCCTTCAGCACCAGTGGATCTGAAAAACATGAAAAACATCAAACCTGGTTCAGTGCAAAGACCACAGACTTCATGGATCACTGTGGCCAGGTCTCTAAAAGGGACAGAAAGAATACGATGGTAAAATAAGACAGAAACTGGTCTTCTGGAGGAGCTGCTGATGGGGATGTGGACTTTGAAGCGCTTTGTGTTTCCCTGTGTATGAAAGGCGCTCTACAAATAAACTTTGATTGACTGATTGGTTATTGATTTGAGAATCATAACGAGACCTTTTTTAGTTCTGCGCCACATGGTACTTTACCAGTGAGATTAGCTCCACATGGTGAGTTCTGGCGCCCGGATCACAGACTTTCTGATTGGTGAAACGGTGGAGGGCGGGACATCGAAATGAAAACAATAACAAGATTTAGAGGCTGGAAAAGTAATTAGATAATTGGAATATCTCGTACTGGAAAAGAGCAGGTTTTATTAGTGCCTTTTAACAGTTTAGGGCCCTTTAATTATTACTCTAAAGAACATTTAACATATTACTACTTTAAAAACAAGATTTGCCAAAGGGACAAAGCAAAATGATACAAGAAAATACCTATTTTTGGAACGGCTTTGTCCCGTTGGTAAATCTTGTTTTAACTCAGTCACAACCATCTTAAGACAAAAAACACTCAACTCAAACATTTATTACCTCATATTTAAAAAAAAAAATTCAGTTTAGAAAAGATCTGGCTCTAATTCCCCGGTGTCTGGACGGTCTGTGGCTCTGCGTCTATTTTTAAAACCATAAATGTTGTTGTGACAGGTCCTGGTGCGATTCTGTGACTGCGAGAAACCAGACACATCACCAAACTTTCACTTCCATTATTCCCTTTGTGTCAAGGAATTTAGTTTGGTTTTTGGGTATTTCCAAAATGTTTGTTTTAAAGATCAGGTGGAAGTGCATTGTTTAAAAGTCTGTTGATTTTTGGGGGTGAAATAATTAGATTTGAACACATTCCAATAGAAATAACCATGATCTCATTCATTAAACATATTTACTGTAGCATAATAAAGAAGTTAGTATAAAATCTCTACATTTTGTACATTCTGAAGAACATCATTTTTAAACCTACATTTGGTTTAATTATGTAACAACATCCATGAGAGCTGTTCCCTCTCTCCAAACAGTTGCATGTGTCTTTGGCCTCTGACACAGATCAGTTTTTACAGACAGAAACGTGACCAGCTTCAGGCAATCAGCCCAAAGAGTCGAATAGTGACTCACAGGGCTCTTTCTTACCCAAAAGTAAAAGATAAAGAAAGATTTCCAATGTGATGCAGACTGGTCACAAATACTACCACAACATTGTAAACAGAACTTAGTCTCAGTCATTTGTATCAACTTCTATTGTTTACCTTTTTGTAATCAATCAAAAAATTCATGCAGATATGTATTATGAACTGGACTCGTGATCGTCTTGTTCAGAACAGTGAGGATCAGGACGTGCTCTGGCTGATGGTGCTGAGACCCTCAGTCCCTCTCTGTCCCACTAGAGGGCAGTGTGGCCCAATGATAGAACTCTATAGAGGCTTCTGTGGCGCAGAGAAGACACTGAAGCAGTCTCTCCTCTGCGCCACAGTACAACATGTTAGTGCCATTAACCAACTCTGAGGAGCACAGGGACTGGCCCCCTGCTGGGACTCTGAGGAGCACAGGGACTGGCCTCCTGTTGGGACGTAGAGGAGCACAGGGACTGGCCTCCTGCTGGGACTCTGAGGAGCACAGGGACTGGCCTCCTGTTGGGACTCTGAGGAGCACAGGGACTGGCCTCCTGCTGGGTCTGAGGAGCACAGGGACTGGCCTCCTGCTGGGATTCTGAGGAGCACAGGGACTGGCCTCCTGCTGGGACTCTGAGGAGCACAGGGACTGGCCTCCTGTTGGGACTCTGAGGAGCACAGGGACTGGCCTCCTGCTGGGTCTGAGGAGCACAGGGACTGGCCTCCTGCTGGGACTCTGAGGAGCACAGGGACTGGCCTCCTGCTGGGTCTGAGGAGCACAGGGACTGGCCTCCTGCTGGGACTCTTGTGAACATTCTACTGTAAAGAATGTTCACAAGAAGTGGCGAAAATCCAATCTCCAGGTTGATCATGATATCTTCAAAAATGAGTTGTGCAAGTTTAACAGGGTGCTACGTAGAACAAGAGAAATGTATTTTTCTAAAACCATTGATGGCTGCAATAATAATCTACGACTTATGTTTTCAACAGTTAACGGATTAACAAACCCCCCTGTTCAGCTGCCATTCGAATTTGCTTCAGAATCTAAATGTAATGAGTTTGCACAATTTTTCAATGACAAGGTTCAGAGCATCAAAAACGCCATCACCTCCAAGGCAGAAATAACATTACAACAGCCGGTGAGGCTGTTTGAGCTATCGCACTTTGCACCAACAGATAATGAAACTGTCCAAGATGTTGTCTCTAGCCTTAGTTCCTCCACATGTAGCCTGGATGTACTACCCACTAAATTTTTTAAGTCTGTTTTGAGCAGTCTTTTACCTTCGCTCACACAAATAGTGAACATGTCTCTTTCATCTGGAACATTTCCAATGGCCCTGAAAACGGCAGTCATCAGACCCCTCCTAAAAAAGAGGAGTCTAGATGCCACAGTTCTTAAGAATTATCGCCCCATTTCAAATCTGCCGTTTATGGGAAAAATTCTGGAAAAAGTTGCTTACCAACAACTTACAGAATTCTTAGTAACTAATAGTTCGTTTGATGCGCTCCAGTCCGGCTTTAGAGCCAATCACAGCACTGAGACTGCACTAGTGAAGGTTACAAATGACATCCGACTTAACACCGACACAGGAAAAGTCACAGTTTTAGTAATGTTGGATCTGAGTGCTGCGTTCGACACAGTCGACCACGAGATCCTCATGCAGAGACTAGAGCACTGGGTGGGTGTCACTGGGACTGCCCTAAGTTGGTTTAGGTCTTACCTAGAAGACAGGAAATACTTGGTTCAGATAGGAAACTGTGTCTCAGATCATATGGCTCTGACCTGCGGAGTGCCACAGGGATCAATTCTGGGGCCTCTTCTGTTCAATATTTACATGCTGCCGTTAGGTCAGTTAATACGCTCCAACAATGTATCCTACCACAATTACGCTGATGACACTCAAATTTATGTCTCACTTACTGCAGGAGAACATGGACCAGTGGAATCACTCCTTCACTGTACTCAACAGATTAGTGATTGGATGCAAAATAACTTCCTTCAGCTAAACGCAGACAAAACAGAATTGATTGTCTTTGGTCCTCAGAAACAAAGAGAGAGCGTTATTCGTCACCTCCAGTCTCTCTCCCTGGAACCTGTAGGCAAGGTCAGAAACCTGGGAGTTATAATGGACTCAGACTTAAATTTTAACAGTCATATCAAATCAGTAACATCAGCAGCATTTTACCATCTGAAAAACATTGCCAAAATTAGAAACATAGTGTCTAAATCAGATCTGGAGATTCTCATCCATGCATTTGTCTCCAGTAGGTTAGACTACTGCAATGGCCTGCTCACAGGTCTCTCCAAACAGGCTGTAAAACAACTGCAGTATGTCCAAAATGCTGCAGCTCGAGTCCTGACCACGACCAGGAAATATGACCACATTAGTCCAGTTCTCAGGTCTCTGCACTGGCTTCCTGTGGCGCAGAGAATAGACTTCAAAGCAGCACTGCTTGTGTACAAGTCTCTCCATGGCCTCGCACCAAAGTACTTAAGCGACTTGTTAGTGCCATATGAACCGGCCCGGACTCTGAGGAGCACAGGAGGTAGCCTCTTACTGGTTCCAAGAGTCAGAACTAAACATGGGGAGGCAGCGTTTGAGATTTATGGAGCTAAAATCTGGAACAATCTTCCTGAGGATGTGAGGCTAGCATCTACTCTGGCAATTTTCAAATCAGGGCTAAAAACTGTTCTTTTTAGCTGCGCATACGGCTGAAGGATTTTATTGATACATACTCTTTTTTTTTTAATGCATTGTGGTTATTTATTATTTTAATCCCGTGTGTGCTTTTAATATTTTAAGTTTTTTTTTTTTTTTTTTTTTTCCATTACTTGTGATTTTATTCTGTTTTTAATGTATTTATTGATGTCTCTGATTTGTATGATATTATGTGGGTTGTGAGGCGCTTTGAGTGGCCTTGTGTTGGAAAGGCGCCATACAAATAAAGTTGATTGATTGATTGATAAACATTTGCTGTGCAGCTTGCACCAGTTTATTCAGTCATCCTCAATCTGTGGATAAAGGACTAAAAACAACAATCGTGACAAAACTTCAAAGTCCAAGTTTATTCAACGACTAAAGCCCCACAGCCCTCCTCATTCTGCTCTCTACATCAGTGTCGCATTTTTACACTCTGCAATACTACCTATAATGGGGACAGGAGGCCAGTCCCTGTGCTCCTCAGAAAACTTTGTTTGCTTTGTGACCAAATTGTTACAGCCCGACACCAAACCTCTCTATGGTCTTCTCTGTGGCTCTCTATGGTCCTGTGTGGCTCTCTATGGTCCTCTCTGTGGCTCTCTATGGTCCTCTCTGTGGCTCTCTATGGTCCTCTCTGTGGTCCTCTGTGGCTCTCTATGGTCCTCTGTGGCTCTCTATGGTCCTCTCTGTGTCTCTCTATGGTCCTCTCTGTGGCTCTCTATGGTCCTCTCTATGGTCCTCTATGGCTCTCTATGGTCCTCTCTATGGTCCTCTATGGCTCTCTATGGTCCTCTATGGTCCTCTATGTGGCTCTCTATGGCTCTTTATGGTCCTCTATGGCTCTCTATGGCTCTAAGCAAGTAAGTAAGTAATCTTTATTTATATACCGCCTTTCACAGACCAGAGTCACAAAGCGGTTTACAATTGTTATTATTTTTGGGCACTTGTCCTCTCACTCCACAGAGATGGGAGCGGGGTCGCCGAACAGGAGGCACATGCTAGATCTATTGTACATATTTTTAGTGGTAGGGGAAACCGGAGTACCCGGAGGAAACCTACGCAAACACGGGGAGAACATGCAAACTCCACTCAGAAAGGCCCTGGTCCGACCGGGATTCGAACCCAGGACCTTCTTGCTGAGAGGCGAGAGTGCTATCCACTCAGCCACCGTGCCGGGTCTCTGTGGTCGTCACAGCCTGTGCTGAGTTCTTACATAACATTTGGGAAGAGTGGACTTTGCCAGAGGGAGTGCTGGTCCAGAGGGTTGCTGGTCCAGAGGGTTGCTGGTCCGTTGCCAGAGGGTTGATGGTCCGCTCTGTGACAGCACAAACACATGTGTTTTTTTCAGTGTGAAGAGAGTGATGTCACCGTCTGCAGGAGCCTCCCTTCTCTCTCACTGTTCGTCACATCCCGGCACCAAAAGCCCGTTAAAAACCCAGACACCAAACACTGAGCCTCATTCACACCGAGGACAACACCGAGGACAACACCGAGGACCACTGCGAGGACAACACCGAGGACCACTGCGAGGTAAGTGCTGTGTGCTTTTACTCCTGCTCCTTGTCAACTTTCAGCGACAGACAGACTTTAGGGGGATTTTCCACAGAAACTGAAGTGAAAAAAAATATACCCGATTTTGTTTTTTAAATGAAAACTCGCATGAGTTCAATTCAAATCAATGTATTTTTGTATCGCCCTAAATCACAACATCTCAGAGGACTTTACAAAACTGTCGATTCACCAACAGCAGATCAGAGAATCAAACCACACAAGAAATGCAGAGATACAGAGTAAAAACAGCCGTGGTCATGTGACTCCTTCAGATCATATTTGGTCCTACTCAAAATCAGTTAATTCTATTCAACATAATGTAAAAATGACAAGGAAATATGTAAGATTAAAACCGTTTTTTGGGCAAAAATCATAAATATTCTTGGATGTCAGGACTTTGCTTGTTGTCACTGGTCACTTACATACGACTGAAGCCATTTCAACAAATACATTAGGTTAGCTGAGTGGTTAGCCCTCTCGCTTCTCGGCTTGAAGGTCCTGTAGTTGAATCCCGGTCAGAACAGGGTCTTTCTGAGTGGCGTTTGCATGTTCTCTTTGTGTCTGCGTGGGTTTCCTCCAGGTACTCCGGTTTCCTCTACCACTAAAAACATGTACAGTAGGTCTGACATGTGCCTCTGAGACAAATGCCCACAATTGTAACAGGCTTTGTGACTCTGAAAGGCGCTATATAAATAACTATTACTTACTTACTCAGATGGAGGTCTAGTGTGAAACAGCAGTCTGCGGTTTAAGACGTTCAGGCTCAGTCATAACGAGACGAGATGGAAAATATCACAGTTTATCAATAAAACACATTTCTACAGAGAGAGTATTCAGCTCTGTTTCAATGAACTGAATGTAAACAAACCTGACAGGTCCAGGGGCCCCTCGTGGGACCGTTCCCAGAGGCCCCAAAAAACTATCTCTCAGTTTCTCCCTTGGATTTGTACTCATTAACATAAAAAACCTGTAGGACTGAGGCTGAAGATCCAGGACTGAGGCTGAAGATCCAGGACTGAGGCTGTAGACCCAGGACTGAGGCTGTAGACCCAGGACTGAGGCTGTAGACCCAGGACTGAGGCTGTAGACCCAGGACTGAGGCTGTAGACCCAGGACTGAGGCTGTAGACCCAGTCCATAGTGACCAGTTTTGTCACTACACTGTTTTGTGTTGGTTTCCCTCAGATTAAAGATGTCGTCTCTGGGACTCTCTCTGGTCTTGGCTCTGGTCTTGGCGTCTACAGCGGTCTTCGTTGGGGCTCAGAGTAAGAACCACACACTGTCACTTTTTTCTCATTTTCAAAAGTCTCACTACATCTTGAACTCTTTTCATGAAGTTTAGGTTTTGGAACGAACAGTTTTAGTTTCAGTTTCAGTTTGTGTATTTTTATTAGTGCAGGAGCAAAAAACGTGTGCGCACATCTCATATTCATGTCACTATACAAGTTAAAGTAGCAATATGTAAGATTGTCATCTCTGTCATCATTAAAGGGCCCTAATCTGTCATCATTAAAGGGCCCTAATCTGTCATCATTAAAGGGCCCTAATCTGTCATCATTAAAGGGCCCTAATCTGTCATCATTAAAGGGCCCTAATCTGTCATCATTAAAGGGCCCTAATCTGTCACCATTAAAGGGCCCTAATCTGCCATCATTTATGGGCCCTAATCTGTCATCATTAAAGGGCCCTAATCTGTCACCATTAAAGGGCCCTAATCTGTCATCATTAAAGGGCCCTAATCTGTCATCATTAAAGGGCCCTAATCTGTCATCATTAAAGGGCCCTAATCTGTCACCATTAAAGGGCCCTAATCTGTCATCATTTATGGGCCCTAATCTGTCATCATTAAAGGGCCCTAATCTGTCACCATTAAAGGGCCCTAATCTGTCATCATTAAAGGGCCCTAATCTGTCATCATTAAAGGGCCCTAATCTGTCATCATTAAAGGGCCCTAATATGTCAGCATTAAAGGGCCCTGATCTGTCATCATTAAAGGGCCCTAATCTGTCATCATTAAAGGGCCCTAATCTGTCATCATTAAAGGGCCCTGATCTGTCATCATTAAAGGGCCCTAATCTGTCATCATTAAAGGGCCCTAATCTGTCACCATTAAAGGGCCCTAATCTGTCATCATTAAAGGGCCCTAATCTGTCATCATTAAATGGCCCTAATCTGTCACCATTAAAGGGCCCTAATCTGTCATTATTAAAGGGCCCTAATCTGTCATCATTAAAGGGCCCTAATCTGTCATCATTAAAGGGCCCTAATCTGTCATAATAATAAAACATGCTCTTTGCCAATACTTCTTTAACTGATAACAGTAGTTAGAGATATTGAAAAGTGGTACTGCAGCCTCTCCCACTCTTCCTGACTCAGGTTGCCAGATATGCAGACGAATCCAGCTGGGACCATAACAGCTGAATAGACAAGAGTTTTGTCAACAACAAATCTATAACCAACACCTTTTTCACAAAGATAGAAATCCTGGTTTTATTCCTTGTTTTGTCGTTAATGATTTGAGAATCATAACGAGACCTTTTTTAGTTTTGCGCCACATGGTACTTTACCAGTGAGATTAGCTCCACGCGGTGAGTTCTGGCGCCCGGATCACGGACTTTCTGATTGGTGAAACGGTGGAGGGCGGGACATCGAAACAATAACAATATTTAGAAGCTGGAAAAGTAATTTAGGAATTCAAATATCTCTGAACTACTGTTATCAGTTAAAGAAGGATTGGAAAAGAACAGTTTATTATTATGACAGATTAGGGCCCTTTAATGATGACAGATTAGGGCCCTTTAATGATGACAAATTAGGGCCATTTAATGAATTATGACAGATTAGGGCCTTTTAATGAATGATGACAGATTAGGGCCCTTTAATGTATGATGACAGATTAGGGCCCTTTAATGAATGATGAAAGATTAGGGCCCTTTAATGATGACAGATTAGGGCCCTTTAATGAATGATGACAGATTAGGGCCCTTTAATGATGACAGATTAGGGCCCTTTAATGATGACAGATTAGAGCCCTTTTATGATGACAGATTAGGGCCCTTTAATGAAGACAGATTAGGGCCCTTTAATGAATGATGACAGATTAGGGCCCTTTAATGATGACAGATTAGAGCCCTTTTATGATGACAGATTAGGGCCCTTTAATGAAGACAGATTAGGGCCCTTTAATGACGACAGATTAGGGCCCTTTAATGAAGACAGATTAGGGCCCTTTAATGATGACAGAATAGGGCCCTTTAATGAAAACCTTACATATTGCTGCTTTAACAGACTTTAGATCCAGGACTGAATCAGTGACGCATGATTCTAATGTGTTTTGTACCACTGTGTGTTTCCAGCGACCTGCAGAGGGCGCTGTGGCGAGGGATACTCCAGAGCCAACAGTTGTCAGTGCGACTACGGCTGCCTGGTCTACGGAGAGTGCTGCAAGGACTACGAACGCCTCTGCACCTCCGGTAAGAACACTTTTACTGCAGACACACAACAGCAGGAAGGACGCACAAAAATAACTCCCCTGGGGCACACTGACAGAAGCGAGGCAACCAGTCTGTGCCATCGGCCCCTCCCACCGCCACCAACCATTCACACACACATCAGACTCATTCTAATGTGGGGGAAGTGTCTTGCCTCAGGACACAACAACAGCAGACAGTGGGAGTCGATGGAGGAAGTCTTGTGGTGGACTCGAACCCACAACCTTCAGGCTCAAAGGCCAATGCTCTACCAAAATAAAAAATATGATCGCACAATTTCAGATTTTTGCAACACAATTCAGCACTAAAAAATAACACAATTTTTATACATATTTTGAAAAAGAAGGTTTCCACTTCACACATGTTGTTTAAAGCCGGTGTATGTAGAGCAGTGTCTCCTACCGTTTTCCTCCAGAGAGCTACTTCCCGGGAATGATGAAGGCAGAGAGCTACTTAACAGGGATGATAAAGGCAGAGAGCTACTTAACAGGGATGATAAAGGCAGAGAGCTACTTACTGGGGATGATGAAGGCAGAGAGCTACTTAACAGGGATGATAAAGGCAGAGAGCTACTTAACAGGGATGATAAAGGCAGAGAGCTACTTAACAGGGATGATAAAGGCAGAGAGCTACATACCGATGACGATAAAGGCAGAGAGCTACTTACTGATGACAATAAAGGCAGAGAGCTACTTACCGGGGATGATAAAGGCAGAGAGCTACTCATTTAAGCATCCTGAAAAAAACAATTGGTGATATAACGGTGTGTCAATGTCAATGTCAATGTCAACTTTATTTATATAGCACATTTACAACAACACCAGCTGCCCAAAGTGCTTCACAGGCACGAATGATAAAAATAAAAATAAAACAGTATAAAATACATACACAAAGTGGTAAAACCTCAACTGGTGTTAAAAGCCAAGGTGTAAAAATGTGTCTTTAAACTAGACTTAAAAACTTCCAATGAAGGAGCTGCTCTGATGAACAGAGGTAGACTATTCCACAGTTTGGGGACAGCAACAGAAAAGGCTCGGTCTCCTCGAGTTTTGAGACGAGACCGGGGCACGTTCAACAACATCTGGTTTTCAGACCGCACTGATCTGACCGGAGCATACAAAGATAACAGCTCCGACAGATATACAGGGGCCAAACCATTCAAACATTTAAAAACAAGCATCAGAATCTTAAAATCAACCCTGAAAGTAACAGGGAGCCAGTGAAGTGAGGCCAGCACGGGGGTGATGTGCTCTCTCTTACGTGTCCCTGTGAGTAAGCGAGCAGCAGCATTCTGCACCTGCTGAAGGCGCTTTAAAGAGCCAAGGTCCAGACCACAATACAACGAGTTACAATAATCTAATCTTGAAGAAATAAAAAGGTGGATAACTCGCTCAAAGTCAGTCGGTGGGATGTAAGCCTTCACTTTGCTCAAGACCCGGAGCTGATAAAAGCTGGCTTTGATTACTGAATTAATTTGCTTGTCCATCCTAAAGGTGCTATCAAAAATAACTCCTAAGTTTCTGGCAGAGGAATGGACATGAGCAGAGAGTGCACCAAGTGCATCAGTGAGCTCCACAGGAAGGCTGGAGCTAAAAACAACAATTTCAGTTTTATTCTCGTTGAGAATTGAAAATTGTTGGGCCAGCCATGATCTCACTTCCTGGAGACAATCTAGCAGTGTTGCAATTGACACTGAGATGGGATTTAAAGGCAGGTAGATCTGCAGGTCACCAGCATACGCATGAAAGGAGACATTGTGTTTCTTTAGAATATCTCCAAGTGGCAGCATATACAAAGAAAAAAGGGCGGGGCCTAAAATGGAGCCCTGTGGAACGCCACAATTAAGGGGTGCCAGGCCAGACTTGTAGGGCCCAAAGTAGACAGAAAAACACCTGTTGTGTGAACGAGCCTGATATTGGGAACAGTCATTATTTGTCATGTATTATATTATACATGTGTGTGTGTGTGTGTGTGTGTCTGTGTGTCTCTGTGTGTGTCTCTGTGTGTGTCTCTGTGTGTGTCTATCAGAGGGCACGTGTAAAGGCCGCTGTGGAGAGAATTTTAAACGTGGTCGTTCCTGCAGCTGTGATTCAGAATGTGTGTTATACAACCAGTGCTGTCCGGACCATGTGGACCACTGCAACCAGACCAGTGAGGACGCACACCAGACACACACTCTGCACACCAGTGAGGACACACACCAGAGACGCACACTCTACACACCAGAGATACACACACCAGAGACACACACTCTACACACCAGTGAGGACACACACCAGAGATACACACTCTACTGATCAGTGAGGACAAACACAGAGATACACACTCTACTGACCAGTGAGGACAAACACAGAGATACACACTCTACTGACCAGTGAGGACACACACCAGAGATACACACTCTACTGACCAGTGAGGACACACACCAGAGACACACACTCTACTGACCAGTGAGGACACACACCAGAGATACACACTCTACTGACCAGTGAGGACACACACCAGAGACACACACTCTACTGACCAGTGAGGACACACACCAGAGACACACACTCTACTGAGCAGTGAGGACACACACCAGAGATACACACTCTACTGACCAGTGAGGACACACAACGAGAGATACACACTCTACTGACCAGTGAGGACACACACCAGAGACACACACTCTACTGACCAGAGATACACACGTCCATACACGGTGGGGATTGTTGATCATCCGTACACTTACAGGGCAGCTGTAACAACAATACTGAAAATGTCAACAATAAATAAATAATCAAATCCTCTCAAACCTGTCACAGTCACGACACCATCAGCCAGCGAGGAACCAGCAACAACTGCACTGACAACACAACCAGGTGAGTGTGTGTGTGTAGGTACATTTGTGTGTGTGAGTGTGTGCGTGCATGTGGATGCTTGCTTGTGTGTGTGTGTGTGTGTGTGTGCGTGCATGTGTGTATCTGGTCAGTGCTTCATGTGGGAAACAATGAAAGTCCTTATAATTTCCAACATGAACATTGAGCGACTGCAGAAAGTGCGATAATTAAACACAAATTTGAGACATTTCGAACTTATTTTGAGTCCCAGGCCTCAGTCTCATGTGGCCCCTTTAAGGTGGAGGACATTATACGACTCTCAAACACGAATTAAAAGACACGAATAATACTAACAAAATGCTAAGCTAACATTTGCTCCATAAACATTGTCCTCTGTCGACGCCCACAGGAAGTCTTTCTCTCCGTCCAAATGTGATATTCAGGTTTAGAACTGTTAGAATCTACTGTAGCAGGTTAGAACAACAATAACAACAATAACATCCTCTCTCTGTTACAGCCACCACACCAGCAGCCACCACACCAGCAGCCACCACACCAGCAGCCACCACACCAGCAGCCACCACACCAGCAGCCACCACACCAGCAGCCACCACACCAGCAGCCACCACACCAGCAGCCACCACACCAGCAGCGAGTGAGGAACCAGCCACCACACCAGCAGCCACCACACCAGCAGCGAGTGAGGAACCAGCCACGACACCAGCAGCGAGTGAAGAACCAGCCACCACACCAGCAGCGAGTGAGGAACCAGCCACGACACCAGCAGCGAGTGAAGAACCAGCCACCACACCAGCAGCCACCACACCAGCAGCGAGTGAGGAACCAGCCACGACACCAGCAGCGAGTGAGGAACCAGCCACGACACCAGCAGCGAGTGAGGAACCAGCCACCACACCAGCAGCGAGTGAGGAACCAGCCACGACACCAGCAGCGAGTGAGGAACCAGCCACGACACCAGCAGCGAGTGAGGAACCAGCCACCACACCAGCAGCGAGTGAGGAACCAGCCACCACACCAGCAGCGAGTGAGGAACCAGCCACCACACCAGCAGCGAGTGAGGAACCAGCCACGACACCAGCAGCGAGTGAGGAACCAGCCACGACTCTGCCGACAACACAACCAGGTGAGAGGGTCAGACGTCCAAACCGTTCTTTGGACCCAGTAAGCTAAAAATACACTGTTAAAACCACAGACTGTAAATATTAACGGATGTAGTCACTTCTATCTCGTTCTAACTAATGTGCCACAACTTCCGTGGTCTATCGGCAGTTTCAAAATGGCCGCGCTGGAAAATGTGAAAAGACACATCTGTGCATGCGTCAGCTGCATGAGCCCCATTCATTAAGACAGAGATTTCTAAAGTCCACAGCGACTAAACTAGACTGGTCCAGAACACTCAGCATTGACACACATGTGGAACGGAGCTTTGGGCCAAGAGCCAACTTTTGGACCATCCTGTAAAGACGTTTTCCAGAGGTAAGAAGATGCTATATGTTAGCATTGGCTAATTCTTCTTCCGTGTCCACCCCCATCGGCCCGGGGTGGTATTGCAGCATGTCAGCGCACGTCATTTTGGCCACTTTTGAGCCGGGACCCGCCCCCACTGGGTAAAACAGGGCTAAATGAGGGTTGATATTCAGCTAAAATCAGGGCCAGAATCAGGGCGCTGAGTCCGCTCTCTCGTTCTCTGGGCTCTGCGGTCGTGGCTACTTCCACCAGACCAAGGGGTTTTCGCTTCCCCGTGTCTCACCCGTGTCTCACCCGTGTCTCACCCGTGTCTCACCCGTGTGTTGCTCTCTGGCTTCCTCCTCCCCCTCCCCCATCCAAGCTCTTAATACTCAAGGCGCAGGTGTTTTAATTGGTGCAGTTCAATGAATAATAAAAACACACACATGCTCACAAATATAACACATTCTGCACTCACCAACAAGTGTGTGTGTGTGTGTGCGTGTGCGTGTGAGTGTGTGTGCGTGTGTGTGTGCGTGTGTGTGTGTGCGCTGAATTACCACATGTTTCGGTAGACTTAGATCAGCTGTTGTTACTGGCCACGCCCTCCACTGTGGTCTGTTGAGAAGTGAGTCCCGAGTCCGCGAGGGCCCGGTCAGTCTGACGGATCAGACTCAACCCAAACATGGAGTAATTCAGCAGGACTAGCACTTTTACACTTTTATTTTATTCAAAGAACCTTAAACATGAGACATTATGAACTTTTGAAATGAACTTGGGGAGGACCAGTGTCGTGTCTGGGAAAGTGTGGATGAAACCTGGAACTTGGAACGACTGATGGAACGTCCTTCACTTTTACCCACAGTGTCCCCAACACCCAACACTAACACACACACACACCCAACACTAACACACACACACACACACTAACACCCAACACTAACACACACACACCCAACACTAACACACACACACACCCAACACTAACACACACACACACACACACTAACACCCAACATTAACACACACACACACACACACTAACACCCAACACTAACACACACACACACCCAACACTAACACACACACACACACTAACACCCAACACTAACACACACACACACACACACACACTAACACCCAACACTAACACACACACACACCCAACACTAACACACACACAGACTAACACACACGCAGACACACACACACACACACACACCAACACTAACACACACAGACGCACGCAACAAACACACACACTCTCCCAGAACCCACTGTAAAACAAACATTTCCTCAAATGTGGAAAACTCGACACGGAACTTCCGCGTGTACTCTGTGTACAACCTGACACTTGGACACGTTGGTTTCTGCTTCAGTTCATGTCGGAAAGATGTCATCACCTTTAATTTCAAGTGTGAAGTTTCTGACTTCATTTTGGATCAGCACGTCCGTTTAAGATGCAGCAACAGAATATGCAACATTACAGAAGACTATATTCACCTTTGGGTTTTAAGACCTCCAGGTGAAAGCCAAATACTGTCTGACCTCTGATGCTAAGCAGGGCAGGGCCTGGTTAGTGCTGTGATGGGAGACCTCTGGTAACAGCAGGTGCCACAGTGGGGCGGCTGCGGCTGTAAAGTGCCAAACTGTGGCTGTGTCTTTAGGCAAGACACTTCAGCCACATTAGAATGTGTGTGTAGTAGTAGTAGTCTTTATTTTGAATTAATTGTGCAATACACTGAAAAAGAAGAAACATGTATACTGTATATACTGTATATACGCAATTCGAAAAGGAGTAGGTAGAAGTGAAACTTTCCCCTTGTGACATGCTTTTTCTTGCAGGAGTTCAAATGATATACATTTGAAGTGAACTAAATATCTCTTAGAAATACAATTGACACTCGTCACCATAAATATTATCAAAGGCTGATTAAACACCAATGATGTTCTAGGTCTTGTTGTCAACGCCATTTTTACTTAACACTAGAAAACCCATGGAGGTGCCATTTGGCACTTCTACCTAAAAAGCCCACCACGGTGCCAAAAGGATTTTAGCTAACAAATTAAATCACCTTTGAACGGCCAACTTTGTTCTGTAAATAAGGCCATTATCACAGGCTGAGCTGAAGTTTCTTCACTTTGCCATCTTTGGAGGTGGGGGAGGGTCTGAATAGTTAGTTTTTCTCCAGTGGCTTTGGTGCATTTCTCACATTAGACTTAAAGTTCTAAAAACAATTAGTTCAACCTCCACAACACTGAGTCCTTTGTGACATCATTGTAGCAGTTTCTTATTCCTATGAACAGATTGTTCTTTGTGTGCAGTGCATTAAAAATTAAAAAGGGCGTAGAATGAGCCAGTCGAGAGAAGGCAATAGTGCGTGCCCCAGGGCAGCTGTGGCTACAATAGTTTACCACCACGGTGTATGGAGTGAAGCAAAAAAGTGCTAATGCATTATTATTATTATTAAAAATATTACAACATTCTTCTCTCATTAAAAACATCTGAAGTTGTTTTCAGATCCATCCATGTTGATATCTAGAACTTCTAGCACAAACATGTAGCACACTGGGGCACACTGACAGAAGCGAGGCAGCCAGTCTGTGCCATTGGCCCCTCCCACCACCAGACGTCACTGTCACATCACATCAGAGCAGCTTCACAAAGAATCTACATTTCTCTGGTGAAATGACGTTGTTTACAATCAAAGGTTTGTGTTTGCAGCCACTCACTTTCAAAAATCTATATCCTGCTCCCCCTGGTGGCAGCAGAGGTTTTTACAGGAGTCCTCAGTTTACTTCTTCGAGTTAGTTTGTGTATAAATATTCTGACTCTTTGTACCCACAGCCTCCACTGCGCCCCCCATCCCAGACCTGGACGGTTTCGAGGTCCTCCCAGAGTCCCAGACCACAGCTGAAACAGGTGCTGTGTGTTTGTGTTACCTCTGCTGTGTGTGTATTTGTTCTTGGACTGTGAAAATAAACAGTAAAAATAAGACTAAAGGCCTCGTTCCCATTTACAAATCTTGTTTTTACACTGTCGGAATTAATTCAGATTACGATTAACACTCGATTCAAGCAATTATTATCTCATATATTTTTTGAATCATAGACTATAGTAAAGAGGATTGACTTTTGCAAATGAATATTGTTGACAGTAAAAAGTACATGTAATCCAGTATTTACCTGCGCAAGCATCTGTGTTGTTTAAAACCAGGACTGAAGGAAGCTGTCAGACTCTTCCAAGACTGATCCTTGTTTCTTTGCCTTCAGACCCCACCGCGGCTCCACCTCCCACCGTGACAGAGCTGCCCCCGGATCCCACCACACCTGCACCAACAGCTGCGCCATCGTCACCGGCTTCTGAAACGCCTCCAACCACCACACCAGTCCCTCAGACCTCCACCCCAGTTCCTGAGACCACCACTCCACCCCCCTCCACCAAAGAGGAAGCTACTACGGCTCCAGCGGCGGACGTGACGACCGAAGCCTCCGTGTCCAAACCAGCAGAGAAGCCCTTTGAACCAGCGGTGGATCTGGACAACAAACCTGTGCTGAACGGCCTGGAGGACCCTGCGGACTACCCAGCAGGTGAGCGGCTCGTGTCTCCCACCTGTAGCTGACCCAAACCCTGGAGGATTTGTAATTTAACACATGCTCTTGAATGAATACATTTGTAGTCGTTTCATCTATAATGAAATGTAGAGTAACGATGTTATGTGTATTTGACATGTGTTCTCTCCATGTTTTGTCGTAGTTATAACAGATTTTTATTACAAAAGCCAACATGAGTAGCTCTCTGCCCCTTCTGTTATATAAAAGTAGCTCTCTGATTGTAAAAGGTTAGACACCTCTGATCTAATGGTTCAGTAGGTAGTTTATTACCCATAAAGGTCATTGGGTTTTCTATACCAAACGACAGCATGTAGCGATAGAACAGAAGAGGTCCCAGGATCGGCCCCTGGGGCACTCCACAGGTTAGGGCCATAGGATCTGATAAAAGGTTTCCAATCTCCACAATTATTTTATTGCCAATCATTCACCCAGTACAGTGGGGTTAAACTACTACTGTAGCCACAGCTGCCCTGGGGCACACTGACAGAAATGAGGAAACCAGTCTGTGGCATCAGTCCCTCCCACCACCACCAACCATTCACACCAGACTCATTCTAATGTGGGCCCTGTCTGCTTAGCTTCAGACGGGATCTGGCGATCGCCTGCAGGGGGCGCCACTACACATTCTTTAATCTGATTTTTGTGGTTTTCAGACGACAGTAACGACAGAGACCTGTGCAGCGGACGTCCCATCACCGGAGTCACCACGCTCAGCAACGGGACAGTAGTGGTCTTCAGAGGTACGGGACAGGTAAAGGGTACAGGGGTGGGTAGAGGGGCAGGTACAGAGTACAGGGGCGGGTACAAGGTATAGGGGTGGCTACAGGGGTGGGTGGAGCCAAGCTCCTATCCAAACCAGTTTGACTGGCCTCAGACTCACTGTTCTCTGCTGCACAGGGCATTACTTCTGGGTCCTGGATGAAAACAAGATCCCAGGTCAGGCCCAAGAGATCAGCGAGGTCTGGGGCACCCCCTCCCCCATCGACACAGTCTTCACACGCTGCAACTGCCAGGGCAAGACCTACATCTTTAAGGTGAGACCTACATCTTTAAGGTGAGACCTACATCTTTAAGGCGAGACCTTGTTTTTGATGTGATCATTGAGGTAAGTAAGTAATGTTTATTTATATAGCGCATCTCACAGACCAAGGTCACCCAAAGCGCTTTACAATGTTCAGGTTGACGTTGTGGAGCTTCATCACAAATGTCCTCCACAAGTTAAACGTCCACTTTCTACTTTACTTATACATTTCTTTCAGCACAGGAACAAGAATGATACTTTACTATTAAACCAAATGTCACCATTTTTCATTTCAGAATATTAACTTATTAAATTGGTCATTTGACCCAGTGCTACAATAATAAACAATTCAAAACATGCGAGATCACCATCATACTGCACCAGGACGATTCAACTCTGGTTCGGTCCAAGTACATTTTACAACACATGGTTTGTCTGTGGAACAACGGAACATTTCCTTTGAGAATTTACAAATATTTTTGTCCCAAATCTTAATTTCTAAACATTTTCAAGATACAGTTTGTTGGTCCTGGTTTGGCATTTACTGTCTATTCAACAGAGATATTGTGTTAAATGATTTAACTGTGTCCAACCCTGTGTGTGTGCAGGGGCCTCAGTACTGGAGGTACGAGAACGACGTCATGGACCCGGGTTTCCCCAAAGTGGTGGAGACGGGGTTCGACGGCCTGAGGGGCCCGGTGACCGCCGCGCTCTCGGTGCCGCAGCACAAGCAGCGGAGAGAGGCCGTCTACTTCTTCCAAAAAGGTGACACAGAAAAGCTTGTACTCATGTTTCTGTGGAGATAAAACCATGAACCAAACCTCTGCTGCGCCCCCTTCAGGAGGGAAAGTGCAGAAGTATTCGTACCAGTTCGCTCCCAGTTCGTGCGGCAGGAAAGTCCAGTACGCGGTTTACACTCGGCGCCAGAGGACGGTGCGACAGGTCCCAGTGCACGGTACGTCTCTGAAGGATCCATCTTTGATCGGGTTTTAGAGTTTTCCTCTGAGGCAGGAGTTGGACTGAGAGGGTCTAAGGACAGTGGAGATGACCCAGGACACTAACATTCTACAGCATTTATAAGAAACTTTGTTGCTCTCACACTGGAGAGATGTACACGTCACATTTGGCAAAGATGGAATCACTCAAATTGTGCAAACAGGTTAAAGGTTAAAAATAGTCTCTCAAATGGACATTTGTCTACTCCCTATGGACCAATACCTACACTGCAAAAAGTGATGAAATATGAGGTAGAAATTGCTTGAATTGAGTGGTTTTTATCTTAATTTCTGCATTCAGACTGTGTTAAAACAAGATTTTCCAACGGGACAAACCGTTTAGTCTTGTTTCAAGAACTGTTGCTTCATTTTCTTTCCAAGGGAGACATTTCTGTGTCTTCACCAATGAGACAAAGAAAAATGATCTGGTTTTATAAAGAGAGTACATGTGCTAAAATTAAAAGAATTATTGGAGGATTTCCCCAAATTTTAGGAAAGAACCGCCCTCTCCAGCAAAACTCTCTGGTCTTATTGGACGAGCACGAATCACCAGAATGATTGACAGTTGGGAGGACCAAGAGTCTTGATGATCCACCCGGAAGTAGAAACAATTTTAAGAAATGTTTTAATTATTTTTCATTGTCATGTGACGGACACAGACACCATGTGACGGACACAGACACCATGTGACGGACACAGACACCATGTGACGGACACAGACACCATGTGACGGACACAGACACCATGTGACGGACACAGACACCATGTGACAGTGTTGTTCTGCTGCAGTCTCTCTGTTGGAACCTGCCATAAACTACAAGACGGCGTGGAGAGGTTTTCCCGCCACCGTCACCGCCGCTGTGTCGATTCCCAACAGGAGGGAGGCGGACGGCTTCAGCTACCACATCTTCAACAGAGGTGAGCTCCGATATCTTTAAGTTTAAACATAGACTTATCCTCCTGCCGACCTTTTCAAAATGGCCGCAAGCAGCCCCTCCCACAGGAAAATGTGGACCCACTATGAGAGGCTGGTTCATGTGTTATCTGTACAGGTCTAACACATACCGTTCATTTAACACGTTCATTCAAAAGTCCACAGCGGCTAAACTGGACCGGTCCAAAATAAATAAAATAAAAGTGGTCCCCTCAGCATTGACAGCATCTGGAAAGTAGTGTCAAGTCAAGAGCAACTTTTGGACCTTCCTGTAAGGCGGTTTGAGGGGGGGAAAAAATGCACCATAAGAATTCAGTGGATAATTCTGTTTCTGGGTACACCCCCACAGTCAAGGAGCCAAATTACAGCATGTCAGCGCTGGTTTAAACGTGAGCCGCCAAAAGCGCACAGGGCGCAGGTTTGGAGCAGATGTGAGGCTGCGTTAAAGAATCCACATGTCTCTTTAGAACAGGAGCCGGCCAGAACCATTTTCTTCCGGGGCCCACATTAAGATATTGCCCTAATGTGAAGGGCCGGACCAGTTTTCATGTGGTTCATTTTTTTTTCCTTTTTGCCAAAAGCTACTTCAGATTTTAACGTCAATCTTTTTGAAGATTTTGTTTTGAGCAGATTATTACAAACAACATTTTGGGTTCATTATTTAGGGCAGAATAGATGTATAACAGACTGGTGTAAGGCTGGGAAGGGTCCGGGGGCCGCATAGAACTGTAAATCTGGCCTGATGTGGCCCTCGAGCCGCACTTTGCCCAGGTCGATTCTAAGTTCTTTTGCAGGTCTCAGTCATTTAGTTATTTTGACTCATTTCAAACCTGCAGAAGACAGTTGCACACATCTTTTCACTAATTAGGCTTTGAAAAGGGGTTGGATGAAGCGGACGCGACCCCCTCATGCATTGATTCAAGTGTATAAAGTCAGTAGATAGATAAAGTAGTAGATATAAACAGCAGGAGGCCAATATTTAATAAGATAATTGTGTATCACTTTGGTTTCTTCTGGTCATTTCCATCTGAGGTTTATGGTCCTCTACGACATCTGCTTTTGTGACTATTGTATTTGAATAATTAAGTTATTAAGTTATATGAGCTGAAATGTGGCAACACTGTTTTTCCAATTCCCTCTAATCCTCCAGTGTTCTTAAATGAATGTGTTGCATGTTCTCTCTGTGCAGCTAAATCCTACAGGATCCGGATCGAGGCCGAGCGTCCTGTGGTCGTCGCCGTCAGCGCCAACACGTCCCAGACCAACGAGGTCTTCAGATGTCCGCGGAGAAACCACAAACCACAGTGACCGCTCTCACTTCTAAAACTTTTATTCACAATTCTGATAAAACAATCGAGAGAGAAGACAGTCGTTACAAAAAAAACATCTGAAATACAAAGCTGGAGCCGGCTCATCTCCGGTGCAGACCGCGAGCGAAACCTGTGGAACAAACAACTGTTTATGAACCGTTATTAAACACAATGAAAGACTTCATGGACCTGGTTTGTTAAAATGACACCATCAAAGTCTCTGAGATTCTAGTGAAGTCACGATATGATTGATTTAGCTCAAACTTATAGTCAAGCTAACCCAGGGCTCTCACACCTGTGCTTTCAGAGATAGCATTAGCTCGCCACGACCGTCCAAGTAGCTCCCCAAAGGATTCAGGAATTTAACACAGGATTCTGAATTATTCAATCTTATTTGGTTTTTCACTTTGAATGTTTTCCTGATGAGCACGGTGCAGGTTTACATAATGGTACGTTTTCAGTCCAAGTGTTATATGTTTAAATAGGTTTTCCTTAAAGCATAAGCTACATTTTTACCGCTAGGCTAACCCAATGCAAAGGAAACTCATCCACTGAACCAGACTATTGTGCAGTTACCCATGGTCCTTCTGTATGAAGTTACCCATGGTCCTTCTGTATGAAGTTACCCATGGTCCATTGAGAGCCCTGTGTGACGTCTGAAATGATTCTGGTTTTAAACTCTGTATAAACGTCAATAATAAACTGTCAGTGAGATGTGTGAGCAGTCACCTCTCTTCATGCGGCCCCGGGCCTCAGACCATCGCTGCAGTTGGCCCCTGGGCCCCGAGCGCGAGGGCCGACCTCGATTACTGCTGGTGTCTGCACAAACACAAAGACTTTTATAGAATACTATTGTTTCAAATAAACTGAAGAGACTGTGGAAGAAAACTCTGGCATTAATGTCTCCAAGGCAACAATGAGAGGGGGGGGTACTGTCGCCCCCTGCAGGACACTCTGAAGAGCAGCTGCAGTGACAGACTGATCCACCAAACAGACTGCACATCGAACAAGGGGGAAAAATGAACACTGCCGTCACTTTACTTGGTTTGAACCCACATTCTGCTCACATGTGCAGTAGTATCATACACTGTAGTACTACTGCACATGTTAGGTATAAATACAAGAATATATTTCTTGCTCTGAAATACACAGGTTTATACTTTGCTTCTTAATTAAGCTAAAGATAGATTTTATTTTGTGCTGTACTCAATAAACTGTGCTCCTTATTCCTACTGTTCTGTAACCTGTGATGCAACACTGACATTTCCCCACAGTGGGGCCAATAAAGGATCTCTTCATCTTAACAAATTTATATTAATAGTAAAGTTCCTGGCTGTGGGGGTTCGTGAGGGTCTGTGAGGGTCCTTGAGAGTCCGTGGGGGGTCCGTGAGTGTCTGAGTGTCTGTGAGGGGTCCGTAAGAGTCCGTGGGGGGTCCGTGAGGGTCCGTGGGGGTCCGTGGGGGGTCCGTGAGGGGTCCGTGAGGGGTCCGTGAGGGGTCCGTGAGGGGTCCGTGAGGGGTCCGTGAGGGACCGGTACCTGGCCTGTTTGGAGCTGCAGAGCTGGAGGACGGCTCCTGGCTGGTGTTGGGGACACTGGCAGCACTGGGCTCTGCTGCTTCAGCCTGAGAGCCGGGCTGCACCGACGCCTCCAGACCGGACCTGACACAACACAGCACTGTTAGATTCTATCATTCAACATCTCTAATGTTCGGTATTATCTCCACTCAGACTCTTTTTAGACTCTCAGAAGCTTCACGTCATTTATTCTCTGACTCCGTACACTGTGGTGATAAACTACTACTGTATCTAATCATTAAACAAATCCGACACGATTTCGAGTCCCGGTCAAATGTTTTTTATCACTGGTATAGTAATTTATATAACACATTTTTTATGCATTAAACTCAGTATTTCACAAAACTGATTTGATACGTATGGATAGTGACTGCTGTACTGAAAAATCAAAGAAGTTGTTCAGCCTCAATTTATTCTTTCAGGCAAAATTAAGAAAAAATACAGTAAAGCTTGTGCTACCCTCGGGTCAAAATTACCCAAGGGTAAGTAGAAGAAAAATATCAAAATCAGGGTCTATAAGGGTATACATGACTCTGGGCCGGTCGAGGTAGAACAATCATCAAACAATCATCAAAATTCAGTTTAAAATGGGTAAAAAGGAATGAGAGAAGTCTGTACGAGTTTTAGGGTTTAAAGCACTCACCGGTCTGAGTCGGCCTCCAGGAAGTCGTCCTGGTCCTCCGCTTGGCCCCCGCTCCCCGACACCAGCCCCGGAGTGGAGGTGGTTACCATGGGAACGGACTGGGACGCCTGGTCTGTGGAGTCTGAGGGAGCGGCCTCAGAGAAGCCCGACCCTGGACACAAGGACCAGGACCAGGTTTAGAGACAGACACAGGTTTAACAGCAACAAAGACACAGATGACCTTCTTTAATATGTGTGACATCACTGGGTCCTTCTTTAAAGTAGCAATATGTAAGAATTTCATGTCAAGTCATCATTAAAAAGGGCCCTAATCTGTCAAAAAGCATTAATAAAACATGCTCTTTTCCAATCCTTCTTTAACTGATAACAGTCGTTATATTTGATATTTGAATTTCTAAATTACTTTTCCAGTCTCTAAATCTTGTTATTGTTTTCATTTCGATGTCCCGCCCTTCACCGTTTCACCAATCAGAAAGTCTGTGATCTGGGCGCCAGAACTCACCGCGTGGAGCTAATCTCACTGGTAAAGTACCATGTGGCGCAGAACTAAAAAAGGTCTCGTTATGATTCTCAAATCATTAACGACAAAACAAGGAATAAAACCAGGATTTCTATCTTTGTGAAAAAGGTGTTGGTTATAGATTTGTTGTTGACAAAACTCTTGTCTATTCAGCTGTTATGGTCCCAGCTGGATTCGTCTGCATATCTGGCAACCTGAGTCAGGAAGAGTGGGAGAGGCTGCAGTACCACTTTTGGCCACATGTTCACAGACTGCTCTATGTGTGACTCTCAGGGATCTATCTGACGAGAATGCAAAAGATCAATGTTTTCTGATGAGATGACGACGGGATGGAGTGGTCTGAACTTTTGACTTTTTGTCTGAAACAGCCGTGTCCCCGACGTGTTCTGAGGATGATATTGTGGTTAGATCTCAGGTCTGTAAATGTGACGATACCTGGAGCCGACTGCAGCGGAGCACTGGGAACACTGCGAACTCCATACTCTTCATCAGCCAGAAACAGGCTCGAACCTGAACACACACACACACACACACACACACACAGACACAGACAGACACACACACACACACACACACACACAAACAGACAGAGATGCAGACAGACACACACACACGCACACACACACGCATACACAGACAGAGATGCAGACAGACGCACACACAGACATAAGACAAAAACAGGGATTAATATTAGATTTGTAATGAATGCAAACGCTGCAGTGCTAAAAAGAAAACCTAAAATTCCAAATTAAAATCATCCTTTTGCTTTGTGTTTAAATGTCATTTTTGATGCGTTCTTTGTGATGGAATCTGATGCCAGGATGAAAAATTAAAAAACAGCTGAATTTTGAACCCAAACATATGGTACGCTGCAGTCAGATACTGAATAGTTTCAAAGGGTCTGGAGACTCGATGTAGATCAGTCTACCTCCTCCTGACGACAGCTCTCCCAGGTCTGAGGAGCTGGTCTGAGGGACCTCCTCTGGGGCCGACATCCTGAAGCGCGAGAAACCGCTCTGAGGAGACCTGCAAAACACCAAACGCTCAGGATTCTATGTGCCATAACGGAATTCTAACTTTACTACAGACTCGAGGTCCAGATATGTGTAATGTAATCTGTCTATGATACTGGCAGGAAGAGTAGGACCAATGTAAACAAAACCAGAGGTAGTTTGGGTCGATCTACACCAACTAAAGCTTGTGATAGAAGTAGTTTTGAAGCTAGTTACATGTTTTTATTGCATTATTACCCCTTGTGCAGATTGAAAGTTGCGAACTCTAGCTTCAATTTCCATTTTGCCCTCTGTGGAAGGTGCTGTATGAATAACTTACTTACTATTCAGAGTCAAAGCGCTTTACAATTGTGGGCATTTGTCTCACTCCACACAGAGATGGGAGCATACAGGAGATTCGAACCCAGGACGGAAAAGCATACAGGGCTAACCACTCAGCCACTCACACAAGCAGAAATTCAGAACTAATGTAATGTCATGTTAGACCAAGAACACTTGTAAAAAGGGTAGCATTAGCATTACCTTCAGTCTTTTCGGTTTATCTGCTTTGTAATGGTGTGTGTAAATGTGAAAGTGACCAAAATAAAAAACTTTGAATCATCTGTCAATCAACAAAGTACAAAAAAGAATTAACAAGAGGTATTTTGATATAAGTCTTGAGGCTGTATCTTTCTATCTGTATTGGCGTCTGTCTGCAAATGATCCAACACCTGAGGCTCAGTAAGAATAACTATTTCTCCATCATGTGTCGAGTCTTACTGCATGGCCTGGTCGTACCCATCCGAGCGCTGCGGTGCGACCGGAGTGGGAGCGTTGGGAACCAGGCGATCGTCATCCTCCGAGTGCTGCTGCAAAACAAGCAACAAGGCTCAGGGGAAAAAACATTAAAACATTTACAGTCTCTGGACTCGGACGGCATCAGCACAGACTTACAGAGCTGCCGGGAACGCTGTGAGAGAGAGGCATCTGTCTGCGGCCGGGAAGACGCTGGAGAATACACCAGAAGAGTCAATACAGAACAATGCAACACAGGATCAAATATAAGCTAAAATGTCTAAAGCGAGTGGTTTTTATCTTAGTATGAGCACATTCTGACTGTCTTAAAACTAGATTTGCCAAAGGAACAAGCCGTTTAGTCTTATATCAAGAAATGACATTTTTTTCACATTCCAAAGGAGACATTTCTTGTATATTTTTAAAACAAGACACTTAGGCTTAGTAAACGTGTGTGCGCTTTGTCAACGTGTGTGTGTGTGCGCGCTTTGTCAACGTGTGTGTGTACTTTAACACGTGTGTGTGTGTGCTCTTTGTCAACGTGTGTGTGTACTTTGTTAACACGTGTGTGTGTGTGCTCTTTGTCAACGTGTGTGTGTACTTTGTTAACATGTGTGTGTGTGCGCTTTGTCAACGTGTGTGTGTGTGCGCTCTTTGTCAACGTGTGTGTGTGTGCGCTTTATTAACTTGTGTGTGCGCTTTGTGAACGTGTGTGCGGAATCCGGACCTGGAGCTGAGCGGGGGCCCCCAGCTCAGAGCCGGGGTGGGGGCTCATGCGTGGGGGCTGGTGGCTTCTCCTGGGAGACGGTGGCATCCTGGAGCCTGAGCCTGAGACGGTCTGCTCTGAGAAGGCCTCCGCTGCACTGGCCTCGTCTGAAATCACACAAACGTTTCTCTTCTCACGCGACTAACTCCCGTCTTGACTAATGGCCGCAAAGTTCAAACCGATTAGTTTTATTGAATGTTTAGAAAATCTATCTTTTGCTTCAATACAACACATACTAAAGACCGTTATCAGTCCTACAGTGGGAACTTTCAATGTCAACGTTACAGCACATTACAGCAGAATGTAAGACCACATCACCCCGGTCCTCAAACAACTCCACTGGCCTCCATCACTGACCTCCTCCATCACCACTGACCTCCTCCATCACCACTGACCTCCTCCATCACCACTGACCTCCTCCATCATCACTGACCTCCTCCTCCATCACTGACCTCCTCCTCCATCACTGACCTCCTCCTCCATCACTGACCTCCTCCTCCATCACTGACCTCCTCCTCCATCACCACTGACCTCCTCCATCATCACTGACCTCCTCCTCCATCACTGACCTCCTCCTCCATCACTGACCTCCTCCTTCATCACTGACCTCCTCCTCCATCACTGACCTCCTCCTCCATCACTGACCTCCTCCTCCATCACTGACCTCCTCCTCCATCACTGACCTCCTCCTCCATCACTGACCTCCTCCATCACTGACCTCCTCCATCAGCACTGACCCTCCAGCCGCCTCAGATCCACAGACTCCAACCTCCTCACTCAACACCCCAGGACTGAACACAGACCCTTGGGAGACTGAGCCTCTGCTGCAGCTGCCCACACTCTGGAACTCACTCCCACAACCGTCAGACTAACTCACTACAGAACTTTAAATCACTTCTAAAAACCCACCAGTTTCAGCTTCCTTTTCCTTAACTTTGCCCCTCTATGTTTATTTCATATGTTTTGTAAAGCGTCTTTGAATGTCCAAAACAGCGCTATACAAGTTCCATTTTTGTTATTGTTGTTTTCTAAGTATTATTATTAAGAAAGGAGGATATGAGAGACTCAGATTGTAGATACATTCGTTCAGGGGAAAACTCCAGCTTGCTTTGGTACCACATCTGCCCTGGTTACCGTGCAAAGCTAACCCCATCAGAACAAATGCCCATATTATGGATTAGGGCTCCAGTTAACACATTATTGACAGACAAATGCTACACGACCTGCGTTCTGTTCCGTCATTTTCATATTTTATCTGCCGTCTCATCGATCTCTTTGTATTTACAACTAATTTTCTCACACAGGGTTTTTTGAGTTGTTTTTTTGCTGACGCAGGAGGGTCTAATGATCCAGGTCTCTGCCTCTTATGGACCAACGCCTCTATGTGTTTTGATTCTCTGATCTGCTGTTGGCAAATCGACGGTTTTGTAAAGTCTGGGAACACTACTGTTGAGATTTAGGGCGACAGAAGAATAAATTGAATTGAAATGAAACTGGATCGTCTGTAGTGTCTGTGCGGTCGCCTCATGATCTAAAAATACTCATTTAAACTGCTGCAAACTCAATCATTTCAAGAAAGAGGCTCGACTTTCCCTTTTGGCAGGAGCTCCACACATTCCCACAAATGTGACAATGTGTTTGACGTGTGCAGCGACGGCGAAGGGAAGGACAAACTATTACATAAGGAAACATCCGGACAAAGGTTTCAGATCTGCAGCAGGAGAAACCGCTCAATAAGTCATTACTCAGAGCTCTGTCCTAAAGTCTAGTCTGAGTCTTTCACTTCCTGTCCCTGTGTGACCCGTGTGTGGCTCTTTAGCTGCTGCTCTGGGGCGGCTCCTTTCCAGTAACAAAACCTTCAGAGGGAAATATTTAGTTTAACAAATATTTAACATTTCAACATTTTGTGTGAGCCAAAAAAAAACATTACATTTTTTATTTTATCTGAGAATTTAGAACTGCGACTCAAGGTTGTTAAAGCATCCTCTTGGTTATTACCTTCGGTCACAATCTCTTCTCACATAATTAACTGTTTATACAACTGCATTTAGGGAGAAATGGAAAAACCTAAAATGTTTTGCACAAACGTCTTAAAGGCTACATTGCGTATTATGGTCAAACTTGAACATTACTTAACGATGCAGTCAATTTATCCAGACGCAATTTTTTAAATATTGTGGGAAACTTCCCTAAACCCCAAAAGTAGCCAAGTCATCATGTATTCAAATAGACATGGACACGACCTGAAACCTCAAAGAATAATTATAAATATTTTGGAGCGGACCGAAACCAATGGAATGCGCCCAAACTACTTAATCAGAACAAAAGTAGCAGAGAATTTCTCCCTTCAGACAATCCACTGTAGCTCACCATTATGTGGACTAAGTATATTATCCCGATTTGTAAAACAATGGGACAACTTTTGAGTATTAACTATTTTAAAAAAAGATCATTTGGGGAGCTATTTTGAAGAGTAAGTGAGTAAGTAATGTTTATTTATATAGCACCTTTCACAGAGCGCTTGGGCTTTGTGACTCTGGTCCATTGTGGGCTTTTGTCTCTCACTCCACAGAGATGGGAGCAAGGTCACCACACAGGAGGCGCTCGCCAGACCTACTGTACATGTTTTAATGATAGGGGGAACCGTAGCACCCGGAGGAAACCTACGCAGACACACACAAACTCCACTTCGTCAAGGCCCTGTTCCGACCAGGATCCGAACCCAGGACCTTAATTTTATGCTTAAGATTGAGATTTTATTGTATGTTAGTATAGTTATTGCTCATTTATGTTGGGCTGTGTGCTCTTCATTCCTACTGCTCCGTAACTGCAGATGCAACACTGACATTTCTCCACTGTGGGACTAAAGAATCTCTTAATCTTTATCTAATCTTAGAGCAACCGACACGCGTACATAGACACATAGAGATAGAGACATAGAGATAGACAGAGACACAGACACACAGAGACAGACACACAGAGACAGACACATAGAGACAGAGACATAGAGACAGAGACGCCGACACAGACACAGAGACACAGACACATAGAGACAGAGACACAGACACATAGAGACAGAGACACAGACACAGAGACACAGACACATAGAGACAGAGACACAGACACATAGAGACAGAGACACAGACACAGACACATAGAGACAGAGAGACAGACACAGACACATAGAGACAGAGAGACAGACACATAGACACAGAGACAGAGACACAGACACACAGAGACTCAGACACATAGAGACAGAGACACAGACACATAGAGACAGAGACACAGACACAGAGACAGAGACACAGAGACAGAGACAGACACAGACACATAGAGACAGAGACACAGACACATAGAGACAGAGACACAGACACAGAGACACATAGAGACATAGAGACAGACACAGACACATAGACAGAGACTCAGACACATAGAGACAGAGACACAGACACATAGAGACAGAGACATAGACACAGACACATAGAGACATAGAGACAGACACATAGACACAGAGACAGAGACACAGACACATAGAGACAGAGACACAGACACAGAGACAGAGACACAGACACAGACACACAGAGACATAGACTCAGACAGATAGAGACAGAGACTCAGACACATAGAGACAGAGACACAGACACATAGAGACAGAGACACAGACACACAGAGACATAGACTCAGACAGATAGAGACAGAGACTCAGACACATAGAGACAGAGACACAGACACATAGAGACAGAGACACAGACACAGACACACAGAGACATAGACTCAGACACATAGAGACAGAGACTCAGACACATAGAGACAGAGACACAGAGACAGAGAGACAGACACAGACACATAGAGACAGAGACACAGACACATAGAGACAGAGACAGAGACACAGACACACAGAGACTCAGACACATAGAGACAGAGACACAGACACATAGAGACACAGACACAGACACATAGACACAGAGACAGAGACACAGACACACAGAGACTCAGACACATAGAGACAGAGACACAGACACATAGAGACACAGACACAGACACAGAGACACAGAGACATAGAGACAGAGACACAGACACAGACACAGACACATAGAGACATAGCAAAAGAGACTCCTCAGACACCACCACATCCCATTAGCAGACACATGAGATATTAGCAGTTATCTAAGGGCTGTGGGGATGGCGTGTCGGTGCTAGAGAACGGTCAGACGGACTTTCCCGGATCTTACAGCTGGGCGTCTGGGAATCCGCGGGCCTCTGGGTGGAGTCCGACACCCCCACGTTCTCCTCAGTCTCCGTCCCTGGGTCCGTGACATCAGCTCCCTGGGAAAACAACACCAAACAGTCAAAAGAACCTGGTTTAGAAGGTGAAACCCGGCCCACGGTCAGAGGCTGCGGTGGATTGGGTGGGAACGTTTTGGAAAGCACATTATAGGAGGATATACAAGCATCTGGGGCTGGTTAAGTGGAACCAACTCCAGTATTTCCATGCTTTCTGAACGTGTAGTGGAAAAGTTAGAGTCTCAAGGGAAGTTTGTCAATGAAAGAAAAAAAATGATGGGATTTAACAGTTGAATAGAATGAGTACTGAGGAGAATTTATTTGTCAGTTATGCCAGTTGTACACATTAGTGCTGGGGATAAACATACATTCTGTTCAGTATGGAGAGTTTGCGCACGTAATTAAATCGATACAGTAGATATTTTAATTAAATATTCCAATAATATCTGTTTAACATTCATATTTTCCAGTATGTACATTACCAAAGTTTCCTCTGGTCATTTCCATCTGCGGTTTATGTGACTCTATGACGTCTGCTTGTCCTGACTCTAGGACGTCAGCTTGTCCTGACTCTAGGACGTCAGCTTGTCCTGACTCTAGGACGTCAGCTTGTCCTGACTCTAGGACGTCAGCTTGTCCTGACTCTAGGACGTCAGCTTGTCCTGACTCTAGGACGTCAGCTTGTCCTGACTCTAGGACGTCAGCTTGTCCTGACTCTAGGACGTCAGCTTGTCCTGACTCTAGGACGTCAGCTTGTCCTGACTCTAGGACGTCAGCTTGTCCTGACTCTAGGACGTCAGCTTGTCCTGACTCTAGGACGTCAGCTTGTCCTGACTCTAGGACGTCAGCTTGTCCTGACTCTAGGACGTCAGCTTGTCCTGACTCTAGGACGTCAGCTTGTCCTGACTCTAGGACGTCAGCTTGTCCTGACTCTAGGACGTCTGCTTGTCCTGACTCTAGGACGTCTGCTTGTCCTGACTCTAGGACGTCTGCTTGTCCTGACTCTAGGACGTCTGCTTGTCCTGACTCTAGGACGTCTGCTTGTCCTGACTCTAGGACGTCTGCTTGTCCTGACTCTAGGACGTCTGCTTGTCCTGACTCTAGGACGTCTGCTTGTCCTGACTCTAGGACGTCTGCTTGTCCTGACTCTAGGACGTCTGCTTGTCCTGACTCTAGGACGTCTGCTTGTCCTGACTCTAGGACGTCTGCTTGTCCTGACTCTAGGACGTCTGCTTATTGTGACTCTAGGTCTGCTTGTTGTGACTCTGATGTCTGCCCTGTTATTTTGAAAGACCCTTTTTCAACCTTTTCACTTTAAAATCAACACAAACTCCACTCGCAGTCACCAATAACAGTAATCTAATGCATTTCCTCTGCTCAGTGCTATAATAGACTGTTCTGTTCTTGTACATGGCCTCAAACTGTGAAGATGAAGAATAGTAAACCATGTGGAACTCTTTCATTCCAGAGTTTGGGGGAGTTAGGTAGAGTTTGGGCGGCTACAGAAACAGTTTGCCAATTCCAAGCTTCACCCCAGATTAAAAGTGAAAAGCCATTAGCGGTTCATGAACAGACACTGAGTCATCGAAGCACCGACATCCCAGAATGCACTGGAAAGTAAACAGGCAGAGCAGACACCAACAGGCGGCTGGTCATTGGGAAGCTGCACTACACACTCACACTTTAATTCATAATAAAGCATTGGTTTTATATCAACTATGTTTGTCAGAGGGCCAGAGTTTTACCAGACAGTTTCCTCGGGGACTAGCGTAGCCGCAAAGAGAAAATAAAATGAACATAAGTAAGTAATGTTTGTTTATATAGTGCATTTTACAGACCAAGGCCAACCAAAGCGCTTTACAATGTTCTGAGTTCAGATATTTCCTATCACTCCACCCGGTGATGACGGAAGCAAGACGCCCAAGACTACATTCATACCTATTGCGCATGTTTTTAGTGGTAGGGGAAACCGGAGCAGACACGGGAGAATACTCAAACCACTCAAATGCCCCGTTTCCGGCCGGGATTCGAACCCAGGACCTTCTTGCTGAGAAGCGAGAGCGCTAACCACTCAGCCACCGTGCCGCCCAACATAACATTCTGGCTTAACATTATATTTTATGTTTATACTTTACTCATTTCATTACAAAACTGAAGGCATTTGATTAAGGCTCCTATCGCCTATACTACAGTCCACCACTAGGGGCGATAGAGATTTTGCATTTCAATGATAGTTTAGCATAGGAGAATCAGCACCTCCAAATCCGAGGCCATGGTGCTCGACCGGAAAAAGGTGCCTTGCCCTCTGCAGGTGGGTGGAGAGGTCCTTCCTCAAGTGGAGGAGTTCAAGTATCTCGGGGTCTTGTTCACGAGTGAGGGGAGGATGGAGCGTGAGATTGACAGGCGGATCGGTGCAGCGTGCGCAGTGATGCGGTCTCTGTATCGGACCGTTGTGGTAAAGAGGGAGCAGCGTCTGCAGTCAGAGCTGTATCGGACCGTTGTGGTGAAGAGGGAGCAGCGTCTGCAGTCAGAGCTGTATCGGACCGTTGTGGTGAAGAGGGAGCAGCGTCTGCAGTCAGAGCTGTATCGGACCGTTGTGGTGAAGAGGGAGCAGCGTCTGCAGTCAGAGCTGTATCGGACCGTTGTGGTGAAGAGGGAGCAGCGTCTGCAGTCAGAGCTGTATTGGACCGATGTGGTAAAGAGGGAGCTGAGCCGAAAGGCAAAGCTCTCAATTTACCGGTCAATCTTCGTTCCCTCCCTCACCTATGGTCATGAGCGTTGGGTAATGACCGAAAGAACGAGATCGCGGATACAAGCGGTCGAAATGAGCTTCCTCCGCAGAGTGGCTGCTCCCTTAGAGATAGGGTGAGGAGCTCGGTCACACGGGAGGAGCTCGGAGTAGAGCCGCTGCTTCTCCACGTCAAGAGGAACCAGTTGAGGTGGCTCGGGCATCTGTTCAGGATGCCTCCTGGACGCCTCCTTGGGGAGGTGTTCCGGGCACGTCCCACCGGGAGGAGGCCCCGGGGAAGACCCAGGACACGCTGGAGGGACTATGTCTCTCAGCTGGCCTGGGAACGCCTTGGGGTCCCCCCGGACGAGCTGGAGGAGGTGTGTGTGGATAGGGAAGTCTGGGCGTCTCTGCTTAGACTGCTGCCCTCGCGACCCAGCAACGGATAAAGCGGAAGAAAATGGATGGATGGATGGATGATAGTTTAGCCTCAGGTTACAGCCGACATAATGGTAAAAATACTTGTTGGGATTAAAGCACAGACCTCGGGCTCGTCCTCCTCGTAGGCCTCTGCGTCTCCACTGCCCTCGTTACTGTCCTCCGCCTCCTCTTCCTCCATCTCTCCATCATCCTCCTCTTCATCCTCGTCGTCCTCATCCTCCTCCTCTTCATACTCCTACAAAACAGAGGTTGAAACATTGAGCTGCCTGAGAAAAGATAAGTGTGGACAGTCTTTATTAAAGCCTGGTCTTATCCGTCCATAAACTCTGGTCGATTATCATTTCTTTACAGGTACCGTCTGGGTCTACTCCCAGTTAAAGCATTTACATAGGATCAATCCCATCCAACCAATCAGAGAGCGGGGGAGGCGGGTGTTGTAGGTAACTGTCGGTGATGTCAAGAGTTTGCGCTGAATTTGCTGGTTGTAGTTGGGCCGGAAACTGAAGCCGGAGCAAGAGGAATGTTTAGTAAATGTCATTGCTGCAAAGATGTTGTGGCTCTACTTCCCACGGGATCTGCTAGTGGCAAAGAAGATGGCTAAAGCTAGGCTAAATGCTAAAGCTAGGCTAAATGCCAAATGCTCACTCCGGATCCGAGTTTACCGTGATGTATGTAACTTGCCAATCGTTTCAATCTGAAGAAGGAGTTAACCCCTCCCAACTGTTAATGGAGTCAATGGGGCAAATCCAGACCTTAATGTGAAAAAAGGTAAGATTATTTTGGACCAGTCTAGTTTAGTTGCTGTGGAATTTTAAGCTGACAAATGTGCAAATGCGTTTTTTTCACATTTTCCTGCCCAGCGGCCATTTTGAAAAGCCCCATAGAAGGTAAGAGTGAGGACACATTGGTTTGAGCGGCAGAGATTGGCGTGACTATATTCGGTAATATTTACAGTCTATGGGTAAGACCAGGCTACTATCAAACAAACTTACTTGTTCATCGTCCTCTTCCTCCTCCTCTTCATCGTCCTCCTCCTCGTCCTCCTCTTCCTGGACTTCCTCGCTCTCGGAGTCGGTCAGAATCACGATCACTTCTTTCTGTAGCTCGGTCTCGCGCGGCGTTCCCTCCTGCTCCATCACAGACTGAGGGACCGCGCTCTCCTCGTCATCCTCCAACTCTTCGTCCTGGACACAAACGCAGGAAAGACTTTACAAAAATCCTTTGAGCTAAACTTTAAAGCTCTAAATCACAACAGTGGTTTTCTCTGAGGACTTAACGAAGCTTTTGATGCAGCTACAACAGATCATAGAATCGAACCATAACAGGCAGAGACCAATTTCCATTAATGTTAAAGGAGACGAATTTTGCAAAATAGTGGTCAGATAACATAAGATAAATGTATATGTCACATTTGGCACAGATAGAAAGACGCTGGGTGTGCAAAAAGACAGGAAGTCATGTTAAAAACAGTCTTTTGCCAATGACATGGTCTCGGTACAATGACATTATCACACTCAGAGTATTCCCCCTAAATTACTTTTGGACTTTTGGGTACATTTAAGGTTTGGAAAAGCAGCATAACTCCTCCCTCTAGTGGCAGCATCAGGAGAAACAGGCGGATAGCATTTTTACCATTTCCGCAATATTTTCAACTCAAGATTGAAATGAAATAAAGTAAATAGTCTCATTGTCATTTCAATGGCCTCAGGCAAGACACTTTATAATGAGTCGTGTGTGTGTGAATGGTTGGTGGTGGAACTGGTTGCCTCGCTTCTGTCAGTGTGCCCCAGGGCAGCTGTGGCTAAAGTGGTAGTTTATCACCACCGTGTATGGAGGGAATGAATGACGACATATGAAGTGTCTTTGAGCGTCCAAATAAAAGCTGTATAAAACTGATTCATAATATTATTAATAATATTGCATTCCACCAGTGGATCAGTACCATGTGGATCAGTACCATGTGGATCAGTACCATGTGTTTTACCTGCGATGCTTCAGTGGCGTCCTGGCTGTCGGAGGGCACCACGCCTTCAGCCTCAGCACTGTCCTCCGTCAGCATTTCCTCCTGAAACAATAACAGCGGAGAGTCCTCAAGTTAAAGCTTAAACAGTTCAAAGTTTGATCACTCTAGATCTGTGTGGAACCGGAACAGCTCGGTCTTTGGAGGCGGACTTTCAAAAATCTGTCACAGCGTCCAGGACCGCGATCCCGGAGCTGAATCCCGGACCCGAATCCATGACCCAATCTAGGACTGCAATTCAAGACCTGGACCCGGGACCCGTGAATGTTCAAATATCATTGTTTTCTAATCAATTTAAAAAACTGTTCTATGACAAATCATTACGGACAGCTGCATTAGTCATCTTGTGTCAAACTCCTCTGTACATTAGAGTTTGGTCATTGACAAACCATATGTTCAGTTTTCCAAAGTCTACGTGTTTGAAAAGTGTTGGAGTTTGATAGAAGACCACCCTTCTGTAAAAACCAAGAGCTCAGACTTTAAATCTGTCAATAAAAAGCTTCATAGAACAAAGAATAACTCTTCTTGTGTCTCATGTGATGCCTAGGACCCCGACCCAGGAACCAGGACCCCGACCCAGGAACCAGGACCCCGACCCAAGATCCAGACCCAGGAGAGTTCTTTCCTGTATGTGGTTTGTTTTTGTTTTGCATGCTTCTAAATACCTCATGTTTCGAAGGTGGAGCAGCGTTTTAGGAGGTGCATGTTGACACACACATTTGAGACTACGCCAGGGTCCTACACAACGGCCATGGGTCCTACACGAGTCCATTAAGAGGGCCCAGACCGCTCACCTCTGGTCCCACTCTCTGGATGATGCGCAGTTTCTTGGGAGCCCTGGAGGTGTCCTCGGTGGGGACCTCTGCCTCCGTGACCACAGTGGAGCTCTCCTCTTCCTCTCGAGGCCTTTTAGACATGGAGGATCCCGGAGTGGCAGAAACTGAAAAATCACAGCAGGCAATTAGAAGGATTGATAAATTAGACCACGGCTGTCAAAACAGTCCTCAACTACAATCCAAGGTTTTAGTTTCAACCTGAGCAGGAGCACAGCAGACTCCACCCATTGCCTCTGCTGAGTCCAGTTTTCACCAGAGGATTTGATGGAATGGGAGGAGTCTGTGTGCATCAGAATGTCCACAACTATACATAGATACATAAAACATGACTGATTACAACAACAAAAGTTCTTTGATCGAAAGCGAGGCAGAAGTAGTAAAAATATACAAGATACAACTAATAATAAGGAGACTTTTCTGCACAATTTTAAACTAAATATAATAATGGTATCACAAAACATTTAGATGCAACTGTAAAATGGTCAACGTCATGAATATATACAGATGGATTAAACATTCAGACAGAACCTAAACCAGGGGTTAAAGCAAAAAAAATTAATTACAATATATTATTGTATAATAGATTGTATATTGAATACAGCTCAAATGAATGCTTCAAAGATATACAGTGTATTTTGATATGAAATATAAGTGGATCAAGCAAAGAGTCAATTTTTTGACAGAATATTAGTGAGAGTAGCTTTACTTGAGGCGATATGGAGCGTCAACACTTTGGCTCTGTCCTCGTCAAAATATCGCAAAAGGACGATAACATTCTGTCCACATTTGTTTGTGGACACGTCAATATTTAATAAAAAGGTTTCCCTATCAAGTTTGAGTGCACAGTGCACTTCGATCAACTGCAAATGATTTAAATAAATGTACCAGCGGTAGTGATATTCTGAACGTTATTTTCTGCGATAAAGCCACAGACACGGTCTGCCATAGCAAGCCTAGTGTCAGTTGTTGCTGATGCACCAGGTAAAGATGAAGTGTGGGAAAGTGCACAAACAGCTGCCTTGTGCGCAGTTTTGAGCTGGTGGCGAATCAAAACTTTTTTCTCATTACTCCCATATATGCAATTTTTTATGGCAAAGTACGCACAAGCACCGGCCACTTTCATCTTTTCGCACCATGACTCGTTGATTGGCTCTTTTACATCACGCTGAGTTTTGCAAGAAGATCGCAACCAAGACAATATCAAAAGCTCACCAAGACATGTTTGTCCCCATTCCCAGTCGCAGCAAAGTCCGTTTTGTACATTCCGTTAAGTAAAATAGCATTGCGTTTGGTAAACGTTAATTACCTTTAGTCTATTACGCGCCCAGCTTACCAGTCCGCGGATCTGCTGCTGTTATTGCTCCGTTCGAGATTCAATTTTCCTCCTCTTCTCCTTTTCAAAAGCTCCGTGCAGTTTCCAGAAACTTTCACCTCCGTGTTACCAATGCTAACTTCATCGCGTCTCCATTTGCGCGTGAGCTCAGCTACGTCCCATTGCCTTGATTCATTTGCGGAGCGCTCATGTGGCCACGGCACGTTCAAGGCCCACTCGTCATTATATTACTTATTATTTCTATATACATATAAATACAATTATATTCAACTTATTATTTCTATATACATATAAATACAATTATATTCAAATTATTATTATACATCGATATATATATATATAACAGATTCACACGTATATGTATTACTATATATTATTTTTATAATCAATCATTTCATTGTGTGTATTATTATCATTATATATATATATATATATTTTTTTTTTCCAGACCAATTTCATTTGACGGAAATCCGTCACCTAGACGGAACTCTTTAATCCCTGACCTAAACCCTGTTTTACTGGACTCTGTATGTCCAACGCTGTCGACATCAACATGATTAACACTATAGATTATCAGCACTTTGAGCACTTCCACCGTCCTGCATTTCGACAAAAGCCTCTCTTTGTATTTGAATTAATAACTTTATGGGCTCGATATTCAACAACATTTATGGACATTATCATCTGCTCCTTATAGACTTATGTTTTACTCATTATCAAGGTGACACTTTTATGCTTTTTAACAGTTTTATCCTTTGAATGCATAAATATTTGAATGGATTTTGTTGTAAACGGCTCTATAAATAAAATGGATTGAAGCGTCTGAGTGTCCAGAAAAGCACTATGTAAAACTGATTATAGTTATTATGGTGTGTAAGGAGCAGGGGTCTCACCGGTCCCAAACACCGAGGAGGACGTCGAGGGCCACTCCATCTGGCTGCTGGAGGTGGGCGGGGCCTCGAGGGCCATGGGAGGGTGCTCCTGATTGGCCGGCTCGGAGTGGCTCACGTTCTGCTGCTGCGTTGGTTGGACGAAGGCGGTGGCCTGGCTCTGCACCTGCTGCACCGTTAGCATGGGGCTAGCTAACGTAGTCAGGACGCTAGGGCTAGCAGAGCGCACAGAGCCGCTCGCACTACCGTACACCGTCACGTGCTCCACCGGCGGCGCTTCAGACTGCATGGCTGCGGAGAGAAGAGAATTAATTTCAAGTTTTTAGGATGAGATAATATAAATAACTCAGCCATGTGTTTCAGTTTCAGTTTCAGGCCAATACAAGAACACGATCATGTTTTCATCCATGTGTCAACATTTATCAAATTCATCCCCACCGCTGTCAGACTGTACAATAAGTCACTGTAAGTCACCTGCACTAGGACTGAAGAACCAGCAGTAATTGCCATAATAATATCCTGCACAGACTGTATTTTTAACCTTTACCATGTTTCACACTTCTGTCTTTAGCACAATCTGAGTGATTCTATCTGTGTTAATGTGACATGTATATTTCTCCATCAGAGATTAATAAAGTCTTAAATTGGGAAATTCTGCATTCATTCATGAGTTTGAGTCAGGGACAGAGAGAGGACTTCGCAGAGAACCTTGAAGTCCTCCATTAGTTTTCAGGCCTGGAGATAAAGTTAATCTGGCTCAGCTCGTAGGAATAGTTAGAGAAGTAGGATTTAATTGTAAAGATAATTAAATGTTATTTATTTGAACTCTTTTAATATCTTGGTCTTCTCTGGTCATAAGCCTTAGTACTGCACACACCTTCCTGCGTCTCCACTTGGGTGGTGGGCATGACGGTGGCGGTGGGGGTGGGCGTGGGCACAGGGGCCGGGGTGATCATGGGTCTGATGCTGGCTCTGGGCGTGGCCTTGTTCCCGGGGATGGCCGTCTGTTTGCTGCCCGAGGCCACGGGGGTCGGTTTGATGTTGGCGGTGGGAGGCTCGGAGGTGCTGGCGCTAGCAACAAAACAGAAACAAATACATTTATGATTTATTTTCCCCCCAAAATCATTTATTTATGATTTTTCAATTATTAACAGACAAACAAACATAAAAACCACTGGAGATTACCGCAAGAAAATAAATAATAAAATTGATATATATTTATGATAATAATACATAAATAAATAATAATATAAATCAGAAATAATTATATTGATCTTCGATTTAATAAACTAACAAAGGAGCCATATCTAATCAAATCCCCGTTAAGAACAAATGATTCTCCTTCATGAGCTACTGTTGCTTTCTTTGTCTTTCCATTTAAATGCAATTATCCGTTTGGCCTGAATTAGACAAATATTAAGTAAATGGATCTTTTTTTAATTTAGTGACAGATTCTTTGGGTGAATGTGAAGCAGACACATTTTTGCATCCAAAGGGAACTGATAACCCAACAGTGTGGATGTAAAGCTGAGAACTTGACGCCAAAACAATTGAAGCTCTTTCCGTTCCCAGACAATGAATGAAGGTTCCAGTTGTGTGCATTTAAAACATTTGAACTCTTACGGCCAATGTATTTTAATTTTACTGGAGTAATGTAGGTCCTTAAGCAACCATTTATATTGAATTAATCTACCATGCGGTTTTTTTTTTAATCCATCCATTTTCTTCCCCTTAATCCATTTCTGGGTCAGGGGGGTGTCAGTCAGAGCTGCACCCAGTCACACAGCACCAGCCCCTCACTGATCCTCCTGCAGGTGGTGAGTCCACAGGAGCTGAGATCTTTCAGTGGGAGCTTCAGGCAAAGTGGGGTTAAGTGTCTTGCCCAAGGACACAACGACAGTAGTCATCAGTGGGAGTCGTGATGTAGGTCTTATGGTGGGCTCGAACCCACGACCTTCAGGCTCAAAGGCCAATGCTCTACCAACTGAGCTACTGTCGCCCCCTGTTTTTTTTTTTAAATATATTTTATTCCACACTTTTAAAAATAAGTAAAATAAGAAAGGACACAAAATAATCAGAAATTCTACTCTTACTCCAAGGGGACAAGTGTAAACAATCAACATGTGAAGCCAAGGCTAATTCGCAATGTTTGTCCCTCGAAGCTTTTAACACAATTTAAAACATTTTCAGGTTTAAGACAGTTCTGTTTAGCTGTGCATACGACAGAGATTTTCTTTTTAATGTTCTGTGATATTTATGATTTTATCGCCATCTAGTCTTGTTCAGCACTTTGAGTTGACTTGTGTGTGAATGGTGCAATACAAATAAACTTTCCTTGCCATTTTATATTTTACTCAGATTGATAATGATGCATGTAAACTTGTGCGCGCCAATCGAGGAGTGAAAAACCAGTGACACCAAAATGCCTGGGTCGCTGGTCTGTGATGTCATTAGAGTTTTGTTGTTTTACCTGCCGCGATCTGCAGCTGGAGTGGTCTTCAGACTGATCTGTCTTTGCTCACCGCTCCTCTGCTGCTCCTGCGCCTGGAGAAAACAAAAGGAAAAACTAAGAACTGCTGCACGAACAGGTTATGTACAAGAGCTCGCGTCTCGGTCCTGCGATAGATATTATATGATACTCCTTTATCGTCTCATGTTACAAATCTGTCTTGGGACAGGGATTCCCACATTTGGTGGACAATAACAATTAAAATAAAATCTAACCTAATAAAGAAACAAGTGTAAATGACTGTATTTTCTAGTGTAAGAAACATATACTGGTAGTTGTGTGTATACATTTGTACATGTTTGTCACTTAATCACATATGTGGTTTTATATTGCACATTATTCTGACATTTACAATCACAGCTGTGTTTGCAAAGTCACATTATTTCAAATTCTAAAACATGAAATGACAAAGTAAATTGTCTCATTTTGCAGATGTGTGTTTGGAGAGAGCGCGTGACAGGCCGTCCCACACTGACCTTGCTGGGCCCGGCCTCCGCTGGTTCGTCTCGCTGGTCCTGTCTCTCCTGGTGGCCCCTCAGGTCCCTCAGCTCTCGCTCTTGCCGACTCAGACGACCTTCGAACTGGGACTTGAGGGCCCCCACTCGGACCTCCAGCTCCTCGCGCTGCTGCTTCAACTCTTCGTTCTCCTTCTCCAGCTGCTCCTTGGTCGCTAAAGTCAAAAAGAAATGTGGTCAATTTGGTGTCATGTGGATAATGGTTCAAAATGTATTAAGATCCTCTCCTCATGTTTAAGGCTTGGGAGGTTTGTTTGAGGAGTAAAAACTTGTTCTGCTTAATTACCACATTTCATCAGAGGAGACAGTGTGACGTGTGTTATCAGCTGTTACCGGATGTGGTCAGTCTGACAGATCGATCTGATTTGTCAGACTGGCCACGCCCCCTGTGGTCTCTGGTGAAGTGAGTCCCAAGTGTGAGCCAAGGTGAAAGCCCCCTCAGTCTCTGTTCATGGTCCGTGTCCTACTTCCTGATTTCAATCTCTTCTCGTATGCATGTTTTCTATTTTTGTACTTCTGCTCCTACTATTTTTGCATCCATTATGTGAATTTCTCTTTTGCAGTGGAGAAAAATACATCATGGAGGGTGTTTCACCTTGGCTCAAACTTCTCTGGAGACCACAAGGGGGCGTGGTCAGTCTGACAAATGAGATCAACCGTTCAGACTGACCACCTCCGGTAACAACAGCTGATAAGAAACACGTCACACTTCACGGTCTCCTCTGACGAAAGCGGAAGTGGTGATTAAGCAGAAATAACTTCTTCACCCTTTGGTAGTAAGAATTTGTATAAGAATTCCAAGCAATGACAGCTACAGGTTAATTCATCAACAATACTCCAGAAGACATGTCTCATAAAGGACAGAACAATATGAGTGAGAGCAATGAGAAAGTGAAGATCCAAAAAGGTTGTATTTGGCCCCTGGACCAAAATGAGTTCGAGTTTGGTGTACGACATTGTTAGTGAGTCAGAGAAGGGAAAGTCAGGGCCAGGAGCTCAAAAGAAACTGGTGTTAGTGTTTGATAGTAAAGAGAATTATATACTGTTGATTTGAACTCATGAATATTCTTGGTCTTTTCCTCTGGTCAAATTCTGAATCACCTTTTTTTTTTTGGCGATGACTATGAATTTTGGTAAATAAAAGAATTTATTGAATCCATTAGCTTAAATAACAGATGAATGCTCGACCTGAGACTAATGTGCAGCTATGACATGGACATTTCCACTGAGGGAGGAGTAAAGGTTTGATCTGATCCATTTTTCTTGTCCTCAGACATCAGTGTGTATTTACTCATGTGCTGGCTGATCTTCTGCTTGGCGAAGTACAGAGCCTTCTTCATCTTCTCCTCCTTCTCCACCATCTGCTGCCTCAGAGTCTCCTCCTGGGTGGTCTTCAGCTGCAGGTCCTGCCTCACCCGGGTCAGCTCCGCCTGCAGGCGGCCCGTCTGCTCCTGCCCGCTGCGCAGCTCCGAGTCCCGCTCCGTCACCGCCTGGAACACACAAACACAGGAGGAAAGGTTTACCCAAAAAGAAAGAAGGTCGGACTGTATTTGAGAGGCAAGGTTTGTGCGACGTCAACAATGGGTTTGGTGTCGTTTACATGAAATACTAAACTGATCTAAAATGGTTTATTATATCAAAAGGTACGACAGCAAAAAGATGGAATTATGACCCTGGCACTCTTTCGAATTCGCCTTTTGTGCTCCTGAAGATGTCCATTATTTTTCTCCAGCAGGGGTCTCTAAGGGGTTTCAGAAAACAGAAATGGCAGAGAGCTACTCCTTTTAGCAGTATTAACAGGGCTGGACTGGGACAAAAAAACGGCCCGGGCATTTTTTCCTTCTTACCGGCCCAGGCATGTTTTTGTCACGTTTTTTACAGTTTGTTTATACCAGGGATCGGCAACTCAAAAGGTTCAAAGAGCCATATTTGACAAAAAATACTAAAAACATCTGTCTGGAGCCGCAAAAAAATAACAGCCTTGTATAAAGCTTATATGAAGGTTACACAATGTAGCTACATTAGCTACATTAGCCTATTATCTAAATGACCAAGTAAAGGCTACAAATACATGATTAGCATTCATGATTGTCAAATGTGTGTTTTCACTGCAGCGTGTCCTGGAGAGAATGACGCACCACGTGATGACTCTGCTTTAACTTTGACTTCCATATTTTTGCCTTCATGCAACTGTAGAAATACAGTAAATAAATCTGCTTTTTGGCTCAAAGGTCACACATCTGCACTGTCCACACATATCGATTACGTCACAGGCTGAAGTTTGCTGGAGCTGAATGTCCTTAATGGCCTTTTCTTTCACAGTCTTTGCGGAGGTTTTTGAAGTCTGAAAAAGGTGCTCCGGATTTTGTATGAAAGAATCCTTCACGTAATCCCTGTGAACGGTATTTAGTGCTTCATTGTTCCTCGTGTTGCAACAAAACTTCCTATTACATCGCAAACATGAAGCAGTCCTTCCTCATTGACTGAAAGCAAATGTTCAGTCTTGTTCTTAGTCCAGTCTTATTATCGACTCGTTCTCTTTTTATCTTTGGGATTCGTGCGCACACGCCGGTTTGTTTACAGCAGCGGCCGCCTGGCGCGGGGCCGCGCCACAGGATATGACTCACTACGTTGACAGAAATGTTGAAATTGAATATTACTTATACACATTTTTACAGCATTGAAATACGTTAGGAATGTTTTTCCTCCTACAGAAACCACATTCAAACTAGGAATAAAATATAGCCCTCCCACTCCATTTTCAGACATTTTTGAAAAGGCTCCAGGAGCCACTGGAGGAGCACTAAAGGTTGCCGACCCCTGGTTTATACAGTATGTGGAAGCAAATACTGTAGAGGATCAGGATGTCTACAGTTTCAACAAAAAAATAAAGTGCAATAGTCTACATTACAAGAGAGTAATAAACATGTCTCAGAGTGAGGGAGGTGGGCACAGACAACACTATTGTTTGTTACAGGGATGAGAATTGGTCAAAAAAGTCTGAAATGCATAATGTCAGCCATTGGCTGGCTCTAAATCTGTTTAATTTTTTCACAACATTTTACTCTTGGGCTCAAACATGAACTTTTAATGCAATGGAAAATTTAGGCACCCGAGCTTTAATTTAGTCGCACTTCGAGAGGAGAGGGGAGACGCGGACGGTTTCCTGCAGCGGTGTATTTATTGGGTGCACAAATTACGCAAAGACACGCATGGTCCTGTGCTCGTTTATGGTCTTGGGTACATGGTCACGTTGCGGCTACGCGCTCACCGTGTTGTGTTGTGAGCGGTTCCCGGTGAGCGATTCCCGCGTCCAGCTCAGAGCCGCTGGATGCGGGAACACTGCGGCCGCTGAGGTGGTGGAATCCCGTTCCAGTACATACAGCAGGTGCCCCGCGGACACGCGCGCCCCCTCGAACAGTTCAACGGATTTACACTTTTCACAAACATCTTTTTTGTATGAGGCAAACAGACCGGCCCAAATATGGGCATCGGCCCTTCTGGCATTGCCCGGTACGCCCGATGGCCAGTCCAGCCCGGAGTATTAATACAATTATACACTAAAAAAATCACTGAGATTTATAGTAAACAGGTGTGCGCTGACCCAAAAGTGAATCATTCAGGATCATGTGTTAAATTTTTAGACACTTTGGGGAGCTACCTGAAAGGGTATGGCGAGCTACTGTTAGCTCCCGGGCCACAGGTTGGAGACCCCTGATCTAGAGTGTGTACAGCAGTCATTGCCCCAATCCTTAGAATAATCAATGGCCTCTGGAAAAGCCATGTTCCAGCTTCTTCCCTCTGGCAGAAGATCTTATTCGCTGTCGTTTCCCACTTTGTTTTATTTATGTACTTGTCTTGTGCACACTGTGGACTTTTGCGGATGTATTCCAATGTGGTTTTATTGCAAATGGCAAATCTAATTTTTAGCCTTTCATTATCAAATACAAAACAAAAGCTTTTACCTTGTTGAGTTTCTCCACTTGTCCTTCCAGCTCCTTGGCCTTCGCCTCCGCCTGGGTCAGCGAGTCTCTGAGGCCCTGCAGCTCCTGAGCCGAGGCCTGGCGGCTCTCCTCTTCCTGGGACGGTCCCACTGCAGCCTCTGCCACCAGCTACAGCACAGCACCAGTCATTCAGTCACAACGTTACTCTCACAATATGTCGAACTATTTCACTTTAATCCACTGAGTCTCACGAGGGCTGCTCACTCATCTCAGTGAGAAGGTGGTGGATTCGATGGGGTTTTCTGTGAGGTGGATTAACTAACAGGAGTTTAGTTTAGATTATTTAACAAGCAAAGAAGCTGCATTGAGTTCCAAAGGTAAATATAAATGTGCACTTTATTAATCCCCGTAGGGCAATTCATCTCTGCTGTTTGCGGACGATGTTGTCCTGTTGGCTCCAACGAACCAGGACCTGCAACATGCACTGGGACGGTTTGCAGCCGAGTGTGAAGCGGCTGGGATGAGAATCAGCACCTCCAAATCTGAGGCCATGGTGCTCGACCGGAAAAAGGTGCCTTGCCCTCTACAGGTGGGTGGAGAGGTCCTTCCTCAAGTGGAGGAGTTCAAGTATCTCGGGGTCTTGTTCACGAGTGAGGGAAGGATGGAGCGTGAGATTGACAGGCGGATCGGTGCAGCGTGCGCAGTGATGCGGTCGCTGTATCGGACCGTTGTGGTGAAGAGGGAGCAGCGTCTGCAGTCAGAGCTGTATCGGACCGTTGTGGTGAAGAGGGAGCTGAGCCGAAAGGCAAAGCTCTCGATTTACCGGTCAATCTTTGTTCCCTCCCTCACCTATGGTCATGAGCTTTGGGTAATGACCGAAAGAACAAGATCGCGGATACAAGCGGTCGAAATGAGCTTCCTCCGCAGAGTGGCTGCTCCCTTAGAGATAGGGTGAGGAGCTCAGTCACACGGGAGGAGCTCGGAGTAGAGCCGCTGCTTCTCCACGTCGAGAGGAACCAGTTGAGGTGGCTCGGGCATCTGTTCCGGATGCCTCCTGGACGCCTTCCTGGGGAGGTGTTCCGGGCACGTCCCACCGGGAGGAGGCCCCGCGGAAGACCTAGGACACGCTGGAGGGACTATGTCTCTCAGCTGGCCTGGGAACGCCTTGGGGTCCCCCCGGACGAGCTGGAGGAAGTGTGTGTGGATAGGGAAGTCTGGGCGTCTCTGCTTAGACTGCTGCCCCCGCGACCCGGCAACGGATAAAGCGGAAGAAAATGGATGGATGGATGGATGGGCAATTCATCCTCTGCATTTGACCCATCCTGATGCCCTAAGGCTTACGTCAGGAGCAGTGGTCGCCGTAGTAACAGCGCCCGGGAACCCACCTCCAGACGTTGATGCTCTTGGTCAGGACCACAGCTGGAGGATTTAACCTGGTGTGCATGTTTTTAAGTGGTAGGGGAAACCAGAGTACTTGGAGGAAACCTACACAAGCACAGGGAGAACATGCAAACTTCACACAGAAAGACCCCATTCTGACCGGGATTCGAACCCCGGACCTGAGTGCTATCCATTCAGCCACCCGTGAATTGGGCTTTCAGTCTGTTTTTATCAGCTCTGGGATTTCAGGTGACCTCACATTAAAATGACCACCACTTTTTATTATCAGATCTGCACATTCTCCAATCGACACTCAGAATCTACAGACTAACTACGGGTAGATGTGTTCCTTCTTTCTCCACACATATGACCTGGATCTATAAATGCATGTAGCCTCTAGAGCCCAGAGTTTTTCAACCAGTGGGCAGCGGAACATTAGTGTGCCTTGAGATGTTATTCAGTGTGCCATCAGAAATGACCCAATATCACCTTCTTGGTCAAAATAATGTGCAATAAAGAATTACAAGATTAGAAATACTTCTTTGCACTTTTATTTTCTACAGAATACACTTTGATGAGAATTACTTTGTTTTGTTTAAAAAGGCTGCAGAGTAACATCAGTTTCAGCCGGTGGTGTGTCATGTGATTGCTTTAAGGGAAAAAGCTGTGCCACGGGTCAAAAAGGTTGGTGTTAAACAAACAGGTAAGTGACCAGCATTAGCATTAGCATTCACACACTCAGTCCACAACTCATTCGTTACCTTGTCGTGCTTCAGCTTCAGGTCTTCATATTGCATCTTGTAGCGGCGTCCGATCTTCTTGACCTGCGTGATGGTCTTCATCTTCTCCTGCTGGTCCAGATTCCGGGCCTCCACCTCGGACTTCAGGTGGTTTCTCTCCTCGGTCATTTTGGCCAGGGTTTCGCGGCACGCCTGCAACTGCCCCTTCAGCGCCGCGTTCATGTGACCGGCCCTTTAAGTAGAAACACGTTTGTAAAAAGAAGCGGAGAAAGATGAGTGCCAAGAGGAGGGAAAAGCACAGACTTGGCGCCCTCTTCTGTCAGCTGCTGGATGCGCTTCAGGTGGGCCTCTCGCTCACTGGTCAAACGCTTGTACTCCTCCGGGTCTGAGTCTTTCTGCTGAGTCACCAGATGCTGAAACAGAAGTGCACAGGTCAAACTCAGAGTGAGGGAAAGACCAGAGGCATTTCTTAACATACAAGACTAATAAAACTCATTCATACAATAGTGCACAGGCGCTGGAGGAGCCGGCTGCCCGTCGCGTTGGGCTCGTTCAGTTTCAACTTTTTTTCCTCTCTAGACCCGTTTTTATGCTTCTTTTGTAAATACCGTTTTTATACATCACTGGAAGAATAACCGAGTCACCCGGACTACATTTACCACGCTGAGTTCTGTTCATCTTATTTTAATTATATTGAAGAAGGTGGGCCTTTATTCATCCCACAAACTGAAATGGAAATTTGTTTGATGCATACACTACACACATATATACACATACACACATACTCATACATATATTTATACACACACATTAACACATCAAGGCAAGCAGCGAACATCACTTCCGCTCCTTATAGGCAAAGTGGGTTAAGTGTCTTGCCCAAGGACACAAGGACAGCAGACGTAGATTAGTGGAGTCGGTGGAGAAGGTCTTGAGGTGGGCTCAACCAACTGAGCTACTGTCACCCCCACGTAATAATATTGACTATTATCTTAAATAATAGACTTTTACGTGTGCATGAGTCTGATTTCCTTCTTTCTCTGCTGTGATGTGTGCACTGACGGACACTGACGGGCACTGACGGGCACTGACGGGCACTGACGGACACTGACGGGCACTGACGGGCACTGACGGGCACTGACGGACACTGACGGACACTGACGGGCACTGACGGACACTGACGGACACTGACGGGCACTGACGGGCACTGACGGGCACTGACGGACACTGACGGGCACTGACGGGCACTGACGGGCACTGACGGGCACTGACGGGCACTGACGGGCACTGACGGGCACTGACGGGCACTGACGGGCACTGACGGGCACTGACGGGCACTGACGGACACTGACGGGCACTGACGGGCACTGACGGGCACTGACGGGCACTGACGGGCACTGACGGACACTGACGGACACTGACGGACACTGACGGACACTGACGGGCACTGACGGGCACTGACGGGCACTGACGGGCACTGACGGGCACTGACGGGCACTGACGGGCACTGACGGGCACTGACGGGCACTGACGGGCACTGACGGGCACACGCTGACGGACACTGACGGGCACTGACGGGCACTGACGGGCACTGACGGACACTGACGGGCACTGACGGGCACTGACGGGCACTGACGGGCACTGACGGGACACTGACGGGCACTGACGGGCACTGACGGGCACTGACGGGCACTGACGGCACTGACGGACACTGACGGACACTGACGGGCACTGACGGGCACTGACGGGCACTGACGGGCACTGACGGACACTGACGGACACTGACGGACACTGACGGGCACTGACGGGCACTGACGGACACTGACGGACACTGACGGACACTGACGGACACTGACGGGCACTGACGGACACTGACGGGCACTGACGGGCACTGACGGGCACTGACGGGCACTGACGGGCACTGACGGACACTGACGGACACTGACGGACACTGACGGACACTGACGGACACTGACGGACACTGACGGGCACTGACGGGCACTGACGGGCACTGACGGGCACTGACGGGCACTGACGGACACTGACGGGCACTGACGGGCACTGACGGACACTGACGGGCACTGACGGGCACTGACGGGCACTGACGGGCACTGACGGACACTGACGGGCACTGACGGGCACTGACGGACACTGACGGGCACTGACGGGCACTGACGGGCACTGACGGGCACTGACGGGCACTGACGGGCACTGACGGACACTGACGGGCACTGACGGGCACTGACGGGCACTGACGGACACTGACGGACACTGACGGGCACTGACGGACACTGACGGGCACTGACGGGCACTGACGGGCACTGACGGACACTGACGGGCACTGACTGGCACTGACGGGCACTGACGGGCACTGACGGGCACTGACGGGCACTGACGGGCACTGACGGACACTGACGGACACTGACGGGCACTGACGGGCACTGACGGGCACTGACGGGCACTGACGGACACTGACGGACACTGACGGACACTGACGGACACTGACGGACACTGACGGGCACTGACGGGCACTGACCGACACTGACGGGCACTGACCGACACTGACCGACACTGACCGACACTGAAATTCCCCCACAGTGGGAATATCTCATACTTATACATGTACCGTATTTTTATTTGATAAGTCGTGGTTTTTGTCATAGTTTGATTTATACTCTGGAACAATTTAAGAGTGAAATGATTACATTTTAACATTTCATTGGATTTAGTGATTAGTTGTTTCACTGATTCTTTGGTTGTAGCATGTTCTTTATGCAGAAGTTATTTGACCCTGACTGTGATATGTGACGTTAACAAAACAGGACGTTCTCAGTTTGTACGTTAAATGAGGCATAAACAACACTTATTCAGCCTTTTTTTCTCTATTCTATTTTTATTTTAAATTGTCTTTCAGGATGAAATGTCTATTCTTTGGGCAGTACCAGAAAGCAGCAATAACCGAGTACTATTGGCTGCTGGATGAAGAGCAGGCAGTGTTATTGATTATGAATGTGTCGTTTAACTAGGAGTTGGTTTGATACAAAGAATCGGAACCAAAGCAAACGGAAGCTGTAAAGTTTGTAAATGGGGTTTAAAAGGTGAAATAACTGTTTAACTTCAGTCAAACTTGAAAGTTAATATATGGCTTTTATGAGACCGTTTTTGATTGTGTTCATTAGATCAACGCCATGTGACCCGCTACAGTTAAATATGGAAAACCTAAACGTAAAAACCTGAGTCCGAGTCTTCCATCGTTTGATCTCCTCTTCCAGAATCTTCTTCTCGGCCTGAAGCATTCCACTTTTCTCACTCAGCTCAGAGTTGGCCATCTGCAGCGGCAGCAGGTCGGACGCGAGCTTCTGCACCTGTGGAAGAGACGGGTCACAGTCTGAGAACACGTTTAGAGTCACGGACGCTGAGGGTGAATGCGACAGAAGAGTGAAGTTTGGAAAGGATGGAGAGAGAATGCCAAGATGTTATTGAGTCTCAGCCAATCAGGTCTCAGCTCAGAGTGGGGGTTGCCTTTCGTCGTCAGATCTCAGCTTTTTCAGACTAAAGTGAGAGGCCAAAAATACCTGCATGAAAAAAACTAATAATAATAATAATAAAAATAATAACACATTGTACTTTTGCAGCGCTTTTTTGGACACGCATAGACACTTTGAGTAGAACAGACATTGTTAAAGCGACACGTGTCCATCAGAATGAGGTATTGTGACAGGCCCGGTCGGTGTGTGCTACAGTCTTGGCTCACCTTGGCCTGGGTTTGCTCACCTTGGCCTGGGTTTGCTGCAGGGCTTGCTCCAGCTTGTCCTTCTCCTCCCTCAACATCTTATTGGTCTCCACCAGGATGCTCATGGTCTCGGTCTTCTTCATCAGCTCGTCGTGCTGAGCCAAAGTCTTTGCCGTTACCTAGACAACAGAGAAGGACAACGCTGAGAAAAAACTGACTATTTTTATGTGAGTTTATGGACTTATTATTCTGCCTCCATCGAGTTTTAGTAGCTATAAGACGCCCATGTATTGTCAAAAATAGAAACCACATTGGGAAAAAATGGGAAAAATTCTTGAAAAAGTTGCCTACCAACAACTTACTGAATTTTTAATATCTAATGACTCATTGGACATGTTTCAGTCTGGCTTTAGACCACACCACAGTACTGAGACCGCTCTAGTCAAGGTAACAAATGATATTCGGCTTAACACTGATGCAGGAAAAGTCTCTGTTTTAGTCATGTTAGATCTGAGTGCCGCTTTCGACACCGTTGACCATGAGATTCTCATGCAGAGACTGGAGGACTGGGTTGGTGTTGCTGGTACTGCCCTAAGCTGGTTTAGGTCCTATCTAGAAGAAAGGAAGTATTGTGTGGAGATTGGAGACTATGTCTCAGATAATATGGCCCTGACCTGCGGAGTGCCACAGGGGTCGATTCTGGGACCTCTCCTGTTCAATATTTACATGCTGCCATTAGGTCAGTTAATTCAAAGTATGAAAGTGTCCTACCACAATTATGCTGATGACACTCAGATCTATGTCTCACTGACTGCAGGAGAGCATGGACCGGTGGACTCACTCCTTCGCTGTATCCAGCGGATCAGTGAGTGGATGCAATGCAATTTTCTCCAGCTAAATGCAGACAAAACCGAAATGATTGTCTTTGGTCCCGAGAAACAAAGAGAGACCGTCATTTGTCACCTTCAGTCTCTCTCCCTAAGGCCTTTAAATAAGGTCAGAAATCTGGGAGTAATAATGGACTCTGACTTAAACTTCAATAGCCACATTGGATCGGTAACATCAGCAGCTTTTTATCATCTGAAAAATATTGCCAAAATTAAAAATATTGTGTCCAGGGCAGACTTGGAGATTCTTATCCATTCTTTTGTTTCCAGTAGGCTGGATTACTGCAATGGCCTGCTCACAGGTATCTCCAAACATGCAGTAAAACAGCTGCAGTATATTCAAAATGCTGCAGCCCGAGTCCTGACTAGAACCAGGAAGTACGACCACATTAGTCCGGTCCTCAGGTCTCTGCACTGGCTTCCCGTGGCCCAGAGGATAGACTTTAAAGCAGCTCTCCTGGTGTACAAGTCTCTCCATGGCCTTGCACCAAAGTACATCCATGATATGCTAGTCCCATATGAACCAGCCCGGACTCTGAGGAGCGCAGGGACGGGACTCCTGTTAGTGCCCAGAGTCAGGACTAGACAGGGGGAGGCTGCTTTTCAGATTTATGCAGCTAAAGTCTGGAACAGTCTTCCTGAGGATGTGAAACTGGCTGCCTCTCTGTCAATGTTCAAATCCATGTTAAAGACTTTTCTTTTTTCCTGTGCATACAACTAGAGAATTTTATCTTTTTAACACACCTTGTTATTTATTGTTGTAACTTTTTGTGTTTTTAACTATTTTATTGTTTTTAATTACTTGTGTGATTCTTATGTTTTTAAATTACTTATGTGATTTTAATGCTTTTTAATTACATATGTGTTTTTAATTGTATTTTAATGGTGATGATTTGTGCATTGTGTGGTGTGGACTGTGAGGCGCTTTGTGTTGCCCTGTGCAGGAAAAGCGCCCTATAAATAAAGATTGATTGATTGATTGATTGATTGATTGGAATACATGTGCCAAAGTCCCCCAGTGTGCACCAGACAAGTTCATACGTCAATAAAACTAAAGCTAAAAAAGTACAGAAACTAATTGTCACTGAGAAAATCGATCATTTAAACAGTTTCACTACAGCAGGATTGTTAAAGAAGCCGTTAGCAGATCCAACATGAAGCTGGTACAGTTCAGACAGTAATGTACGAGTTTCAGATTCATGCAGCTGAAATGTAGAACCTAATCTGTCTCTCATTCCGGTCCCTCTCACCTCCCGTCTCCCTCCCCATCTGTCTGTGTCTTAGAGTGGAGCAGACAGACTCCCAACTGTCACCATCTTTCTGTCTGTCTCTCACCTCCCTGTCTATCAACCCCGTTTGTCTCTCTCTCGCCCTCTCCCCGTCTCTCGCTCTCTCTCTCTCTCCCCGTCTCGCCCTCTCCCCGTCTCTCGCCCTCTCCCCGTCTCTCGCCCTCTCCCCGTCTCTCGCCCTCTCCCCGTCTCTCGCCCTCTCCCCGTCTCTCGCCCTCTCCCCGTCTCTCTCCCCGTCTCTCTCACCCTCTCCCCGTCTCTCTCGCCCTCTCCCCGTCTCTCGCCCTCTCCCCGTCTCTCTCGCCCTCTCCCCGTCTCTCCCCGTCTCTCTCCCCGTCTCTCCCCGTCTCTCTCGCCCTCTCCCCGTCTCTCTCGCCCTCTCCCCGTCTCTCTCGCCCTCTCCCCGTCTCTCTCGCCCTCTCCCCGTCTCTCCCCGTCTCTCGCCCTCTCCCCGTCTCTCCCCGTCTCTCCCCGTCTCTCCCCGTCTCTCCCCGTCTCTCGCCCTCTCCCCGTCTCTTGCTCTCTCCCCGTCCTTCTCTTTTTAATGCTATGATTATTCATACTTTTAATGCCTTTTGTGATTGCCTCCATCTTGTGTATGAACTGTGTTAAACAAACACAAGGTTAAAGGTGTTATGACTGCGTGCTGACCTGCATCCTGTCTCTGGCCGCATTCAGACTGTCCTGCACCTCCTTCAGCTCTCGCTCCAGATGCTCCACTCTCAGACGGTAACGCAGACTCTCGCCCTGAGCCATCTCAAACCGAGACTCGGCGATCTCCTTTTCACGACGGACAAACCTGGAACACACAACACAAGAGCAAAGAGCGAGTGGTTGAGGATGTGGGGAAATGTCAGTGTCGCATCACCGGTTACAGGAGCACACAGCACAAGATAAAGGGACTAGAACTCTATACCATATCAAGTATAACATCTCTAGCTTTAGCGTAATAAAGAAGTATAAAGTGCTTTGTTGTAGAGCTGTGCGTTATGGCCTAAAAAGGATATCCTGATAGCAATAAAAATGATAGAAAAAAATCTTATTGGTGCAAGAATTCAAGAGGGAAAGCATTTATTTTCCATTCAAAAGCAAATGTATGAAAAGGGAAGAAACTGACTACTATACTTGTATAACTGTTGGCAACATTATTATCAAAAACGTGTGGGGAAAAAAACACATTCTCTGCAAATGATTAGAAGAATGCATAACTAGTATTAACTGGACACATGCATTTAGATGTATTTTGTTAAATGCTGCTGTGAGAGCTGCAACTGCTGTCTCTGATAGTCAGATTACAAAAACATGGTCTCCGCAGGGCTGTGTTCTTTCCCCCTCGCTCTTCACCCTGTACAGCGATCACGGCACCTGCTTTGCACTCTTAAAGGTTATAGACCAGAACTGAGACTTCCACCCAGTACTGTAGAGGTTACCTGAGAATCTCCAGGACCTGCTCTTGAGACTTCCCCTCCTCGGTCAAAGAGACGTTCAGGGAGCCACCATCTCCGGCGGCTCTCTGCAGGCTCTCTGTCATCTTCCTGCTCAGCGTCTGGATCTGTTCGTGAAGCAGAGAGTTTTGCTTCTGCAGCTCCTCTCCGCGACTTTCCACTTTAGACATTTCCTCCTGTGGAAGACCAGAGAAAAGCAGCTTTGTACGTTTGCTTCAAGTTAACTTCAGCTCTGATTATTGATACCAGCCCTGGAAAAACCATATTGGTCATTCCCCAGTGCAGAGACTAGGGAGAGATAGGAGAGATTGAGAGAGCACCTTGAGGATCTTCTCCTGCTCCTCCCAGGACAGCCGGGCCTCCAGCAGCTCGGCACTGACCCTCTGGACCCTCTGTTCCAGCTGGTTACGGAGCTCCACGGCCTGAAGAGCCTGAGCTTTGGCCGCCTGCAGAGCCTCCACGTCCGCCGCGTGGAGCAACATCTCACGCTCGTACTTGTCCTGGGCCTCGGCTGACAGCTTCGCCTGCAGGAAGAGGACGGGATTAGAGGGAGAGAGAGACAGAGCCAGAGAGAGACAGAGCCCGACAGAGACAGAGCCCGACAGAGACAGAGCCCGACAGAGACAGAGCCCGAGAGAGACAGAGCCCGAGAGAGACCGAGAGAGACAGAGAGAGACAGAGACTGAGAGAGACAGAGACCGAGAGAGACAGAGACAGAGAGAGACAGAGACAGAGAGAGACAGAGACAGAGAGAGACAGAGACAGAGAGAGACAGAGACAGAGAGAGACAGAGAGAGAGAGAGACAGAGACAGAGACAGAGAGAGACAGAGACAGAGAGAGACAGAGACAGAGACAGAGAGAGACAGAGACAGAGAGACAGAGACAGAGAGAGAGACAGAGAGCGAGACAGAGACAGAGAGAGAGACAGAGAGCGAGACAGAGAGCGAGACAGAGCCCGAGAGAGACAGAGCCCGAGAGAGACAGAGCCCGAGAGAGACAGAGCCCGAGAGAGACAGAGCCGAGAGAGACAGAGCCCGAGAGAGACAGAGCCCGAGAGAGACAGAGCCCGAGAGAGACAGAGCCCGAGAGAGACAGAGCCCGAGAGAGACAGAGCCCGAGAGAGACAGAGCCCAGAGAGACAGAGCCCGAGAGAGACAGAGCCGAGGAAGAGCGAGGAGAAGAGCCCGAGAGACAGAGCCCGAGAGAGACAGAGCCCGAGAGAGACAGAGCCCGAGAGAGACAGAGCCCGAGAGAGACAGAGCCCGAGAGAGACAGAGCCCGAGAGAGACAGAGCCGAGAGAGACAGAGCCGAGAGAGAAGACCGAGAGAGCACGAGAGAGACAGAGACCGAGAGAGACAGAGACCGAGACCGAGAGAGACAGAGACCGAGACCGAGAGAGACAGAGACAGAGACCGAGAGAGACAGAGACCGAGACCGAGAGAGACAGAGACCGAGACCGAGAGAGACAGAGACCGAGACCGAGAGAGACAGAGCCCGAGAGAGACAGAGACAGAGCCCGAGAGAGACAGAGCCCGAGAGAGACAGAGACCGAGAGAGACAGAGACCGAGACCGAGAGAGACAGAGACCGAGACCGAGAGAGACAGAGACAGAGCCCGAGAGAGACAGAGACAGAGCCCGAGAGAGACAGAGACAGAGCCCGAGAGAGACAGAGCCCGAGACCGAGAGAGACAGAGACCGAGACCGAGAGAGACAGAGACCGAGACCGAGAGAGACAGAGACCGAGACCGAGAGAGACAGAGACAGAGCCCGAGAGAGACAGAGACAGAGCCCGAGAGAGACAGAGAGAGCCCGACGGAGAGAAACTGACAGAAACAGACAGAGACTAAAGCACGTCTTACCTGCTCACGAGCGTCCTGCTGAGCCTGCTGCAGCTGAGCTTCGAGAACAGCCACTTTCTGAAGGACTTCCTGGTGTTTCTCGTGCTCACTGCTCGCGTCTCTCCTCAGGACGTTGATCTGCAAATACGACATCACAAGCCAGGAGTAAGAGTTAGCCTCACACTGCCCACTCCACCAGCGGGGGTCTGTAGTTTTATCAAATTACCCTCTGTGTGATATAATATTTTGCTCGTATGGATGTAAAGTTTTGGGTGGCGCTCTAGAGTGATATGGAGTGTGTATTTTCACACTACTGTGGGGGCACGGTGGCTGAGTGGATAGAACTCTCGCCTCTCAGCGCCTTTCTGAGTGGAGTTTGCATGTTCTCCCTGTGTCTGCGTAGGTTTCCTCCGGGTGCTCCGTTTTCCCCTACCACTAAAAACCTGCACACTTATTTATGAATGTAAATGGTGTTGATTGGAGCTGATGGTCCAGTGTGTTCTGGACTCGCTTCCGTCATCACCGTGTGTGTAATGATTGGAACAATATCTGACTCTGAACATTGCAAAGCGCTTTGGGTGACCTTGGTCTGTAAAATGCGCTATATAAATAAACATTACTTACTACTTATTTACTTACTATTACGCTTATCCCCGTTATGAGACAGTAATGTAAATAGAGCATAAAACAATCTCCAACCAACAAACTATCCCAAACACAAAAGTGGCTGAGCTGGAATCGCACCACAGCTGCGTGAGTCACAGCAGACTTTAACCACTACACTATGAGCAGGGACAGAACTACATTAAAAGGAAGTGATGAGAAACGCTTCAGTGATGAGAAGAGGAGCTTTGTTTTTGCAGTGTACTCACCTGCTCCTCCAGAGAGACCACAGCAGCTCTCTTCTGATCCTCCACACTCTGCTTCTCTCTCTGGGCCTCGGACAGTTTCTCCTCTAGTTTGTTGAACTTGTCCTGGGCCTCCTTCATACGGGTTTCGATGGAGGATCGAGCTTGCTCAGTCACCTGGTCATTTGCAAATGGAGAAAAAAAGATTACTGAAGAGGGGACTAAATGAGTGTCCTTTATCAAACGTAAAGCTTATGAATTATAACATTGGGGCTACATTTTGGGTTTTATTTGATGAGATAGTGGTTCATACCTGCTTCTCTCGGTCGATGGACTCCTCCAAGCTCTGAGCCATGGCCCGGTACAGCTCCATGCTAGCGGTGACAGTCTTCAGACTCTCCATCTGCTCCTCCGCCCTGGTCTCTGCTAACTGTAGACGGCCGTGCAAGTCCTCCTGGTTCTGCTCCAGCACAGGCAGGACTACACAGACAGGGACAGGGCATAGAGTGAGCCAGACTGATAAAGAGGACATCTGTAAGAATGTATTTCTGATAGTTAGAACTTGCACATCTCAGGGTGAGCAACGCAGTCAGGTCTAAGCTAAATACTAATCCTAAGGAATTTACAAAAAGATCATGTTTCTGCCAGCGCTGAACCTCAGAGCTAAGTGGTTGTCAGGAGCTGAGACATGGGCATTTATCAACACGCACCGTTCCAAAGGAGACTGAAGTTGATTTCTCTAAAAAGGACAGTTAAAAATACCATCAACCCCCTCCATGGTATTTAAGAGTATATAAGCCAGGGGTGTCCAAACCTTTTAGTAAAAATGCCACTTAAGTTCAACAGACTAGTCCAGGGGCTGACATCACGGACTGAAAAACAGTCTTGACTGACATTGGGCTGTTCTGAGCTTTATGATGATCTAAAACAGAGCTGAAGTTGGCTGAATGACAAATATTTACCATCTCACCAACTACATTAGACAATCAAAAACCATGTCAGTACAATAGGTGCAAATAAAGTCAATGACATACTGGGCTTTTAATCAAGGTCTATATTGGCTGAGCTGAAGTTGGATGGATGACGCAGTGAACTTGTGTTTGTGATCTAAAGACTACTTTGAGTTAGCAAGGCAGAGGGCCACTTACAATGACACTGACGGCCGCAATTGCCCCAAACATTTCCATCAACCAAGAATTCACTCTACTACTGCTACTCTGTCCATCTTACAGCATGCAATTTACTTACACACACCCATTCTTAGGTCAGGAGAACAGTAAAAAAAAAAAGATATTGAATTAAAGTGAAGTTGGCGATTCAAAGTAAACACTTGGAGAAAGAAAATAGGTAAGAAAGTAAACATTGAAAGCTTTGGCGTCACCGGGAGTAACGTGAAGTAAAAACACTGAGATCGTATTGTTGAACTGGTTACATTTGCAGAAAACAGCATTAATGAGGTAAGTCGGGCGTCCTGCCACGGAGCCCGGCCCCAGGAGAAGGGAAAGAACATGAACACATTGTTTTGGAGCAAAGGGAAGAACCAGCGTCATTCTAAAACCAGACACTAGCAATAAAAGCTCACCAACATTTTATTGGGTTCGTTCACAGTTTGAGGGCGACGATTACTGACCTCAACGATCCAAAAACAAGTCTGGAATCTGAAAATGGTCATTTCTCTCTGTTGTTTTGGACTAGACCTGATATTAGATGGACACGCTTAAAGTTAAAAGGGCCCTAATCTTATTTTGTTCGTATATTGTGGTATTTTTTTGTGTTAAATAAAACTCATTTTGACAGATAGAAACTGCTAAGGGTGAAACTATCAATAATAATCATGCAAAAAGACATTCGCGGAAAAATTGCCGAGACCGGAAATGACGTACACAGAGGTGTCATTGGGCTTTGTTGATTTGCATTCGTGCCATAACGTTGTATACGGACGTTTTAAACAAATATTTGTCATTCAGTGATGGACAATACAAGTCGGGGGCTTTTATCTATGAGCCCTTGGAGAAAAGTTTAGAAGCGTAAAAGTGACTACAGTGAAATGAAAGATCCCAGCCTGAGGGGAAACTCGTAAAATTGGTTTTAGTTGGAGCTTGATAGAACTAATTTGATGGACCTGGCGCTGGTGTCTTCTCAGTTTGTTTGGACCTTCTCTGAATAAGTCAAAGATTGTAGGGACGGCTGTTTACACTCTTCTTTTTGTTACTTTCATTGCTGCATCCCGGGGCCGTACAAAATACACCCATTTTAAGGTTTATTTGTGTCAAAGCGGCAGCAGGAGCACTGCCATAAACACTGAGGCGAGAGCTGCGACCCCTACAAGTACGTCATCATTTTTCTGGCCAATCAGAGGCGTTGATATTAAAAGGTTATTTTACTGATTTATTACTTATCTATAACACAAAAACACATTGCAAAGGTGTGAAATACATGCTTTTAATGTGTTTTATCAGAAAAAAAAAAAGTTTTTAAGCTTTTAAGGTGGGTCTTGGATCTTGCCGTTTTAACTATGTATCCAAACATTCTCACTGGTCAGATCAACCCTCACAGTTCAGGTCGCTTCAAAAGGAAAAACAGAATCCTCCTTCACGAATTAAACGCAGCAGAGAAGAGGAATTTACACTTTTTGACTTTCTTTAGTTTAAACATCATTACAGTGCTATTTGGCCTTCATACAAATTCCTTCTTTCCTTCCTTCCTTTCGCTTCTGTGTTCTGTGACTAAAAGTGTTAGCATCATGTCAACTTGGAGAAACTGTGTTTTAAGGATAAACTATGTGAATTTGATCCGAAGAGGAAGAATCGGCTCAGAGGAAACCCAGATCCAAGCGTTTCACCTCCATAGCTATAACTTCTAAGTTTTGAGTATTGTATGGTATATCACTCAAATTATTATCACACATGTGAAAAATTAAGAAAAGCGAAATCCAGGACCTTTAAAAAATTGTGGCTTGTGATTGTCAGGCGTGATTTGAACACTGCCTCTGTAATACTTAGATCAGAGATAAAGGCGACTGGACGTATAGACATGAGTTTGTCGTATGAAATGTCAGTGTTTACAGCTGTGCCTCTAGAAGATTCTGTGTCGTCCTCTCCTGAAGCTCATCTAAAACTTCACCAAAATAAAAATGTACCTTCATTTTCACCCCATCTACAATGCATCGAGATATTGAATCAGTGGTTGGGCCATACTCATGTCACTGACGGAACTGGATACAGAAGTGCAGACTCACTTAACCTCCATTTTGAAATTTAAAATGTACTAAATGTATCCAAATGATGTTTACATGCGTCATATGTGTAGCAGACAAAGTATGTCTTTAACATCAAAGGCTACAAATATGGAACCAAAAACACATCGCGTGTGCGCTGCCGCGTGTGCGCTGCCGCGTGTGCGCTGCCGCGTGTGCGCTGCCGCGTGTACGTTTCCGCGTGTGCGCTGCCGCGTGTACGTTTCCGCGTGTGCGCTGCCGCGTGTGCGCTGCCGCGTGTGCGCTGCCGCGTGTGCGCTGCCGCGTGTGCGCTGCCGCGTGTGCGCTGCCGCGTTTGCGCTGCCGCGTGTGCGCTGCCGCGTGTGCGCTGCCGCGTGTGCGCTGCCGCGTGTGCGCTGCCGCGTGTTGACTCACTGCGGACTGGCGTGGGCGGGGTGCTCAGGCGGCGTGTGTCCGTCCCCAGCTGCTGCCTCAGTGTGGACAGATCCATCTCTGCGGAGCTCAGCTGATCTTTGGTCTTCTGAAGCAGAGACACCTGAACCTCCAGCTGCCGCTTGGTCTCCAGCAGCTGGATCTGTGGAGGAGGAGGAGTGTGGCATTAGACCAGTCTGTAGTATACTGCAGCACGGCACATGCTAGGATGAAGATATCCTTTATCCGTCCCACAGCGGGGAAATGTCAGTGTTGCATCATCAGTTACAGAACACAACATAAATGAATAATAACTCTAAACTAAAATACAATAAAATATCTATACTTACGTCTCACTTTAAAGTCTCTATCTTTAGCATAAAAAGATGCAAGTACAAAGTATAAGTTAAATATCATGCAGAACAATGGATGATGCTTAATAATTCTGATTGCTAAAGTTTAAGTTTTGTGCTACACGTTTCCAGCGTTGGTAAAAGAGAAACTGAATAAAGTGCCATCTTTGAATAAAGTCACTTTTGTAAAAGCGGTTAGTTTATCTTGACTTGAGCCTACACACCTCTCGGTCAGGCAGACAATTACTATGTACACTCGGACGTCACTGGTTGCGTTCGCGTTGGACTAGGGATGTAAATTGGTGACCGTTTAACCGGTGGTTGACCGTCACAGGGTTAACCGGTCAAAGCTGTCGGTTAAAAAAGAGAAAAGGGGGAGAGGGGAAGTCTCTTCATAACGCTATTTTAAGCCCTATTTGCACGATGTGATGAGCGGGTCCCTATCTAGCTGTGTGCGCCAATGTAACAGTAAACTCTGGGCCGACTCTCACGCCGTACGCGCCACATATGCACGCACACACACACACACACACACACTTCCCCCCCTTCCATTGACACGTAAAATCCACACGCATCATCTCTCCCCTCTGTTACCGCCTGCTAGTTGCACACTGGTGCGGGTCAGAACTACATTGGAGCTTATATTTACACACACATACATACATGTATTGCACAAACACACATAGCTTACATATACACACATACATACATGTATTATACACACACACATACCGGTCTGTCGCGCTCCTCTGTGTCACGGAGCCCAAAGCATTCTTGCAAATACACGGCTCCAGTCAAACCACATGGACCATGTTTGTGCTGCTGGTCCTTGGCATCAGCTCCACACTGATCACTTTTAAACTTTAGCGGAGACCTGCGAGACGCGGCTCGTCACTCGCTGCCCTGACCATGTGGACGAGCTGTCTTTCTTAAAAATGCTTTAAGCCGCAGCACAGCAGAATGGGAAGATTAAAACAGCAGTTCTCTGTGCGCAAAGGTGCCGAAGCTGTTGCGGGTTTTGGTGCCGCTGTCTCGGCTCTGATCCCGTAGAACGCTCAGCTGCACTTATGAAAAGTACGCGGCTCGAAATGGCTGTTATTTCAAAGAACGTGGACTATTTTAAACTACGCAGTTAACCGGTTTCAACCGGTTAATGAGGCTCGGTGGTCGGTCATGAAAATTCATAGTTTTTTACATCCCTACGTTGGACCCGTCTTAAATTACGCAGCCACAGTTTTTCGTGCACTCGAGCGTAACCCCTGTGCGTCGTTTTGAAGAGAATATTGTAATCCCACACCACAACCACATGAGTTGCTGGGACACCAAAGTTAGCTACTTTCTCGGACCAAGCTGTTTGAGCTCAATAAATCTGTATCTAGGAGTTATGTGACATCAGCTGACGTCACGAGGGTCATCCCAAACTCTGCGACAAGTCCACGCAGGGCTTAAGTTGCTCTTTTTGTGCAACAATTACTATTTTCTTGCTTTTCTGTAAATGTTACTGCAGTACAGTCTTCATGGTTTTACACTGAATGGGATCATGCATTTTCTCTGTTCTGGACCAGATCAAGCAGATCAAGGGTAAGTGCACAAGGATTTTTTAAAAATACCAATAAAGCATTCAGAATTTCACTCTGAACCAGAACACTGAAATGGTCTGAACCAAGCAGACTCTGCAAACATCAACCAGAGGCAGCAACTCATCACCAGCGGCTGCACCACTTCTACTGAGACCTACAGTGAGCACTTTATAACTATTGTTATACTTTTAGAACCATGCATTTATTTTTTTGTCTGGATGGATGCGTCTCTGCTGCTGGACACCTGAATCTCTCCAATGAAGGATCAATAAAGGTTCTATCTTTCTATCAGGTGGTGTTATGAGTCCTTTCATTGGAGGCCTGTGACCTCCAGCCTCACCTCCTGGTTCCTGGTCAGATGGTGGCGCTGTTCCACTTCAGTCTCCAGCCTCTTCTGCAGCTGGGAGATCTCTCGCTCCTGTTTTTCCACCTGGCTGTTCAGACGCTGGCGAGTGTCGTTCTCGGATCTCTCCAGCGTGGCCTGCAGACACAGACACAGCGACACACATGGTTTGGAGTCAGAGAGAGAGTGAGGGCAGGGACTGGAGCTGGAGTTGTACCTGGATGTTCTGCAGGTTTGTGAGGAGGACGTTCTGACTCTGCTGCTGACTCAGAGCTGCTTCCTTCTCGTGCGTGAGCCTCATCTCCACCAGCTTCAGCATGTCCCGCTCTTTACGAAGACTTTCCACTTGTCCCTGAAACAAACAGAAGGCCACAAGATCAGACAAACTGTGCCATTTCGTTTTAGGGCTGGGACTTAAGCTCAAAAACCATGTTTGAAATTCATTATGTTATCAATATTAACATTTTAATATATTTGAATATTTGTTTTGGTCAATAAATGCTTGTATTATCTCCCTGGGTATAAAAACAAGTGTTATAGTAGCTATTGTCCAAAAGAGGGCAGTGCATCTGAGGGACTCGTCACTTCTCAAATTGTTGGGTGTAAATGTCTAATTCTTTGGGTGTCGTCTCTGGCGCAAAAAAAAAAAAAAAACAACATTTACAGCTAATAATCAAATATTTTAATATACTGGCATGATTTTGGTGTGTATTAAGGGCTGTCTAATATCTGTCTCTTTTTTGCTAATATTCAAATTATGTTAAGTTTTGTTTTCCCAGTCCTATTTCAGTTAAAAAAATACAACAGATTGTCGTTTGTTATCTGTGCTGTCGTGTTCTTGTTCTGTTCCATTTTATTGTGATATGATAAGTCTGTTTTTAGATTGGGGGTGGGAATGTTTAAAAGCTTCTTGTTCAGCCTAATCCTTATACGGTTCATTATTTTGACAGTATTCAAGCCAATTGTTCAACTAAGAATTTTGAAACCAGAGCAGACATGGGGAGAACAAGCAAACTCCTCTTGGAAAGGCTCTGTTCCGACCAGGATTTGAACCTTGCTGAGAAGTACAACGGCCAACCACAGTCATCGTCCCAATCAAGTTTGACATGTTGCTATGGTAACTACTGGACGCACAATACACAGCTGTGGGTGACTCGGGCCCAATTCTTTGAGGGGGAAAAACCCTGAAAGTGGACACCGGGATTTTCTCCAACACAAGTTACATGCGTAGTAAATGTGTAGAAAAGTAAACACATAAAATCAACAGAATAGGACCGACCTGGGCCAGAGCGAGGCCTTCCTTGGCGGCTTTGAGGTCCTCGTTCAGAGAGAGTATGGTCTGCTCGTTCTTCTGCAGAGTCGTGGAGGCCTTCTGCTGTTTGTCTCGGAGCGACGCGATCTCTTTACGATAGCCTTCCACGTTATCCTGCAGCATCTCATACCTGCACAAGGGTCAGGCCTCAGCTCAGGAGACCAAGTCTTTATGTGCCATTAAAGGACACATTATGCAGAAAACAACGCTCTTTTATCCTCTAAATGGCACCAAACAGAGGCAGAGAAAAATTCTAAAAATTCTTCCCAAAGCCGACAAGTGGATACTGATGAGTAAACTTTGGGACGTGGGAATCATAAGGATAAAAACAATACAACAGGCTCAAGCTGCACGTTCTATTCTGGTACATGAGCTAAAAACAGAAGGAAGGTGTTAGCTCTTGGTTTAATGTTCACCTTCCATGCCCTACAGCTAGGGGGCTCTAGCGCTCTTCGTACAGCGCACATGTTCTTTTTCTATGCAGATTGTGAGAGGCCGGTTGTATGTTATGTAAATGTAACGAACTACAAGTGGAGTTCATCTTAATTTAACAGAAGGTCCCACTGTCCTTATTCATATTTTTCTTTGTCTCTAAGTGTTAAATTTTAGCAGAACGAGGAGTGGGGAGCGAAGGAGAATTTTTTTCATTTTGTGTGCGTGTTTATGTAATAATCTTCTCTTACCCTTAATGCTCTGTAAATTTTAGTGTATGTATGTATGTATGTTGGAGCTCCATTAACAGGTGGGAGGGGTTAACTCCTTTTGCAGATTGAAACGATTAGATCTGAGTTTATCGTGACATATGTACCATGCCCGAGTGAGTGAGGCATTTAGCATTTAGCCTAGCTTTAGCATCTAGCCTAGCTTTAGCAATCTCCTTTGCCATTAACAGAAATTTGCATTCCTCTTGCTCCGGCTTCAACTTGATATTTGGAGCGCAACCAGAACAGATTACTTTACAATCACATTTGCCGCCATTGACCAACTACATGATTCTACATCACCATTGAGAACACAAATGCAGTAAATAAATATAGAATAATTCATGTGTAATTTAATAGTCTCTAAAACAGACCTTTTGGAGGCGAACTCGAGCTGCGTGGAGACCTTGGCGTTTGCAGAGCGCACTTCAGAGACCTGTTCCTGGAGTTTCTCGTTCTGTGCTGTCAGCAATTTGTCGCTTTCCAGACGCTCTTTCTTGTAGTTTGTGAACATGTCCTGACACTGAAAAAAAGTTACAGCATGCTTCACTGTGGCACATGGAAGAAGTTTGGTGTTTTTAGTCATAAGCATCATGCGTTTGTTTTTAGTCAGATCCCCATCAGCGACTGAAGTATACAGTAGCTACAGTATGTGTGTTGCTTTGGTTCTGTTTTTTTATATGTGGATAATAGACCTATAGGTAACATGACATCCCTAACATGGCAAATGTTTATGAAAAGCTCCCAGTTTTACCCGAACCTTCACAGAGATGGAACCGTTTATGCTTAAATGCTTGCTTATGCTTTCTTGCTATGGCGTGGTATGTACTTTATTTGAACAAGGACAGTGGACAATTAAACACAAACACAAGATAGAGATGCATTGTGCCAGGTTATAACTAAGATTCTAAATTCCACCTGTAGTCTTAAGGACCGCAGTCTACACAAGTGTTCTACTGTTGAATGTCCTGGAAAACAGCAGCGTTTTACAAATAGTTTAATTTTACGAGGTTTTTTTCTAGCTGTAAAAGTTAGTGTAGTAGTGTACATGGGTTTACAATGATCCGTCCTCCTCCCCCCAGAGGCTCCTCCCCCCAGAGGCTACTCTACCCAGAGGCTACTCCCCCCAGAGGCTACTCCCCCCAGAGGCTACTCCACCCAGAGGCTACTCCACCCAGAGGCTACTCCACCCAGAGGCTACTCCACCCAGAGGCTACTCCCCCCAGAGGCTACTCCCCCCAGAGGCTACTCCCCCCAGAGGCTACTCCCCCCAGAGGCTACTCCACCCAGAGGCTACTCCACCCAGAGGCTACTCCACCCAGAGGCTACTCCACCCAGAGGCTACTCCACCCAGAGGCTACTCCACCCAGAGGCTACTCCACCCAGAGGCTACTCCACCCAGAGGCTACTCCACCCAGAGGCTACTCCACCAGAGGCTACTCCACCCAGAGGCTACTCCACCCAGAGGCTACTCCACCCAGAGGCTAGCTACTCCACCCAGAGGCTACTCCACCCAGAGGCTACTCCACCCAGAGGCTACTCCACCCAGAGGCTACTCCACCCAGAGGCTACTCCACCCAGAGGCTACTCCACCCAGAGGCTACTCCACCCAGAGGCTACTCCACCCAGAGGCTACTCCACCTCTGCTGCTGTGACCTGAGGCTGTTGCTGATTATTACTATTGTTAGCTTTTTTGAATGATCAATTTTATTTTCTATTTTTGCTACTACTGGGCACCTGAATTTCTCCTACGGGGATCAATAAAAAAATCTATCTATCCATGATCCAGACCAGAGCAGAAAAATGGTCCCAACCAAACAGACTCTTATTTAGACTTTATAACCTTTTGTTAGTAACTTTTAGAATTATGTATTTATTCATGTGGATGGATGAGTCTCTGTGGAATCAAAGTATTTATGTGTCTATCCATGTATCCATCTCCTGGAACGTGACGAACGTACTTGTCTGAGTGCCGCCTTGGCCTCCAGTGCCTCTGCCGTGTCTGTTGCCATGGATACCAGGGCGGTGGGCGTTCCCGTGGTGGGCGTGGTCGCAGGTGAACGTCTCGGAGTCGAGGTCAGAGCGCTCCCGTCCTCGGGGAGAGTTCCTTCAAGAAGAAGTGAGACGACACATCATCAAAACCTCTACAGAATAATACACTGCATCAGAGGCTCAATATTGAAGTGAAAGTGTGAGATGCAAAAGTGGCGTCAAGGACTGAAATTAAATAAGTTATCTTTATTTATATAGCACATGTCACAGACCAAGTCACCAAAAGCGCGTCACAATGTTTTTGGAATTCACATTTTTCCTTTCTTTCCATACGGGGATGACTGAAAGCAACACACTGGAGCATCAAAGCCCTCGACCGACACCTTCCATTCACTCACTCATTACATTCAGATCTATTTTACAGACACGGAGAACAGGACCTTCTTGCTGTGAAGCACAAGCTCCAACCGCTGATGCCAAAACTTACATCATTTATACTTGCACTTATTGTCTCACATTCCTACAGATCACTGGTCATGTGGCAGAGCCTGGTTATGTACATGCAGGGTATACGGCGGTGATAAACTACTACTCTAGCCACAGCTGCCCTGGGGCACACTGACAGAAGGGAGGCAACCAGTCTCTGCCATCGGCCCCTCCAATCGCAGATCTACACTATATGCATTTAGATCCAGAGTATGAAATATAAAGGGGATAATTTTGGGAGAGCTCGGATCTCATTGCATGCTCTGTTGTCGGCCCAATGTGGCGCACAGGTTTCTCCACTGCGGCGTGACAAAGGTACCTTGCTGGGGGAAGTTGACGCCTGTGGCCTGAGCCAGAAGGACGCGGTACATGTCCCTCTGTCTCACGATGGACTCAGTCATCTTCAGCTGCTGAACCCTCTGCTCTCTCAAACTCTCCAACTCTGACTGGGCCCTCTCCAGACTCTGCTCCAGCTCTCCCAGTCTGCAAAACAGATTCAGTGTTGAAGATGAAAGATGAAGGACAGAAACTCAGCATTTCCAATCCTTTGCCAACGGCTTTTTTCCACAAGCTGTTATCGGTTTAAACCAGGGGTGTCCAAACTTTAGTGGGAGGGCCACTTTAGAATGTTGTCGGCCCCTGGACAAGTCTGGTGAAAAAAAATCAACTGCTTTTCAGGCTTTGGGCTTTGAAATTGGGCATGATATGGTCATTCATTACACTGGTGCCATTTTGGGACACAATTGAAAACAAAGAACAGTATATACAAATAAAGTAAATTGCTGAATTCCAAAAGGTTCAGAGTTTTACAATGAGATGCAGCATGACTCAAAGGATAGTTTGTGTTAGCAAGGCACTGGGCAGCATTTGGCCCATGGTCCTTGGTGTGGACATGCCTGCTTTAAACAAAGTATTTTAACTGCTCTTAGATTTTATGGTGACAGCGGTTTCTGTACTTTTTAGTTGGTTTTATTAATATACTTGTCTGGTGCACACTGGGGACTTTTGCACATGAATCTGAAGCTCCAGGGTCGTAGTGGCGTCTTACTTGCTGCCCGTGGCTTCGAACTCCTTCTTTTCTTCTGCGTCTCCCAAGTCCCTGAGGGCCACCAGGAGGCGCTGGTTCTGCTTCTGGAGCTCCTCCACGCTGCGGAAGGTCACCAGGTGCTGAGAGATGACGTCTGAGGTGCTGCTGACGTCCGCAGAGCTGCAGTCCTCCTCTGGCATCACCAGGTTTCCTCGCGCCTCCTCCAGCTCCACCAGCAGCACACGCACCTGAGAGCAGCAGACGCACAACTATAACATGCACTTGGATTTTCTAATCTGAGAATAGGGCTGGGCGATATGGCAAAAAAAAAAAATCTCCGATTTTTTCACACCAAATCCGATTTACGATTTTAATCGATTTATTTTTTCTATTTAAAAACAAACTACAACTGACAAAGAAATAGATTTTCCTTTATGCAGTTTAATCTAAATCCCCATGGAGCATAAGTGTAACAGGAATTAAGCCTTAAAACATGCTTGTAAACGGGATGGCTCTGCCATTGTAAACAGTGAAAATGTAGCTTAACAGTTTTATAATAACTTCACTTACAATGACACTATGCACCTTCAAAATAACTTAAATCACACAAACAAGGCCCATCGCAAATATATCAATCCTATTAAACACATGCATTATTTACATGAAATATCACATTTTTAAAACTGATTACTCAAAATAGAAATGTTGTAACAGACAGTCTTTTCCAAAAGCCTCCTCGGGTTTTCATGCTTGTTCTTTCAACTGTGCCTGAGTAACTGTGCTGTAGTACAACGCTCGGTCCAGCTGGTGGCGCTAATACTAACTTCAGTGACTCCCGCATTGTGCGAGCTTCCTGTTTACATTCTGATGCTGTAGCTAGCAGCTACTGTAGCAGCTACTGTAGCTAACAGCTACTGTAGCAGCTACTGTAGCTAGCAGCTACTGTAGCAGCTACTGTAGCTAACAGCTACTGTAGCAGCTACTGTAGCTAACAGACAGCGGGGAACACGTTGTTTGTATCAGAGCAATGAGAACAATGTGTGAGACGTGTCTTTCCCCAAAGTGCAGCGGCTCAGTGGGACACGAGTGCGTGCGCGCCACGGACACGGGAGTGCGCTTTGGAATAACGAGCGTGAGAGAGCGTGAAAGATGTGGCGTACGACCGGAGCCTGTGTGTGTGTGTGTGTGTGTGTGTGTGTGTTCTGGCGATTTAAATAAAGTCTGATTCTTGAACTTTTGAAGTGTTATTGCAACAGCACCAACTGTGAGAGCGAGCATCAGGCCAGAGGGAGACTGTTAGCATTAGGTTAGCTTCAAAATGACTGCTCAACACCATAGACCCGCGGTTAGCGCGTTAGCGCTGTAGTTCTGCGCTGGAGAAAATAAAAATCAAATTTTTAAAAAAAGAAATCGCCCTAAACGTAAAACTCGAATTAATGATTAAAATCGATTAATCGCCCAGCCCTATCTGAGAACACTTTTATAAAGCCCTTCCAGGCCACGGCTGTTCAGATTTTGGGTCGCTGAACTTCAATAGACAATCCAGGACGCTAGAGATTCAACGACATTTATGGACTTTATCAACAAAACCTCTGGGTGCAGCACTTTCCTTTTTCTGAGTTGCTAGTTTTGCAGTAACTCCACTTTTTATCTCAGTTCTGTGCCTTAAACTACCCTGGTCGTACCACACCATAGTACGAATTACATTTCGTACAACGGTCTGGATTTGCTCCATTGACTCCGTTAACAGGTGGGAGGGGCTAACTCCTTTTGCAGATTGAAACCATTGGAGGCGAGTTTACCGTGACGTTTGTAATGCGCCCAAGTGAGTCGTTAGCATTTAGCATTTAGCCTAGCTTTGGCCATCTCCTTTGATGCTGACGGAGCCCGTGGGGAGCAGAGCCACAATTTTTGCAGCGATTACATTTGCAAAACATTCCTCCTGCTCCGGCTTCAATTTCTTGATAGAACCAGACCGGATTACTTTACTATCACATTCTTCGCCAAACTACAACCTGCCCGTTCGGCGCAAACTGATTGGCCGAAGTCATTCTCATCAAAGTGTATTATATAGAAAATCCAACACAAGCAAAAAGATATTTCTAATCGTCTCATATAATTTCCCCTTCTCATATTTTGACCAATAAAGTGATATTGGGTCATTTCCAAAAGACACAACCAACCAAAATCTCAAGGCACAATAAGTTACCACGGCCCACAGGTTGAAAAACACTGCCTTAAACAATGATCCACTAATGTCCTTTTGTAGCCACTCGTTTCATTTCCACATTAGAGGTTTACATACATCAGAGAAGCTGCAGCCTTTGGGTTTTGGAGTTAGAAATATTAGGTGTATGACGGTTAAAACAGCAGATAAATATCTTTAACATATTCAGAAGCACTAATTTCAAAGAACGACATATCACAATATTGTCAACCTATAAACCGGATGATTATTTGGAGGTGATAAAGGCTGAGCTCAAAGACTGCTTTTCTAGAGATTAATTGTGATATTAAACACTAACCAATAAAAACTACAGCAAAGATTTAGGAAAGAAATCACCAAAAATTAAATATTAGAGAGGAGACTGAAGTATGTGCCTGCACTTACAACTACTTTACAATCTAAGTGCATGGAGATACTCTTGAACTACAAAATTAAAGACATGTACCTCGTGTGCTTTAATGAGTAAGGGGTTGGAGCCAAAAAAGCTTGAGGTTATTTGACGTTTTAATAATTTGTATATAATGTATAAGTGATGATCCAGGACATTTAAGGACATTAGTCTCTGCTCCCTATGAACCAATGGCTCTATCTGTTATCAATGCATTTCATGTGTTTGATTCTCTGATCTGTGGTAAGTCTGAAATACATGATAGTACCTAAAAAGTCTTTACTATAAAAGCATTGTAATACGTTTAAATATAATGTGGTAGTGTCTGAGATGGGGAAATGAACCAACCTGCTGAGCCATGTCCGCCAGCTGCATGTCCGCTCGGTGGCTTTCTCTCTCCAGGACAGACGCATGTTTGGTGGCCTCATCCGCCTCTTTCTGGAGTCGTTGCACCTCCTGAACAGAAGAAGATTCCAAAATGACTACTATCATTACAACTATTTTAACAGACAACCATTTATTCAATATTCTACTAATCTTTTCCTGCACATGTCACAAAACATCATATTTTCTACATGACTATTTCACTTTGCATAATACGTCCCCTTTAAAGTGTCCCGGCCTGTACAGAGGGCTAGCATACAGTACCTTGAAGGCCTGCTCCAGCTTGGCGGAGAGGCTGGCCACAGACTTCTGCATGCGCTCGTGCTCGTCTCGCTGCCGCTTCAGGATCGGCGCCTTGGACTCCACCTCCTGCACGATCTCATCCAGGTATGTGTTCACACGCTTGTTCTCCAGACGCTCCAACTGCAGCTGCTCCTGGCTCTCCACGTACGCCGTGTACAACTGAGGACGGGAGGAGGTCACATGATCACACCACAACCTTGATCCAATGTGTTTGATTGGAGAAAGAACAGTTATGTTTTTCAGTGGAGTAAAGTAAACAATCTCCAGCTGAACACTGCAAAAACATGTGAACTTGTCTTTGACTTCAGTCGTAGCAGTTCTCACACTCCTGTAGTTATTGACTACTCCCAGGTGCAGATCGTAGAGGAGTGCAAGTTCCTGGGTTTAACTCTGTCTAACCTGAAATGGGTTAAAAACACTGACCGAGTCGTTAAGAAAGCTCGTCAGCGTCTCTACTTTCTGCGTAAACTTAGAGAATTTACCACTAACTCTAAGATTCTGCTTAACTTTTATGGCTGCACCATTGAGAGTTTACTTGTTGGTTCTGTGTCTGTGTGGTTTGGAAACATCACAGATAAAGAAAAGAGAGCTTTAAACAAGGTGCTCCGCTCTGCAAAGAGGACCGTGGGCTGTGAGCTTCCTGTTCTGGAGGTTCTTTATAAATCCAGACTTTTAAACAAAGCTCTTAGGATTGTCAATGACTCTTCTGGCCACCCTGGGAAAGCCATGTTCCAGCTTCTTCCCTCTGGCAGAAGATATCGGTCGCTGAGATGCAAGACATCTCGCTATGCTAACAGCTTCTTTCCACAGGCTGTTAGGTGCCTAAACAGAGCACTTTAATTCCTGCTTTTACCCCTTGTATCGTTTTGTTGATCGGTGCCACGGTGTCAGCTGTTTTTTTATTCTTTTATTTTCAGTGTATGTGTATTTTATATTACATTGTATCGTGCTTTTTATTCTGTCGGTGCACACAGAGTACCTTTTTTTTGCAAATGTATTCCAATGTAGTTTGTATACTGCACATGGCTAATAAAATGAATCTGAATCTGTTACCTCAGTCAGCTTCATCTTCGGTTTTAGCTTTGAGACGGCAGCCGCGGTGGGAGACATGGTCGTCAGCAGCTCGTCAGTCCGAGAGGAAGACGCAGCAGAACCTGGAACAGACAGTTTTAATAGTGTTTTTATAGTATTTCACATCATAGCACACAATATTCTGTGGGTCTTTAAAAAAAAAAAATAAAAAATCAGTGAAATCATCAAAAAGGGCAAGTAGTCAATAAGTAAAGTGGAAGCAAAAAAGTATGTGCCTAAATTCAGAACTGACAGATGAAAAAACAATGCGTAACTCAATTTTTTCCAAAGAATTACTACACACAAAGAGATTTAAAAACATTTGAATAAAAATCCATTGGTCTAATTATTTTCATTGAGACATGGATTACGTTAGTACAGGGTCATACTCTTACAGGGAAGAACCATTTAAGACTAAATAGTTTTGGTCTGGTGTATGAGTTTAGGTGAATGACTAGGAAAGAGAAGTGCTGTAAACCTTATATATCCGACATTATCACAAAACCAGAGATGACGGCAAAGCAGAAAAAGTCTTCAGACACAAAACCCACCTCTGAGGTTAGACGAAGCCAGCAGCTCGTTGGCGTTGTCCAGCTCCTTCTCCAGGCCCTGGATCCTCAGCCTCAGCTCCGCGGTGGCTTTGTCAGTGTCTGCGTTCATCTCCGCCACCTTTTCCTCCAGGACTTTGTTTGCTGCAGACAAAGGTCACACACTTTTGTTAGAGATTACACTTTCGTTTAAGGAATAGTGTGTTTTCATAAATCTGGTCTGCAGCCGGAAGAGTCGCCACGAAGGAGCTAAAGCATCATTAAAGGGCCATAATCTGTCGTCATTAAAGGGCCCTAATCTGTCATCATTAAAGGGCCCTAATCTATCGTCATTAAAGGGCCCTAATCTGTCGTCATTAAAGGGCCCTAATCTGTCGTCATTAAAGGGCCCTAATCTGTCATTAAAAGGGCCCTAATCTGTCATTAAAGGGGCCTAATCTGTCGTCATTAAAGGGCCCTAATCTGTCGTCATTAAAGGGCCCTAATCTGTCGTCATTAAAGGGCCCTAATCTGTCGTCATTAAAGGGCCCTAATCTGTCGTCATTAAAGGGCCCTAATCTGTCGTCATTAAAGGGCCCTAATCTGTCGTCATTAAAGGGCCCTGATCTGTCGTCATTAAAGGGCCCTAATCTGTCATTAAAGGGCCCTGATCTGTCGTCATTAAAGGGCCCTGATCTGTCATTAAAGGGCCCTAATCTGTCGTCATTAAAGGGCCCTAATCTGTCGTCATTAAAGGGCCCTAATCTGTCATTAAAGGGCCCTGATCTGTCGTCATTAAAGGGCCCTGATCTGTCGTCATTAAAGGGCCCTAATCTGTCATTAAAGGGCCCTGATCTGTCGTCATTAAAGGGCCCTAATCTGTCGTCATTAAAGGGCCCTAATCTGTCGTCATTAAAGGCCCTAATCTGTCGTCATTAAAGGGCCTAATCTGTCGTCATTAAAGGGCCTAATCTGTTGTCATTAAAGGGCCCTAATCTGTCATCATTAAAGGGCCCTAATCTGTCATCATTAAAGGGCCCTAATCTGTCATCATTAAAGGGCCCTAATCTGTCGTGATTAAAGTGCCCTAATCTGTCGTGATTAAAGTGCCCTAATCTGTCGTCATTAAAGGGCCCTAATCTGTCGTCATTAAAGGGCCCTAATCTGTCGTCATTAAAGGGCCCTAATCTGTCGTCATTAAAGGGCCTAATCTGTCGTCATTAAAGGGCCCTAATCTGTCATCATTAAAGGGCCCGAATCTGTCATCATTAAAGGGCCCTAATCTGTCATCATTAAAGGGCCCTAATCTGTCGTGATTAAAGTGCCCTAATCTGTCATCATTAAAGGGCCCTAATCTGTCGTCATTAAAGGGCCCTAATCTGTCGTCATTAAAGGGCCATAATTTGTCATAATAATAAACCGCTCTTTTCCAACCCTTCTTTAACTGATAACAGTAGTTCAGAGATAATTGAGTTTCTAAATTACTTTTCCAGCCTCTAAATCTTGTTGACATCATTTCGATGTCCCGCCCTCCACCATTTCACCAATCAGAAACTCTGATCCGGGCGCCAGAAATCACAGCGTGGAGCTAATCTCACTGGTAAAGTACCATGTGGCACAGAACTAAAAAAGGTCTCGTTATGATTCTCAAATCATTAACGACAAAACAATGAATAAAACCAGGATTTCTATCTTTGTGAAAAAGGTGTTGGTTATAGATTTGTTGTTGACTAAACTCTTGTCTATTCAGCTGTTATGGTCCCAGCTGGATTCATCTGCATATCTGGCAACCTGAGTCAGGGAGAGTGGGAGAGGCTGCAGTACCACTTTTGGTCAGATTTCAAACTTCTCACAGATGAGTAGTTGAACAGGGAAAGTCAAAGAAAATCAATTTTTCAGAGGCAATCCAGAGTTGTGTATCGTCCAACAGTTGTATAGTCCAACAGTTGTATAGTCCAGAGTTGTGCAGTCCAACAGTTGCACAGTCCATAGTTGTGTACCTTCTCCCGCCTCCTTCAGCAGTTTGTGTAGCTCGTCCACTGCTTGGCTCAGCTCTTCACTCTTGGCCTCTGCATCAGCTGCTGCTCCCTGTGACGTGACAAAACATACTTAAAACTCTTTCCAAAAACCACTAAAAACGATCACACACTCACCTTGTACAAGTTCGCCAGTTTTAGGTTGGCGTTGAGTTCATTTCTGAATTTCTCCTCCATAGAAGCGTGTTGTACCTTGGCCTAACAGAAAACAATGAGAATAGAACATGGTCTTGTGTGTGTGTGTGTGTGTAAATGTGTGTGTGTGTGTGTAGCTAAAACAACATGAGATAACACTGAGGACACACGTCAAAGGCAGAAATCAAAGATGACCACACACCTCTTTCAGCTTGTTGACCAGATCTTCACTTTGTTTCTGCAGGTTTTCGTTTGAAGCTTTGAAGCTGGCCATCTGGTCCTGGATCTTGCTGAGCTGCATGAACGATACAGTTTAAGAAAACACTAAATAGTGATTTGAATGAACATTAGGAGCAGGAATGACAAAATTATTGGGATACAGACAGTATGTGATTTGATTGTGATATATTGAACATTCAGGACACAGAGTCACAACAAGCAGACAGAGAAACATAACTCTCAGATGGAAATGACCAGAGGAAACTAAATTATAATTAAATATCGCAATACTTAGCTCTACTCTATTGATTTAATTGCGAGCGTATATATTGTGATACTGAACAGAACAGATTTTTCCCCACCGTTAATAAACATACCTCATCCTCCTTATTGGCCAGGCTGCACTTCAGCTCCAGCAGCTCAGTGCCCTTCTGTCGGGACAGAGACAGCAGCTCTTGGCTCTTTCCCTGGAGCTCGTCTTTGAGCCACGACACCTGTCCCTGGAGGAGCTCCTTCTCTTGGTCCATGCGCTGCTCTTTGTACTGCGACATCACAAACATGTCGTTAAACACGGAATCTCAGGACGACACAGAGGGCGGAGCTGAACTCACCCTAATGTTCACTTGAGCCGTTTCAAGTTCATCGAGCTTCATCTGCAGAGTTATTTTAGACGTTCCAGCCTGCACCAGTTTTTCATTGAGTTGCCTTAAATCCTCTGTTAATTACAGAACAATAGATTAATATGGCATATCCTCTCAAGTGAATGGATATACTTTATTGATCCTAGGAGGAGAAATTCAGGTGTCCAGTAGCAGCAAAAAGATAAATAATTGAGCATACTAAAAAGCTAACAATAGCAATAATCTATTATCACTTGTTGTGTAGATCAGTGTTTCCCAATTGGGGGTTTACAGAGGGTCCTAGAAATACAACATTGATGGTCGTTAAGGGCTACTGAGACATGTCATACATTATATTAAAGCCAATCTTCAAGAAAACCACCACATAATTAATTATATACTAAACATTGATATCAGAACTAATTTATCATTTTTTCTAGACATACATTTCACTGCAATAAAATTGGGTTCCCTGAAAAATGTATTTGATTTTGGCTATTTGTTATTGGCGACAAACCACTGTTTATACACTGTTGAAAAATCATGAACATGAAGCAATAGTTTTATATTGTACCATTCAAATGCTCCACTTCCAATGAGCGTCTTTCCAGAGTCCGGATAAGTTCTCTCTTTTCAGCCTCCAGCTCTTCTTTGGCTTTGGACAGCACCACCTACAGGACAGAAGTGTTATACCAAGTCTCATTCAGCACATGTTGAATAAGTTATGGTGAGTTGGTGACTGTGCACGCGGCTAGTTCTACTGTAGAAACCTCTGTAATGTGCTACAGTAGAAACAGGTGCTAAAAAAACTCAATAAAATCAGTGGCGGCTGCAGCTGTTAAGTGCTAAGGTAGTAGAGCCCTGCACTTGAGCCCTTGGCCCGAGGGCCCCGACGGCCCGACAGCCCGAGGGCCGGGCTTCGGGCCGATGACCGCATAATGACCTCGGACACGGGCCGGGCTCGGGCTCTTCATTTTCAGAGCGGCAGAATACATTTACGAACGCACCCACTGAATATAGCGTTCTATCACGCTATAGTGTTTGTTGTTCTGTGTAGTGTTGTCATTGACGACACATAGCATCACTTACAGGTGTGTTGCAGCATCTGTGTATCATACAGATGCGGCCGTTCACTCTGCACCACTCCGCACACACAGAACTCATTGCAGCACATCACTACCATGTATAACTCCGCCCTCTAGCTAAGTCTGCGTTCATATCAGTGCGCGGCACTATATACTACGCTAAAACATTGTTATGGGAGGTTACAAAAAAAAAAAAAAAAAGGCAGGCTTGATGCGGGTTTCGGGCCTGAAAATTGAGAAACCATATCGGGCCGGGCCGGGCTGGGGCGCCACCCCCTCGGGCCAGGGCCGGGCTCGGGCCCAGATAATAGGCCCGTGCAGGGCTCTATAAGGTAGTAGTTTATCACCACTGTGTATGGAGTGAATGAATATGACATGTGAACTGTATAAAACCAATGCATAATTTTCCCCTAACAAGCTCAACACAAACACACACTTATTACCTGCTCAGATGAAAGCTTGTCCTGTGCAGTTGCATAGTCCCTGTTCTTAGAGACGGCAACTTTGAGCTCCTCCTCTGAACACAAACATGAGGTCAGTGAGTAGAACTTCAGCGGCCACATATAAAGTTTGTGGAATAATTTTTACCGAGTTTGGAGAATTTCTCTGTGAGCTCCGAGTGCTCCTTGGACTTGGCCACAAAGTCTTTTTGGCATCGATCAAGTTGCTGCACCTTCTCAAAGAAGTGTTGTTCTAAAGGGACAAATAAACGCATTGTTATTTAATGATTATTGACAGGTCATAAAAACATTGGTGAAACACTGCTGGGTACATGTACGTTTTGTCTCTGGGACAAAAAAACTGAGTGAGCGGTCGGAGTTAGCTGTGAACTGGCCATGTCCTGAAGTTTCTAAATGAAGGGGAGATGAGAAAGGTGCAGGGCCGTGTTCAAGCTTATTGTTTTTTGATCCACTATTATGCATCAGAAAGAATATATAGAAACACTATTCCCATGCAAATAAAAGGATGTCCCTTAGAGCTATCTTTGATATAAGCCAATGTTTATGAATGATCAGTTTTCTATCTGTTTAGTAGCTCCATCTCCACTTCACACTCACTGCAGCTTCACATTGGGACTTTTTCCTTTTTGCTGTGCTGTCAAAAATAACATGTAGTTAGTATACGCAGAGAGTCTACAGGTGGTGTACATTTTACACCCATTTCAACCTTCATCACAACTAGCAGAAAACACATGAAATTAAAGTTTTGGACAATAAACATATTCCCACTCTGGCAAGATCATAGGCACACCTCTCACATTACATAATTTGACGAAGTTATGTTTGAGCGATACCGATAGTTTCCACCCGTGGATACAAACAAACCACACGTGCCAGTTGTATGGTGCTGAGATCGCAGACTTCTTCCTCCTTAATGGACTTTCCTGTGTTATTTAGGACACATTTCGTCTCTGGGACTAAAAAAACTGAGTGAGAGGTCGGAGTTAGCTGTGAACTCTGGCCATGTCCTGAAGTTTCTATATGACGGGGAGATGAGAAAGGTGCAGGGCCGTGTTCGAATTCACTGTTTTTTAATACACTATTATACATCAGAAAAAAAAATATAGAACCATTATTCCCATGCAAATAAATGGATGTCCCTTACAGCTGTCTTTGCTGCTTTGGTATCAGCCAATGTTTATGAATGATCAGTTTTCTATCTGTTCATCAGCTCCATCTCCACTTCACACTCACTGCAGCTTCACATTGGGACTTTTTCCTTTTTGCTGTGCTGGCAAAAATAACATGTAGTTAGTAATGTTGTAACATTATTCATTTAATACTAATATTATAGTTGTCCGTTTTCTGTTATATGCATTGTTCCTCCTTTATCTCTCAAATAAATAAATTAATTAATCCTGTGTGAGATCAATAAAGTTTATCCATCCATCCATCCATCTTCTTCCCCTTCATCCATTTCTGGGTCGGGGGGGTGGCAGTCAGAGCTGCACCCAATTCACTTAGCACCAGCCCCTCACTGATCCTCTGCAGGTGGTGAGTCCACAGGAGGACGGCTGCTCTGTCAGTGACAATACAGCCTTGATTTTTCAGCGGGGGCTTCAGGCAATGCAGGGTTAAGTGTCTTGCCCAAGGACACAACGACAGCAGTCATCAGTGGGAGTCGGTGGAGAAGGTCCCATGGTGGGCTTGAACCCACAACCTTCAGGCTCAAAGGCCAGTGCTCTACCAACTGAGCTACTGTCGCCCAATAAAGTTTATCTTATCTTAAAATACAAGCCACAATCAAAGGCTCGGCGGCGCACTATTTACAGGTTAGCATTAGCTACAAGTTAGCTTGAATACATATTCAAGCTAGCAGTCTTAAAATCAGACAAAATGTTTTATCAGAACTGCACAGCTTTTCCCACAGCTTCAGTTGGTCTTTGGGAACCCAATAAATGAGCATGTTGCGTAAACTTTGATTACAGCTGAAAACAAAGCAGAACATTTTGCACCATTCATTTAAACATCCGAGCAATGAACCGGAAGTGCTTCTGGGACGAGACTTTCCAGCCCTATCGTGTTCAAATATCCATCCATTTTTTTCCCCTTATCAATTTCTAGATGGGTGACAATCAGCTGCACCCAGTGGGCCTGTATGAAACTTGCGTACGGCCAAATCAGGCTGTAAATAAGGCGTACGCAAAAAAAATTACACTTTTCCGCATTTATCAATCTTGAAACGATCGTACGCTACACACTAAATATACGCAGAGTCTACAGGTGGTGTACATTTTACACCCATTTCAACCTTCCTCACAACTAGCAGAAAACACATGAAATTCAAGTTTTGGACCACAATAAACATATTCCCACTCTGGCAAGATAATAGGCACACCTCTCACATTGGGCTATGCCGATAGTTTGTGTCACTGAATAACGTGCAAGATGTCTCAAGAGTCTCACAAATGTGTGGAAATGTGTAGCACATTAAAGCTGGGGTAAATAAATAACTATTACAAAACAAAACACAAGAAGTCTTGTTTTTTATGTTGTTTTTGCATAATTAAGATAAGATAAGCTTTTTTTATCTCACAGAGAGAGAACAATGTTAGTCAATATTTTACTTTTTGGGCTGAGAGCGTTTTTTTTTTTTAGCTCAAAAGATGTAAGGAGAAGGCCGCAAAATGTTTTCCTGTACCTGGGGGGCCTGGCAAACAATAATTGAGAAGCAATGGTCTATACTGACCAAGCACTGTGCCAAACTGGTCTTAGATAGGACATTTTTATTTACCGTTTGTATGAACCAGCAGCAAAGTAGAATAAAAGATGCATTTTTCATTGAAGTACCCATCTTTCTTGTGTTTATCATTTGCAACATAATTAAAAGCAACTTTAGGCCAAATAAGAAAAAATAATTATCCGATTAGTCAACTAATCGTTTCAATAGTCGGTGACTAGTCGACTATTAAAACAGTTGTTAGTTGCAGCCCTAGTGTTTATGCGTGCGTTTGTGTGGTTACATCTACAGAGTGTCGTTCCTTTAGTCCAGCGAGCGCTGTGACCATAACTGGACTTTGCCGCTGGTTCCTGGTGTGGACTCCGTGATAGTTTTAGCAATAGTCCACTTTTCTGTGGCTTTTTTGGGATGCACCGCTGGTCTGCTGCTCTGACCCTCCACATGGTCTGCTGCTCTGACCCTCCACATGGTCTGCTGTCCTGACCCTCCACATGGTCTGCTGCTCTGATCCTCCACATGGTCTGCTGCTCTGATCCTCCACATGGTCTGCTGCTCTGATCCTCCACATGGTCTATGTCAGCTCTATCAATCAATCAATCAACGTTTATTTGTATAGCGCCTTTCCTACACAAGGCAACGCAAAGCGCTTCACATCCCCTATCACATCATGCATAAATCAAACACATTAAGAGCACAAGATATATTAAAAACATTAAAAATAAAATCACAAAAATTAAAAACCTTTAAACATTAAAATCACAGATGGGACTAAAATCATAAATGGTCACAGTGCATTAAAAAGATTAAAGATAAAAACAAAGATGAAAAGATAAAATCATTCAGTTGTATATGCGCAGCTAAACAGAATTGTTTTGAGCCTAGATTTAAAGGATGCCAGAGTAGACGCCTGTCTCACATTCTCAGGAAGACGGTTCCAGACTCTAGCCGCATGAATCTGAAATGCAGTTTGCCCATGTCTAGTACCGACTCTGGGCACTAACAGGAGTCCAGTCCCTGTGCTCCTCAGAGTCCGGGTCGGTTCATATGGCACAAACATGTCGTGGATGTACCTTGGCGCGAGACCATGGAGAGACTTGTACACAAGTAAAGCTGCTTTGAAGTCTATTCTCTGAGGAACAGGAAGCCAGTGCAGAGACCTGAGAACTGGACTAATGTGGTCGCACTTCCTAGTTCTGGTCAGGACTCGAGCTGCTGCATGTTGAATGTACTGCAGCTGTTTTACAGCCTGTTTGGAGAGACCTGTGAACAAGCCATTGCAATAGTCTAACCGACTGGAGACAAAAGCGTGTATACATAGTTCCCACATGACGTCACTACATACGGGGATTTGCCGACCCGGCGACATTTGTGTTGGCATTCTGTGGGCAAAACAATAGAAAAAGAAGCTGAAACGTGTTAATGTCGTGATAAAGTTGAAAATGGTCATCTCCTGCTGGGTCAATGGATGTTCAAATCGTGCCGGAGGTTCCGTTAAACTTGGATTTTACAGTATACCCATCATTAGACTTCATGAATGTGAGAAGACTAAGCTTTTGTCAGAACAACCACGGAGGTTATGGCTTGCGAAGATAAACAGGCAAGAAACTCCCTCAAAACACGCAAGAATATGCTCGGAGCACTTTGTGTCAGGTGCGTATCGTATCTTATAATGTGTTGACAGACGTAATTTACTCAGTACTAACTTGTGTATGCGGATATCTGGTAACTTGAGAGTTTCATTATTTAGATTACTTTATTATGAGGAGGATCGGTGTCGCGTCCGAGGCTCTCGAGGGTAACGTAAATGTATTAAATAGATAATAATAGTTCTATGGTGGGCTAAAACAATGTTCACAAACAGCATTGCTTCTGTAAAAAGATCTGTGTCATAAAATAAACTGCTCTTTACGCCTGAAAAAATCAGTTGCCCACCATTCACCAAAACATACGGTCAAAAACGCGGAAATAAACAATAACAGCAATCCAGAGTGTCCGTGTGGCATTAGCATTAATTAAATTAATTGTTAATATAATTAAAATAATTAAATGGAGCTCCAACTGGTATTAAATCTAAAGTTTTTGAGAAATGTTTGCATTGCTTGTTAATTTTTGCTGCATAATTTGATCAAATATGTAAAACATGTCCGTAGCACGTTAAACTGTGGTGCCATTGTATTAATATACAATTATTTGCTCAAAAGTTGCCCTTTTTTTTCCAATTTGCGTTTGAATATCTACATTTATTCTCATTCTTCTGTTTAATGGAATGCACAAACACAACAGCGTGCCATCAAAGATGGCGTCTCCGAGGAGGTCATGTGACATTCATTGGTCTGTGGGAACTATGTATAAGAGTCTCCAAGTCTGCCTTAGACACTATGTTTTTAATTTTAGCAATGTTTTTTAGGTGGTAATAAGCTGCTGATGTTACAGATTTTATGTGGCTTTTGAAATTTAAGTCTGAGTCCATTATCACTCCTAGATTTCTGACCCGATTTGAGGGTTGTAGAGAGAGAGCCTGGAGGTGACAAATAACGCTCTCTCTTTGTTTCTGGGGTCCGAAAACAATTATTTCAGTTTTGTCGGTGTTTAGTTGGAGAAAGTTATTTTGCATCCAATCACCGATTTGCTGGACACAGTGAAGGAGCGAGTCCACTGGTTCATGCTCTCCTGCTGTCAGGGACACATAGACCTGAGTATCGTCAGCGTAATTGTGATAAGAGACATTATTACTGTGAATCAACTGACCTAGAGGCAACATGTAAATATTAAACAGAAGAGGACCCAGGATTGACCCCTGTGGCACTCCGCAGGTCAGGGCCAAGTGGTCTGAGGTACAGTTTTCGATCTCCACAAAAAACTTTCTGTCTTGTAAATAGGACCTAAACCAGCTTAGGGCGGTGCCAGCAACACCAACCCAGTCCTCAAGTCTCTGAATGAGGATGCCATGATCAATAGTGTCAAAAGCAGCACTTAAATCTAACAGAAAAAGGACTGAAACTTTTCCTGCGTCAGTGTTTAGTTTGATGTCATTTGTTACCTTTATTAGCGCGGTCTCAGTGCTGTGGTGGGGTCTAAACCCTGACTGGAACATATAAGCGTTATTGATTATTAAAAATTCTGTAAGTTGTTGATAGGCAACTTTTTCTAGAATTTTTCCCATGAAAGGCAGATTTGAAATGGGCCGATAATTTTTTGAGTGCCAGGGCTTCCAGATTCCTCTTTTTTAGGAGGGGCCTGATGACCGCCGTTTTCAAGGCCATTGGGAATGTTCATGATTCAAGAGACATATTCTAGAGACACTCTCTAGAGACACATTTACTGCTCAAACTGCCTCCAAATGTAGCCTGACTGTATTATTCCATGCCTGCTTCACCTCTGTCTCTCCTGCTCAGAGTTAGCCTGGTCTTATCCATCCGTACACTCAGTTTAATCATCACTTCTCTGCATGTAACGTCTGGGTCTAGTCCCTGAGTTAGCAAATACAATCGGTTGAATTTCGACCGACCATTCAGAGAGCGCAGTTTTAGTTCGTTGTGGGTGATGTCAAGAGTTTGTGTCGAACAGGCAGGTTGTAGTTTGGCAATGCCGAAAAATGTGATAGTAAAGTAATCTGGTCTGGTTCTATCAAGAAATTGAAGCCGGAGCAAGAGGAATGTTTAGCAAATGTAATCGCTGGAAAAACAGACTCGGGCTCATTACATAAGTCACGGTAAACTCAGATCCAATCGTTTTAATCTGCAAAAGGAGTTTACACGTGGGAGGGGTTAACAGAGCTCAATGGAGCACCTCCAGACCTTCGTACGAAATGTAATTTGTACTATGGTGCGGTACGACCAGGCTAGCTGAGAGCTCAGACAGTGATCTTTGACCAAGTCAACCACAGAGCTCTGCTGCCACCTGCTGGCTTAATAAAATACTGTCTACAGCCAAACCCCAGACATTTATGGGACAAAGACGAACAGGCAAAGACTGTCAATTGACGTCAATGAGTTAATCTCAATGGTATCTCAAAAATTCTTTGGCGTACCCCACTTTGAGAACCACTGCTTTAGGTGACAGAGGCTCTCAGTTATTGGAATATCTAATAACTCCCCTAGCCGACGCGCAAACACCGCAGGAGCAGCGCTTCAACCAAGCGCACTCAAAGACGCGTGCCACTGTGGAGCGCTGCGCAGGTCTCCTGAAGGGAAGATGGCTCTGCCTGGGACATGCCAGGGGTAAGTGTGCCATATGGTCCTGGTCTGCTCGGTCCTCCACAATATGGCACAGGACCACGGTATGCCATTTGATGCATTGGGGCCTCAGGTGGAGCAGCCCATGGATGACGAACCATGGCCAGCACCGCCTGCACTTTGACCTGAACAGCTCAGACAGGCCCTCATTCAACAATGTTAAAGTAATGATCACACAAATCATTTAACATTTTTTATTTCTTTAAATTCTCATTGATTTGACAAAGTGTTTGGTTAATTAATAGCAGGTTTGTGTTGATTTGAACCAGCTGGCTCCAAATCTCTGTCTGCCTGTCCGGCACTTCCTCTGTCTTGAGAGAGGGTTGTAGAGCCGGGGATGTGCAGGGTTGGGAAGCAGCGGCTTGGGGAGTCTGTGTCGCGGGCACATCTCCAGTCTCTTCCTTTGGCTCAGCCTGCAGTGTGCTGCCACTTGGTCCTGGCTCTTCTACAATAAATAAAAAACAACATAAGAATAAGGATGTCTCTGCTTTCATTTGGACAGATTTAGCTAGAATTTAATTACTTACCTAAAACAGTCTCCTCGATCAGGTCGGTGTCCCCTTCATCCCCCGAGACACCGAAAATTGAGGCCGCACCGATTAGCGCAGCAACCCGCTCCTCAGTTGCAGACAAGAGGCTTCGATCTGGTGGTCCTCCCCCTGTCTGCTGAGCACTTCGCCTTTGGGCTGCTAAACGTCTTTTTGTGATTATTTTTAAGTCACTCCATTTTTTTTTCACCTGTAGGCATAAATAATAAATGCTTACTATTGGCCCTAATTATTGTCGTCAACTGTTTGACATGGAATTTCTTCAGCAAAACATGAATGAACTCACCTCCTTAGGAGTGCGTCGCACAGGCCCCACGCTGTTTACGGAGGCTGTAAGAGCCCTCCATATTTTTTTTTTTTGAGCCCCCTTTATGCCACTTTTGAGGCTTCCAAACATTATTTTTTTGTGTTTTTCCACTTCATTCATAATTATATCGATCTCCTGCTCCGTGAAGTTCTTCTTCTTCTTCTTCGTCGTCTTCCTTTCTGCCATGTCGTAAAAATTAGGCGTGAAACAGGTGTTTTCTGAATATTTATAGGCGTGAGTTTTTTAATTACGTTCGTTTTCAGCCACCACATTTATCAACAGGAGCAGCTGCGTACGCCCTTATATGGGCGGACCTCACACGTTCATAAATCCTGCGTTTAATTTTGCGTATTTGGAATCTGCACCAAAAATGTACACCCTTTTCTGAGCAAGTTTCATACATGAGGACCAGTCAGTGCACAGAGCCCCAGCCCCCCCATTGATCCTCCTGCAGGTGCTGAGTCCACAGGAGGCTGTTCTGTCAGTGACAAAGCAGCCTTGATCCATCAGCAGGGGGTTCAGGCAAAGTGGGGTTAACTTAAGTGTCTTGCTCAAGGACACTACGAAAGCAGACATCAGTGGGAGTCTGTGCAGAAAGGCTCAAAAGACCAATGCTCTACCAACTGAGCCACTGTCGCCCCATTTGTTTTCACGAATACCGGAATGTAAACCAGAGAAGACAGTAGAATAGCCTGTCTGTGGGTTCTGTCGGTGCGTCCTTGGCCAAGACACTTTACCCCACTTTGCCTATAAGGAGTACGGAAGTAATTGTACGCGGCATGCCTTGATTTGTATATGAGGTTATGTGTATATGAGGTTATGTGTATGGGCTCTATGCACGCACCACTTCCACGTTTTAGTTCCAACCCCACTTCACTTCCTGTTCGCGGGAAACGGCTTGAGTTTCACTGGAGTTCAGCAGTGGTTTACAAGAGTTTCCCAAATAATGCTCAAGCGGGAATTAAACTGAGGATACTGGGCATTTTTGGGACACAGCAGTGCTCTCTGATTGTGCTGTCATTGTGTTTTTATAAAGTTTACAAATCTCTGAGTGGCCACAGTCAAAGCTCTACCTCAGAGAGAAAGCACAGCGACACTTTTGGGTCAGTCTCAGCTGAATGTATCAATCGAAATACCAAAAAACGTCACTAAAACCCACCTAAAAGCCATAGGATAGCATAGACAGGAAGTGAACGGTCAGCAATAGATCATATACGGAATCTGGACAAAACCGGAAGTAACAATCCTATTGTCGAATTAGTTTTAGACTAAAAATCCTTAAGTGGTGACTGGTTAAGTTTTAGGTGTCTGAGTAAGAGGGTTAAGGTTAGGGTTAAGGTGGTCTGAGTAAGATGGTTAAGGTTAGGGTTAAGGTGGTCTGAGTAAGATGGTTAAGGTTAGAGTTAAGGTGGTCTGAGTAAGATGGTTAAAGTTAGGGTTAAGGGTGGGTTGGGGTTATGTTATGGGAATGGCTGGTTAAATTTAGGCATGAATAGGTAGTTTGTTATATTTACTTTCACTTTCGTATATGATCTAGTGCTGACCGGAAGGGAACGGGCTGTGCTTAGTTAACAGGAAATGACGTCACGCCCCCCTGCATATAGCCCATTCAGCTCTTATATGCTAACTCAAAGTAAGCTAACATTAGCCTTTTTTATATCCAACAAAACCATTCATACATTTAGCAAAACTGTGGACTAAAACATGAGAGTGAGTGCATTTCTTGTAGGTCCCCCGTCCCTGCAGCTGCCTGAGGTTTCACTCATAAGCCCGGAGCGTGGAGGTTTCAGACCCAGAGACCCAGAACCAGCAGCGGGAGAGTGTCTCACCGTTGTCCACCCGGAGCTGCTCATGTTGGGCCTTCAGAGAGTCCAGCTCGTACTGCTGCTCCTCCAGAAGCCTCTCCACTTTGTTCACGATGTTTTTGGGGAGTTTGGAGATCTCCCCCACGTCCAACTCCTGCTGCAGCAACGCCGCCATCTTTACCACAACAACTGCTGCGCATGCGCACCTTTGAATTTCAGCGCTTCAACCCCACTGGAGCATTGTGGGAAATGTGGTTCTGCAGGTCGCCGTGGTCTGTGTTGTTTAGTGCGACTGGACTGGATTGATCTGTATCAGTCAAGCCGATAAATTGTATTTTTATAGAACATTTAATAAGCTATCAGTTTGTGGAGAAGTGCGACACAGAGAAAATATAAAACACAGTATTAAAAATGAAAATCCTAGTATTCATCAAGTCATATCGAAAAGACTTATTCCTCTTCATGAGTGTTTTTAAAAGATGAATAATATAAAACTATCAAATAATTATATACGCTAATAATCCATCTAAAACTTAATTATACTTACTTAATTAATAAATGCTAATGCCATTAAGACACAAATAGCGTTTAATGCACATGTCACCAGTTGCAGTTGTTAACGTATTGACATCTTGTTCAATAATTGACAGTTGGAACAATATATTTTAGGCATTGCTTTCTTCAAGGAGTGTTAAAGGTTTAATGATAATGAGGTGAAAATCTATAAATACAAAGAATCACAAAATACAAAATACAAAAGCGCATAAATGCAGAATAAAATACATTGTTCATATATAAATCCTGTGCTCTGAGGGACCTGTACCTGTGCTATGAGGGACCTGTACCTGTGCTCTGATGTGAGTGTGGAGTGTGTGTCTATTATTGTGGATTATTGAGTGATTATTACAACTTTATCAAATCAAATCTGATAATATTTCCCACCTTTGGTTACATGAGGTCATACAAACACAATATTCTATTTACACTACTCGATGATGTCAATGAGGCTTATCATAAAGTTCATCAGATTTGGATTTTGGAAGTACTTTGATCCCGAGAACAGACGATACTTTTTACACCACAAGATGGCGCTGCTACTCTTCATTAGGTTGTTAACTTTAAAGAAGTTTGTTGAGTTGCAAGACGCAGTGTATTAGAATAAAATTACATTTCAGGGTTTTTCCTAAAGTACAATTATCAATATCAATCATCAAATCTATCTTGTTTGGCCTTGCCCAATACTGGGCAAGGCCAGGCCAGGTTATTTGCATAGCACAGTTTATTCACACACAAAAAACTCAAGACAGACACAATCACACAAGGCATTAAAAAATACATAAATAAACTACAGTACATTAAAAAGAGTAAAGTCGTTGCAGCGAAACAGAACTATTTTTAAACCTGGATTTAAACATAGTCAGAGAAGAAGCCTGTCTCACATTTTCAGGAAGACTGTTCCAGATATTAGCTGCATGAATCTGAAAGTCCTGACTCTGGGACCAGCAGGAGACCAGTCCCTGTGCTCCTCAGAGTTCCAGCAGGATACCGGTCCCTGTGCTCCTCAGAGTCCCAGCAGGAGGCCAGTCCCTGTGCTCCTCAGAGTCCCAGCAGGAGGCCGGTCCCTGTGCTCTATGATTCCTGCCCCTCCGTTGCCCCCGGTGACAGATCCTGATGGTATTTGTCTCCGTGTCTGGACCAGTTTTCCGTGCTTTATGAGTGATTATTATCAAACAAGAATGGGGCCCCGGGCAGCAGGATATTTCCTCACCGGGATCAGCACATGCGTTGCCATGGCGATGAGGCTTGAGTCGGAGTCAGCCGAGGCCAGGTCTGTCAGGACTTGTCCCACAGAAACCCTCGCAGTGGATCCTGGATGTTTGCGGCGGTTCAGGCGTGAGTCAGACGCAGAAGGGATTTCCTCTCGGGTCGTTGCAGATCCGAGGCGCCGTGAGTGAAAAGGTGGTTTTGGGTTTGTGTTCTCAGGGGCCTCCGGATCCTGATCCTTTGATCCGCTAAGCCCCGAGAACGTTTCTCAGGGATCAGTTTACTGCAGAACACACCTTTTTACATTTTTATGAGTGAACTTTCCTCTGCTTTCTGTGATGAGCAATTCTCCAAAAGAAATGAACCCAGTGATGATCCTTCGCAAAGTTCATGCACTAAAAAAAGATTGATATCATACATAAATATACAAGTATTTACAACCTTTTTAATTGGATAACTGATATTTGTACCTTGTCTTGTGCAGGTTTTTAAATAAATAAATAAATAACATTGCATTCCTTGGTTTTTGGAGATTTGTACATTGTTTTGTTGCCTCCTGCGCTTATAAACATACAGATGCAAATATATATTGTAAATACATAAATATTCAGTATCTGCCATAGTTTCACCATGTGTTGGACGTACACATGTATTTCTGTTTACAATATCACCTTATAGACTCCCACCACATGAGGTTGAAATACTTTAAACATGTATTTTAATCATTAGATTGTGCTTATTTTACAAAACCAGGCAGAAATAGACATTTGTATCGCCCTAAATCACAACAGTGGTTATTTTTTGGAGGACTATTACAAAGCTGTCGATTCACAAACAACAGATCAGAGAATCAAACAAGAAATACTCTGATAAAAACACATAGAGCCATTTGTTCATAAGGAGCATTATTATGATTATTTAACTGTTATCAATGTCCTTAAATGTCCTGGATCAAAACTCCTGTCCTTAGACCCTCCTCAACTGAAAAGATCAACTATAAAGAAAATAAAAAATAAAAAACAGTGGAAAAAGGGGAGGCCCAGAGTCTGATCTTATGAGTTAACATATAATATATTGCATTTTTGTACAAAAGAGTTCTTTGAGTCAATAATTTACGTTGTGGGCTCAGAGAAACTGATGTTTTGTAGAGAAATTAAAACTCCAACTAAAAGATACAGGTTTAAATCTTATGTTCGTCTTCATAAGAAAATCCTGGGGAGAACCTCAGGCTCTAACAATAATATCTTTGAATAAATCTCAATCAACTTAAACAAAATTAAAATACTACATTTCATCAAATAGAGTTAAAAAACAGTGTAAACAAAACATAAAATCAGGTGCAGAGACAAAAGCTAAAATGTAGTCTGCATTTCAACTTAAAATGTGAAACCAATCAGATGATAAGATAAAATACAGACTGAAAAACGCCAAGTCTGTCGCTGTGAACCCTAATTATCAACATTATAACGATTAAAAGCTGGATATCTCTGACTCTGTCTAATGACTGCTTCACAAACTCCCGATCGCCGTCTACAACAGCCCGTTCCTGTTCCTGCTAATATCCAGCAACTTCACCGTCGAGGAGTGGGCCCACATTCCACAGAGCGTCTCAATCTGGCGCCCCTGGAGGACTTCCAAATATTATGCAGCTGTGGCGTGAATCGGTACAGACGTATCAAACCCATTTTAAATTCTACAATCCAGTCAAGCCAGTTTTTAAACCCAGAGCCAAGGAAGGAAGGAAGGAAGGAAGGAAGGAAGGAAGGAAGGAAGGAAGGAAGGAAGGAAGGAAGGAAGGAAGGAAGGAAGGAAGGAAGGAAGGAAGGAAGGAAGGAAGGAAGGAAGGAATCTTATACTATACAGGGCGACAGTGGCTCAGTTGGTAGAGCATTGGCCTTTGAGCCTGAAGGTTGTGGGTTCGAATCCACCACGAGACCTACTGCACGACTCCCACTGATGACTGCTGTCGTTGTGTCCTTGGGAAAGTCACTTAACCCCACTTTGCCTGAAGCCCTGACAGCACCTGCAGGAGGATCAGTGAGGGGCTGGTGCTGGGTGCAGCTCTGACTGCCACCCCCGACCCAGAAATGGATTAAGGGGAAGAGGATGGATGGATGGATGGAGTACTAAAAATGTTGGTCACCCTGCCTTAGACTCTACATTGAGAAGGAATAACAACATTACATATACATGAGCATATACTATGTGCATATACTATGTGTATATACCATATGTATATAAGTATACTGAATCCACAAAACGAAGCAAAAACAAAAGAGCTGTGTGTATATTTTGTTAATGTCGCACAAACGTTTGTGTTTCTCTTTTAGCTCCGTTTGTATCTTTCTGTGACTCACACATTTTACATCCGCCTCTCAAGGGTCAAGACGTCTCCTGGTTCTTAATTAGTCACGATTAAAAGCTTTAACATTAAACTGTTGACTTTGGGGCCCACACTACACCCACGGCGCTGAAGTGCCCCGTACACAACTCAGATCCATCATGTGACCTGTGATGTCACATGATGTCGCCTCCTTCGGCCCCGCACCGGGCTGTGGGGGACCCCTACATCACCGGTGTGCGTGAGGAGGAGGAGTAAACAGGGGGTGATGATGGGGTGGGGGGGTGGAGGAGGGGTGAGAATGGGGTGAGAAGGGGTGGTGAGGAGGTGGGGGAGGACCAGGTGTTGCGGTCACTATAAACAGGAGCGTGGACAGGAAGCAGCTGAGTCACAGAATCCTCCAGGACAGAGATTACAGAGTTTTATGAATGGCAGCGCGTTGGCGTGAGTCTGATTCATGTGGAAGTAGATTAAGAGATGAAGATATGAATGAGGGAAACGATAAAAGCATTAATGACCTAACGTGTAAGTAAGCTTTATTTAAACAGCGCATTTTTACAGACCAAGTCACCCGAAGCACTTTACGATGTTCAGAGCTCAGATATTGTGTGTATCTATCTGTAAATACTATTGAGATGCATCAACGTCATCCAGTCACGTGATTGTGAATGAGCTTACGGCGGAAGTATTGGAAACTAGCATTAGCATTAGCATTAGCATTGTTGCGAGAGCAAAACGGACACAACTCTTAAAAACGGAAAATGAGAAGTGGCCTCTTCAAGCACATGTTGGATTACGTTATAGGTGGAAGTAGGACATCAGGTCAGGGCTCACAAAGAGTGGTATTTGGAGAAGTTAAGGATTGCCTAACTGGATGTTGACTCGTACCTTCTCCCCCCAGTCAATTTTATCGATTAAATAAAATGTCTATTTTTGCCCAAATTCACCCTACATGATCTTTATCATTATCGTTAACAATGCATCCCCTCACACTGGAGCAGATTAATATGTACATTTAGCTGCATTAGCAATAGTCCGCTTTTCTGTGGCTTGTCTGTCTACAGCCAAACATGATACGTACTGACGCAGAGGAAAATAGTGAAACACGCAATTGACTTAAAAGATAAAAATGTCAATGTTGCAGCGCACATACAGGACAGTAGTAAGAGACACGTTTGACGTGTGTCATTGTGCTCCAAATTAATGGAAATAAAATAAATACAAACTTGTGATTGCTTTATCTTGTAAAAAGTGTTCACTGCAGATTAGGGAGTACTTGGATGGGTCCAGTCCTTTTGGTTGATTGCCGCCATCGTCGTCTTCTGTCTTCATGACGAGAAGGTATCAGATAAAAAAGCTTATGTCCTTCTTGCCTTTTAGTATAATCAACCGCACTGCAAAATGTCACAGTTTTGGCTGTAATGCGCTGAAACAGGCGAGGTGCAGAGAGGACTGGGCAGCAGTCGAAGGCGGAGACCTCGACGACCCAGTCCACACACCCAACATCTGGCTCTTGGGACGTGGAACGTCACCTCACTGGGGGGGAAGGAGCCCGAGCTTGTCGGGGAGGTTGAGCGATACCGACTAGAGATAGTCGGCCTCACCTCCACACACAGCTTGGGCTCTGGAACCCAACTCCTTGAGAGGGGTTGGACGCTCCACTTTTCTGGTGTTTCCCGCGGGGAGAGGCGGCGAGCTGGGGTGGCCATACTCATTGCCCCCCATCTCAGCCGCCACGTGTTGGAGTTCTCCCCGGTGAATGAGAGGGTCGCGTCCCTCCGCCTCCGGGTGGGGGACAAGTCTCTCACTGTTGTGACGGCCTACGGGCCTAACGGTAGTGCAGAGTACCCGGCCTTCTTGGAGTCCTTGGGAGGGGTACTGGACAGTGCACCGCCCGGGGACTCCGTTATTCTCCTGGGGGACTTCAACGCCCATGTGGGAAATGCCAGTGACACTTGGAGAGGGGTGATCGGGAAGAGCGGCCCCCCTGATCTGAACCCGAGCGGTGTTCAGTTGTTGGACTTCTGTGCCAGTCACGGCCTGTCTATCACGAACACCATGTTCGAGCACAAGGGTGTCCATCAGTGCACGTGGCACCAGGACACCCTAGGCCGGAGGTCGATGATCGACTTTGTAGTCGTATCATCTGACCTTCGACCGCGTGTCTCGGACACTCGGGTGAAGAGAGGGGCGGAGCTGTCAACCGATCATCACCTGGTCGTGAGTTGGATCCGCTGGCAGGGCAGGAGGCCGGTCAGACCTGGCAGGCCCAAGCGTGTAGTGAGGGTTTGCTGGGAACGTCTCGCTGAGCCCCCTGTCAGACGGACTTTCAACTCACACCTCCGGGAGAGCTTCTCCCAGGTCCCGGCAGAGGAGGGGGACATCGAGTCCGAGTGGACCATGTTCTCTTCCCTCTATCGCCAATGCGGCGGCTCGTAGCTGTGGTCGCAAGGTCTCTGGTGCTGGTCCCGGCGGCAATCCCCGAACCCGGTGGTGGACACCGGCAGTAAGGGATGCCGTCAGGCTGAAGAAGGAGTCCTATCGAGCAATGATGGTTCGTGGGACTCCTGAGGCAGCTGTCCAGTACCGGCAGGCCAAACGTGCCGCGGCCCGGGCTGTTGCAGAGGCAAAAACCCGGGACTGGGAGGAGTTCGGAGAGTCCATGGAGCATGACTATCGGTCGGCCTCGAAGAGGTTCTGGCAAACCGTCCGGCGCCTCAGGAGGGGGAAGCAGTTCTTTGCCAACACCGTGTATGGTGCGGGTGGAGGGCTGCTGACCTCGACTGGGGATATTGTCGGGCGGTGGAAGGAATACTTCGAGGTTCTCCTCAATCCCCCCGTCACGTCCCCCGTCCAGGAGGCAGAGGCTGAGGATGTTGGGGCGGATACTTCCATCTCCCTGGCCGAGGTCACCAAGGTGGTTGGCAGCCTCCATGGTGGCAAGGCGCCGGGAGTGGATGAGATCCGTCCTGACTATCTAAAGTCTCTGGATGTTGTAGGACTGTCTTGGCTGACACGTCTCTGCAACATCGCGTGGCGATCGGGGGCGGTGCCAATGGAGTGGCAGACCGGGGTGGTGGTCCCTCTCTACAAGAAGGGGGACCGGAGGGTGTGTTCCAATTATCGTGGGATCACACTCCTCAGCCTCCCCGGTAAGGTCTACTCCAAGGTACTGGAGAGGAGGCTTCGTCCGATGGTCGAATCTCGGATTCAGGAGGAGCAGTGTGGTTTTCGTCCCGGTCGCGGAACACTGGACCAGCTCTATACTCTCCATCGGATACTCGAGGGTTCATGGGAGTTCGCCCAACCTGTCCACATGTGCTTTGTGGATTTGGAGAAGGCGTTCGACCGCGTTCCCCGGGGTGTCCTTTGGGGGGTCCTCCGGGAGTACGGGGTCCGGGGTCCTCTGCTGAGGGCTGTTCGGTCCCTGTATGACCGGAGCCAGAGCTGTGTTCGCATTGCCGGCAGTAAGTCAGACCTGTTCCCGGTGCATGTTGGCCTCCGCCAAGGCTGCCCTTTGTCACCGGTTCTGTTCACTGTATTTATGGACAGAATCTCTAGGCGCAGCCAGGGGCCGGAGGGGGTCCGGTTCGGGAGCCACAGGATTTCATCTCTACTTTTTGCGGATGATGTCGTCCTGCTGGCTCCAACGAACCAGGACCTGCAACATGCACTGGGACGGTTTGCAGCCGAGTGTGAAGCGGCTGGGATGAGAATCAGCACCTCCAAATCCGAGGCCATGGTGCTTGACCGGAAAAAGGTGCCTTGCCCTCTCCAGGTGGGTGGAGAGGTCCTTCCTCAAGTGGAGGAGTTCAAGTATCTCGGGGTCTTGTTCACGAGTGAGGGGAGGATGGAGCGTGAGATTGACAGGCGGATCGGTGCAGCGTGCGCAGTGATGCGGTCTCTGTATCGGACCGTTGTGGTAAAGAGGGAGCTGAGCCGAAAGGCAAAGCTCTCAATTTACCGGTCAATCTTCGTTCCCTCCCTCACCTATGGTCATGAGCTGTGGGTAATGACCGAAAGAACGAGATCGCGGATACAAGCGGTCGAAATGAGCTTCCTCCGCAGAGTGGCTGGGCGCTCCCTTAGAGATAGGGTGAGGAGCTCGGTCACACGGGAGGAGCTCGGAGTAGAGCCGCTGCTTCTCCACGTCGAGAGGAACCAGTTGAGGTGGCTCGGGCATCTGTTCAGGATGCCTCCTGGACGCCTTCCTGGGGAGGTGTTCCGGGCACGTCCCACCGGGAGGAGGCCCCGGGGAAGACCCAGGACACGCTGGAGAGACTATGTCTCTCAGCTGGCCTGGGAACGCCTTGGGGTCCCCCCGGACGAGCTGGAGGAGGTGTGTGTGGATAGGGAAGTCTGGGCGTCTCTGCTTAGACTGCTGCCCCCGCGACCCGGCAACGGATGAAGCGGAAGAAAATGGATGGATGGATGGATGGAAACAGGTTGTTTTGGTCAGGTGTCCGCAGGCTCCAGTTAGACTTCTGCCGTCTGTCATGGAGAGTGGGCGTGGCAGGGACGTCACATGCAAGGGGTCAATATGTGCCACCTCTTATGCCTTCTGTAGCTTCTTCAAAATGGCCGTGGTGCAGGACAATATGAAAAAACGCATTTGCACATACGTCAGCCGGCATGAGCCCAATTCATTTAACGATTGCATTCAAAAGTCCACAGCGGCTAAACTAGACCGGTCCAAAAAAATGTACTCTCCTCAACATCGACATCTGGAACGTAGCTTTGGAACAATAGCCACTTTTGGACCCACCTTTAAAGAGGTTTTAGAGAGGAAGGAAGACGCCATAAAAAAGCTTCATGGGTAAATCTCTTTCCGGGTACACCCCCACCACCTGGGAGTGAGATTACAGCTTGTCAGCGCACATACTCACTCAACCGGGACCCGCCTCCCTCTGGTTTGTTGGGGTTGGGAGCAAACTCTAGGAAATATTGTTCAAAAGTCTTTTACTTCTGTAGCTCGACCTTTAAAACCTTATTTCTGACATGATTCTCGGAATGGGGTTTTCTTAGAGTCATGGTGATTGGAGCGTCCATGGTTTGATATTGAAGGCACAAATTGTTGCTTATTGTGTACTATTAGCTGTAGCTGCAAAGCTGTGTGACTCGTGTGTAGTTTTGTGTAGCAACGACCGACAACTCCTGTGATGTAGTTCAATGGCTGCCAGATCCAAATCAGCTTGTATCTTCTGTGTGGACGCACCAGGAGCAGCTAAAGCCTGGTTCTAAATCCTGTAAGAAGATTATCCTGAAGATCTAAGCTGAGATCTCTGCTCTACTCCGCTCTATGCATCAACACGCAACAAAGGCCCAAACAAAAGCAACAAAAACACTCTCCTTTTCTATATTATCGTTAGTATGACTGTGACCAGAGGAGAAAATGGTGTGAGAGATGACTGGAATGAGCAACACTCCCATCTGGTGGTCGATGAGTGAAGTCTTTAACCTTGTTTTAACACTTGACCAGAACACACTGGACTAGAATTGGAGAATACGTCATTAATATTGAAACTTCAGAGAGAGATTTATTGGCTTGAAGGCAATGGTATCGATAGGTTTAGCGGTTGGTTGATGAGTTGGGTTTGAAAACATTCCCTTTCTCTGTGGAGGGACTTTTACTTTTACTTTTAAACCACACATGTAATGAACCTGTAATAAACAAAAGGCTGCAGGAGGATCGCATGTGGAATAATGATCAAAGGGACTGTGTGGCAAGAGCTCTGGTGTGTGTCATCTGGTGCACACCGGGGTAGTCTTGCACAGTTTTTCCAATGTGGTTTTACTGCAAATGGCAAATAAATTAATCTGAATCTGTTTAGTCTGCAGCCTCAGTGATGACAGTTACCATCCAACTTTTGTTTCCAGGGTCTTCCTCCTGTGACCACCTGCTGGGGTTTGGCTAGAAATGATGCAAACTCTGTGTATTGTGTACTAAATATCAACTATTCATAGAGATCATATTTTATTTTAATTACTACAGTTATTGTTCTTTTATCTTGAAACTAATGTGACATTCCTTTTACCTTCTGTGGCTTTTTAAAAAATGGCCGCGGGGCAGGAAAATGTGAAAACAGGCATTTGCAAATGTGTTAGATGCACTAGCGGCTAGTGACTAGCCTCATTCATTTAACGAGTGCATTAAAAAGTCCAAGCGGATAAACTAAAAAGGTCCAAAAAAAATAAAACCTCCCCTCAGCCTCGACAGCATCTGGAACGGAGCTTTGGGCTAAGAGCCACTTTTGGACCACCCTGTAAAGACGTTTTTGAGAGGAAAGAAGACGCCAAACAAAAGCATTGGGTAATTCTCTTTCCGGGTACACCCCCACTGGCAAGGAGTGCTCATGGACCCTGCCCCCACTGGTTTGAACTGTTTGATTCTCTGGTCTGTGTTGGTAAATCTGACGCACCTCCTCCCTCGGCTCCTCCCTCAGCTCCTTCCTCAGCTCCTCCCTCAGCTCCTCCCTCAGCTCCTTCCTCAGCTCCTGCCTCAGCTCCTCCCTCAGCTCCTCCCTCAGCTCCTGCCTCAGCTCCTTCCTCAGCTCCTGCCTCAGCTCCTGCCTCAGCTCGTCCCTCAGCTCCTCCCTCAGCTCCTGCCTCAGCTCCTCCCTCAGCTCCTTCCTCAGCTCCTCCCTCAGCTCCTGCCTCAGCAACTCCCTCAGCTACTCCCTCAGCTCCTCCCTCAGCTCCTTCCTCAGTTCCTTCCTCAGCTCCTCCCTCAGCTCCTGCCTCAGCTCCTCCTCAGCTCCTGCCTCAGCTCCTCCCTCAGCTCCTCCCTCAGCTCCTTCCTCAGCTCCTTCCTCAGCTCCTGCCTCAGCTCCTCCCTCAGCTCCTCCCTCAGCTCCTCCTCAGCTCCTCACTCTCCTCAGCTCCTCCTCAGCTCCTGCCTCAGCTCCTTCCTCAGTTCCTCCCTCAGCTCCTGCCTCAGCTCCTCCCTCAGCTCCTCCCTCAGCTCCTGCCTCAGCTCCTTCCTCAGCTCCTCCCTCAGCTACTTCCTCAGCCACTCCCTCAGCTCCTTCCTCAGCTCCTCCCTCAGCTACTTCCTCAGCCACTCCCTCAGCTCCTGCCTCAGCTCCTTCCTCAGCTCCTGCCTCAGCTCCTGCCTCAGCTCCTCCCTCAGCTCCTCCCTCAGCTCCTCCCTCAGCTCCTTCCTCAGCTCCTCCCTCAGCTCCTTCCTCAGCTCCTCCCTCAGCTCCTTCCTCAGCTCCTCCCTCAGCTACTTCCTCAGCCACTCCCTCAGCTCCTGCCTCAGCTCCTTCCTCAGCTCCTGCCTCAGCTCCTCCCTCAGCTCCTCCCTCAGCTCCTTCCTCAGCTCCTTCCTCAGCTCCTGCCTCAGCTCCTCCCTCAGCTCCTCCCTCAGCTCCTTCCTCAGCTCCTGCCTCAGCTCCTGCCTCAGCTCCTTCCTCAGCTCCTCCCTCAGCTACTTCCTCAGCCACTCCCTCAGCTCCTGCCTCAGCCCCTTCCTCAGCTCCTGCCTCAGCTCCTGCCTCAGCTCCTCCCTCAGCTCCTCCCTCAGCTCCTGCCTCAGCTCCTTCCTCAGCTCCTCCCTCAGCTACTTCCCCCCCTCAGCCACTCCCTCAGCTCCTTCCTCAGCTCCTTCCTCAGCTCCTGCCTCAGGTGTGTGTGCGACCTCTGGGACAGAGCAGTCGCATTCTCTTGCTGCTCCTCGCTTTCTGCTTTTTTATCTCCTTTAATCATTTTTGCTTACATTTTTATTCCACAAAACACGGATTACTCCTTTTTACAAACTTCAACACAAGACTTGTGGAATTTACCTAACTTACAGCATGTCGGGAGGACGGGAAAACAGAACAAAACTTTGCGACGGCTGTTTTTCACTCAAACAGGAGCTAAAACTTCTTCAAGACCGAATGTTTGTGCTTGAATCAGAATTGGGGCTGAACACAACAATACCAATGAAGGGAAATGGACCAAATGGACAAAACGTAAGTTATGATGACGCTATTTCATTTCCCAAAATCAACAGAGACAATTGTTGGAACACATATGGTGCCAAGCCCAAACAAGGCAAAGCTAATGATAACAAGAGTGTCATAATGCCACAGCAAAAATCTTTAATTACAAGAAACCGCTTTTCCCCACTTTTGGAAGATGAATCAGCAGTAGTCTCTCAGTCCCAGTCTCAGTCTCAGTCAAGGTCAAATGCAGCTGAGTCGCTCTTTATCGGCGATTCGGCGATAAGACGCGTAAACATGCGTAATCTCAAGGTTCACTCAGTACACTCTGCCAAAGTGGATGAGATAAGGCGGCTGGCTCCGAGGCTTCTGTCTGAGACCGGCGGGGTAAAAAGATTGTTGATCCACGTGGGGGCAGTAGACGTCTATGACAACACAAGTGAAAAGTTGAAACGGGATTACTCTCTCTTATTGGACGACCTTTGCTAAAATGGATGTAAAAATCGTTATCAGTGGCCCACTACCAAATGTGGACGGGAAGCAAATGAAATTCAGTCGTCTGTATCAGCTAAATACTTTCCTACTCAACGAATGTTCACGCAGAGGACTTGCCTTCATTGAGAATTTTAATCTGTTCTGGAATAGGCATGAGCTTTTTGAAGGGAAAGGGCCACATCTGAACACTTACGGAGTAAAAGTGTTGATGGATAACCTTTCTTTTGCCCTGAGACCTCAGCCTGCGCAGCTCGTGCAGCCATCGAAAAGGAGGAAGCCGACTCTAAAAGTCTCTGCACCTCCACCACCTCGAAGGATCTCAACACCTCCACCACATCGAAGGATCTCAACACCACCACCACCTCGAAGGATCTCAACACCACCACCACCTCGAAGGATCTCAACACCACCACCACCTCAAAGGATCTCAACACCACCACCACCTCGAAGGATCTCAACACCATCACCGCCTCAAAGGATCTCAACACCTCCACTGTCATCAGAAGCAGCTGCATCATCACCAGTAGCAGCACCAGCAGCACGACCACCACCACCACCAACATCCTCATCCCTAGCCTGCTCCAAAGCAGCCACGCCTTCTTCTTCTACAGCGCCTCTGAAGCCCCCATCCTCACCCCAGGCTACAGCAGACAGGCCTGTGCTGGGGTTTCCTCAACCACCTGCCCCTCCATCAAAGACTCCCTCGCCACCTCCCATGGACCTGTCTTGGGTCCCCCCTGCCACGTCCACTCCATCAAGAGAGAATGGGGACACGTCCCTTTGTTTTTCATCCCCGCCTTCACTGTTAGACCTACCTGAACACTCTGCAGGGCTAATAAAATCGGCGATGAAGACTATTCCTCTCACACCCATATTAGCTAGATCTAGAGTCCTGTCCAACATGCTAAACCACTCCCCATATGTACCTCCAAAACCACCTAGGGTTTCCAATTCACCTACAAAAACCACCTCAGCCAGTCCCTCCCCTAACCTCATGACCATTCCACCCCCACTTCCCCCTCGTTCAGCACCCAAAACCTCTGCCTCAGCCCACCCCGGCCCTAACCCATCACCAAAAACCCCTCCACCTCCCTGCCCCCCTCGTTCAACACCCAAAAGCCACCCACCTCTCCATCCTCCTCCCCCGCCTTCCCCTTCCCCTCTTTTCTCTAAACACTAGGATGCACAGGGTCTCTGCTTCGCAGCCACTGGCAGTCTAGTTAGAGGAGAGACCCGGCTGGGGCCCTGTCATGAAGCCACCTGTGCCATTCCCGTAGTGATAACACAAAGAATACATTACAGAAAGACATCTGGAGTTAATAAGTCTAATCTGGAAAATCTAATTCTTGTTCCGTGTAAGAATCAGCCGACCACAACCGCTGATACTGAAACTTTGAAACTTGCTACGCTTAATGTCAGATCTCTTTGTAACAAGTCTTTTTTAATCAATAATTTTATTTGTTCTCATAATCTTGATCTTATGTTCATGGCTGAAACTTGGCTTGACCAAAATTCAGGAAATGCAGTTTTAATAGAAGCATCACCACCAAATTTCAAGTTTGAATCTGAAATACGGGAAAACAAAAAAGGAGGAGGCTTAGCTGCCATTTTCAGAGACCACTTTGTCTCCCATAGAATGTCTCTTGGGAAGTTTTCGTCTTTTGAATATGTGTCTTTTAAAATACAACAAAAACAATCTCCTCCAATACTCTTCATTGTCCTATACAAGCCACCGCAGTCATGTCACAGTTTTATTGATAATTTTACCGAGTTGCTTTCAGTTGTATGCACAGATTTTGATAGTTTGGTTATTACAGGTGATTTTAATATTCATGTGGATAATGTTGATGACAGAAATGCAAATGAGCTGAGTTCTGTACTTGAATCCTTTGATCTCACTCAGCACGTAAGTGGCCCCACCCACAGCAGAGGGCACACTCTAGATCTGTTAGTTACTAAGGGGGTGAATATTTCAAATGTAAACGTGGTCGATGTTGCTCTTTCGGATCATTTCTGTGTTTTTTTTGACATGTGTTTCACTAACAAACCACCAGTGGACTCTGCAACTGTACGAAGAAGACACATAAATGAAAATACGAGTGAACTATTTATGGGAATGATAAACTTTGAGAATGCATCGTATTCTACTGTAGATGAACTGTTTAACTCTGTCACCTCTAGTGTTTTGAATGTTCTGGATACCGTTGCCCCTGTGAAGGTTAAAATAGTGAAAAATAAGCAGAAGGCGCCGTGGGCTAAAGCAGACTCGGTCAGGGCACAAAAGAGAAAGTGCCGGAGGGCCGAGCGGAAGTGGCGCAAGTCCAACCTCCAGGTTGATTACGAGATCTTCAAAGATAAGTTGTGCGAGTTTAACCGGGTGCTACGTAGTACGAGAGAAAGGTATTTTTCTGAAATGATTGAAGGCTGCAGCAACAATCTGCGTGTTCTGTTTTCAACAGTTAATAGATTAACAAACCCCCCTGTTCAAATGCCATTAGAGCTTACTTCCAAACGTAAATGCAATGAGTTTGCAAATTTTTTCAATGACAAGGTTCAAGGCATCAAAAACGCCATTGTCTCCAATCCACAGATAACCATCCAACAGCCAGAAAGGCTCTCTGAGCTAACTCACTTTGCACCTGTAAATGATAAAACTGTCCAAGAGATAATCTCCAGTTTGAGCTCCTCCACATGCAGCTTGGATGTACTACCCACTAGATTTCTGAAGTCTGTTCTGAGCAGTCTGTTACCTTCACTCACACAGATAGTAAACATGTCCCTTCATTCTGGAATATTCCCAAAGGCCCTGAAAACTGCAGTCATCAGGCCCCTGCTAAAAAAGAGCAGTCTCGATGCTACGGTACTTAACAACTATCGTCCCATCTCAAATCTGCCATTTATGGGGAAAGTCCTTGAAAAAGTTGTCTACCTACAGCTTACTAGATTTCTTATAATCAACAACTCATTTGATATGTTTCAGTCCGGCTTTAGACCCCACCACAGCACTGAGACTGCTCTCGTCAAGGTTACAAACGATATCCGGCTGAACACTGACGCAGGCAAAGTCTCAATCTTAATCTTGTTAGATCTAAGTGCTGCCTTTGACACCGTCGACCATGAGATCCTCTTACAGAGACTAGAGGACTGGGTTGGAGTCGCTGGCACCGCCCTAAGTTGGTTTAGGTCTTACCTTGAGGACAGGAAGTACTTTGTGGAGATTGGAAACTGTGTCTCAGATCATATGGCCCTGACCTGTGGAGTACCACAGGGGTCGATCCTGGGACCTCTTCTGTTCAATCTCTACATGCTGCCGTTAGGTCAGTTAATACGCAGAAACGAAGTTTCCTATCATAACTATGCAGACGACACTCAGATCTATGTCTCACTGACTGCAGGAGAACATGGACCAGTGGACTCACTCCTTCACTGTATCCAACAGATCAGTGAGTGGATGCAAAACAACTTCCTTCAGCTAAACACAGACAAAACTGAAATGATTGTCTTTGGTCCCCAGAAACAAAGAGAGAGCGTCATCTGTCACCTACAGTCTCTCTCCCTAAAACCTTCAAACAAGGTCAGAAATCTAGGGGTAATACTGGACTCAGACTTAAATTTTAATAGCCACATCAAATCAGTAACATCAGCAGCTTTTTACCATCTAAAAAACATTGCCAGGATCAAAAACATAGTGTCTAAAGCAGACTTGGAGATTCTTATCCATGCATTTGTCTCCAGTAGGTTAGACTACTGCAATGGCCTGCTCACAGGTCTGTCCAAACAGGCTGTTAAACAGCTGCAGTACATTCAAAATGCAGCAGCTCGAGTCCTGACAAGAACCAGGAAGTACGACCACATTAGTCCAGTCCTCAGGTCTCTGCACTGGCTTCCTGTGGCTCAGAGAATAGACTTTAAAACAGCTCTGCTTGTGTACAAGTCTCTCCATGGCCTCGCACCAAAATATATTAGTGACATGTTAGTCCCATATGAACCAGCCCGGACTCTGAGGAGCACAGGGACTGGACTCCTGTTAGTGCCCAGAGTCAGAACTAAACATGGGGAGGCTGCTTTTCAGATTCATGCTGCTAAAATCTGGAACAGTCTTCCTGGAGATGTGAGACAGGCCTCCTCTCTGACAATGTTTAAAGCCAGGTTAAAGACAGTTCTGTTTAGCTGTGCATACAACTGAGGGATTTTATATTTGTATCTTTCTTTTTAATGTTCTGTGATTATTTATGATTTTAATGCTTTCTTGTTTTGTTCAGCACTTTGAATTGCCTTGTGTATGAATTGTGCTATATAAATAAACTTGCCTTGCCTTGCCTCCTCCCTCAGCTACTTCCTCAGCCACTCCCTCAGCTCCTGCCTCAGCTCCTTCCTCAGCTCCTGCCTCAGCTCCTCCCTCAGCTCCTCCCTCAGCTCCTTCCTCAGCTCCTTCCTCAGCTCCTGCCTCAGCTCCTCCCTCAGCTCCTCCCTCAGCTCCTGCCTCAGCTCCTGCCTCAGCTCCTTCCTCAGCTCCTCCCTCAGCTACTTCCTCAGCCACTCCCTCAGCTCCTGCCTCAGCCCGTTCCTCAGCTCCTCCCTCAGCTACTTCCTCAGCTCCTTCCTCAGCTCCTGCCTCAGCTCCTCCCTCAGCTCCTTCCTCATCTCCTCCCTCAGCTCCTTCCTCAGCTCCTTCCTCAGCTCCTGCCTCAGCTCCTCCCTCAGCTCCTCCCTCAGCTACTTCCTCAGCCACTCCCTCAGCTCCTCCCTATGCTCCTCCCTCAGCTACTTCCTCAGCCACTCCCTCAGCCCCTCCCTATGCTCCTCCCTCAGCTCCTGCCTCAGCTCCTCCCTCAGCTCCTCCCTCAGCTCCTCCCTCAGCTACTTCCTCAGCCACTCCCTCAGCTCCTCCCTATGCTCCGCAGCTCCTTCCTCAGCTCCTCCCTCAGCTACTTCCTCAGCCACTCCCTCAGCTCCTGCCTCAGCTCCTCCCTCAGCTCCTCCCTCAGCTCCTCCCTCAGCTCCTGCCTCAGCTCCTCCCTCAGCTCCTCCCTCAGCTCCTGCCTCAGCCCCTCCCTCAGCTCCTCCCTCAGCTCCTGCCTCAGCTCCTCCCTCAGCTCCTCCCTCAGCTCCTCCCTCAGCTCCTCCCTCAGCTCCTCCCTCAGCTCCTGCCTCAGCTCCTTCCTCAGCTCCTCCCTCAGCTACTTCCTCAGCTACTTCCTCAGCTCCTCCCTCAGCTCCTCCCTCAGCTCCTCCCTCAGCTCCTTCCTCAGCTACTTCCTCAGCTCCTTCCTCAGCTCCTGCCTCAGCTCCTCCCTCAGCTCCTCCCTCAGCTCCTCCCTCAGCTCCTCCCTCAGCCTACTTCCTCAGCTCCTTCCTCAGCTCCTGCCTCAGCTCCTCCCTCAGCTCCTCCCTCAGCTCCTTCCTCAGCTCCTCCCTCAGCTCCTCCCTCAGCTCCTTCCTCAGCTCCTCCCTCAGCTCCTCCCTCAGCTCCTCCCTCAGCTCCTCCCTCAGCTCCTCCCTCAGCTCCTGCCTCAGCTCCTCCCTCAGCTCCTCCCTCAGCTCCTTCCTCAGCTCCTTCCTCAGCTCCTCCCTCAGCTCCTCCCTCAGCTCCTCCCTCAGCTCCTTCCTCAGCTCCTTCCTCAGCTCCTTCCTCAGCTCCTCCCTCAGCTCCTTCCTCAGCTCCTCCCTCAGCTCCTTCCTCAGCTCCTTCCTCAGCTCCTTCCTCAGCTCCTGCCTCAGATCCTCCCTCAGCTCCTCCCTCAGCTCCTCCCTCAGCTCCTCCCTCAGCTCCTCCCTCAGCTCCTCCCTCAGCTCCTCCCTCAGCTCCTTCCTCAGCTCCTCCCTCAGCTCCTCCCTCAGCTCCTCCCTCAGCTCCTCCCTCAGCTCCTACCTCAGCTCCTCCCTCAGCTCCTCCCTCAGCTACTTCCTCAGCTCCTCCCTCAGCTCCTCCCTCAGATCCTCCCTCAGCTCCTCCCTCAGCTCCTCCCTCAGCTCCTTCCTCAGCTCCTCCCTCAGCTCCTTCCTCAGCTCCTTCCTCAGCTCCTTCCTCAGCTCCTGCCTCAGATCCTCCCTCAGCTCCTGCCTCAGATCCTCCCTCAGCTCCTCCCTCAGCTCCTCCCTCAGCTCCTCCCTCAGCTCCTCCCTCAGCTCCTTCCTCAGCTCCTCCCTCAGCTCCTCCCTCAGCTCCTCCCTCAGCTCCTCCCTCAGCTCCTCCCTCAGCTCCTACCTCAGCTCCTCCCTCAGCTCCTCCCTCAGCTACTTCCTCAGCTCCTCCCTCAGCTCCTCCCTCAGATCCTCCCTCAGCTCCTCCCTCAGCTCCTCCCTCAGCTACTTCCTCAGCTCCTTCCTCAGCTCCTGCCTCAGCTCCTCCCTCAGCTCCTGCCTCAGCTCCTCCCTCAGCTCCCCTGGGCCGACAACCTGGGTTAACTGGATTTGGCTGTTCTGAGCTTTAAGATTAGGTGCGATATGTTTATATTGGTTCATCTTTGACAGAGCTGAAGTTGGCTGGATGACAAAGGTTTACTCACCAGATACATTGGTACAAAACAATCAAAAATACATTTCAGTTTAGTCCATGGAGTCCAGAGAAAATAGAACTGTACAACCAGGTTTGACATGTTGGCAGAGCTGAAGCTGGCTGGATTACACTCTGGACTTGATTATCTAAGAGACTACTTTTGGGTTTCTGCTTTAAAACTACAAAAAACATTCTCTATTGTTGTTCTTATGGAAAAAAAAAATCCTTTGGTAAATGTGAAATAAAAGTCTAGAGGTTTTCAGGTACATTCTGGAGATTATTTACAGCTGCCATTCACCAAACCATTGTCCCCTCAGGCCGATTTCTGCCCACCAAATAACTTACCTGAGAAAATACCACGAGCAAGAGACACGAAGGCAAACCCAGGATCTGGAGAGACCGCGATCAGAGCGAGAGGAGAGAGAGCGGTTTCATCTCAGCAGCTGAACCAGCGGAGGAAGAAGAGCAAACTTCAGAGGGTGCCTTTAAACTTGAGAAAACAGCAGACCATAAACCACGGGGAGAGACCTGCTAACATTCTTATTGTTGAGAGAGTTGAAGAAATTACACGTACTATCTTTCACTCAAGGCAGAGGGCCGTGTGAAATGACACAGAGGGCCGCATTAGACCCCCGGGCCTTGGTTTGGACATGGCTGTCTTTACAGAATCTACAGCTCTGTAAAGTCCATGAGATTGAGATAACTACTGTTGTTATTTAGGGCTATACAAACATGAAATGAACTGCTCAATCTGTGTTCATCATTTGAACCAAAACAGTTAAAAATACATCTGCTGGCAAATGCAGATGTATTTTGAACTTCATAACCCACAAGCTATATATCATTTTAAAGCTTATTTTCTCATCTACATTTATTAAATTGGTTCCGAATGGCACTACTTGATTAAAAAGAGAAACTGCATAAAAACTATAAAAATCAGAAGTCTGAAACTTTAGACCGTTTTTGTTTTTGTCAATGACCATATAGAGTTTGAATATTGTTATCTTCCAATGAAGTATGCCTTTTTTAGGGCATTTATACATTGAATATTTTAGGCGAGACTAAAAAAACAGGTTTTTTCCCCCAAACTTCAAAGGATGCAGAGTGAAAAAGGAATGACATACATTATTTTAGTTTATATTTACAGACTTTTGTGCACAAACCAAACTGATGCAGGGGTTTAAAGAGGACTCAGTTTCAATGCTCTAAAAATAGCTCTACATTGTAAACATTAGTCAGAACATCGTCAACCTGCTTCAGCGTAACTTCTTCTCTAAAGTCTAAACAAGGCAGCTTTATCTGCACTCACTGACGTCAAAAACTTACTTCATTTTCTTGCTCAGACTATTTATCTGGTCAGTTTTCCCACACTCTCATAGATAGTAAGTTGCACAATACACACTCAGGGGAAAGAACCTTCTGCCACGATGCTATGAAAAGTATTTTAATGAGTGTTTTACAGAGTATGTACAGTGGTATTTCTATCACAGTCATGGAGATTTTGGCTCTTCTTTCCGACCTGTCTCTGCTTCAGTCTAAATCCATATTTACACAGATCCACACAGAGCTGCTGTCACCAAGTCTTCATGGGACTTCAAAAACAAAACAATCAAACTAACACTCACGAGAATTGCTCTTCGAAAAGAAAGTGCTACTCAGAAAACACATACAGCAATTATATAATCAACCTTTAAAACCTCAAATGAATAATACTTAGTTAAAGCCGGGAACCTACAGATATATTTATGATGATAGAATATGAGCCATGGGAGTCACTTTCTGTCTCTTTGGGATGAGAGCTGATTGGCTGAGTGAGGCTGGTCCTCTCTGCTTAAGCTTTCTGTCTTAAAAAGATTATTTAAACCCAGTGCCTGAGGCCAAGAATGCATTCATGTGAAAACTAGTGGTCGGAGCAAACTGTTTTTTAGACTTTGAGCACCTTTAACACCCAGACACAGTTATATTTTTTGGTCATTTGAAAGTCCAGACCAGAGCAGAGAGGATTCCTGGTCTGAACCAAGTGGATCAGCTGAAAATCCACTGGAGGATTTTACTTTGACCAGAGCAGAGAAAATGGTCTGAACTAAGCGGCTCCACCTCTGCTGCTGTGACCTGAAGGACTGTTGCTGATTATCACTATTGTTAGCGTTATTTGTTTTGTTTTGTTTGGATGGATGTGTTTTTGCTGCTACTGGACACCTGCATTTCTCCAACAGGGATCAATAAAGTATCTATCTATTTATACAAGAATACGTTGATTTGAATTGAACTGTGGATCAGCCTCCTCTCTGTATCTGTGTTTTTCTCCACAGCGGACATTCTGTTGGTCGTTCTTTGGTTTGTGTCCGAGCCCTTCAGTCATCCCCCTCCTCGTCCAGAACCCGTCACTCCACGTCGTTCTCCTCGTCCTCCAGCGACGGCAGCTCCTTCTCGGGCAGCAGGCCGTAGCTGTTGAGAAAGGCCTCCACGTCCGTCGCAAAGAACTCCTGGTTGAGGTGCTGCATGCAGGCCAGGAAGTTCCCCACGAGTTCCCCGGCTTTGTAGACCAGCAGCGTGGGCAGGACCTCGTCGGAGAAACGCTCAGAGGCTCCGGACGACTCGGCGTTGATCCGGCAGAACTTGACGGTGGGGTACTCGGAGGCCAGGCAGTCCAGGCACTGGTTGAGGTCCTCGCAGCTCTTGATGCCCAGCTTGTAGATGTGCACGACCACGGTGGTGCTGTGGTGCTCCTTCTCAATGACCTCCAGGAAGGCGTCGCCGCTGTCCAGCTCGTGCACGCCCACGAAGCGGGGCCCGATGCTCAGCTTCTCGTGCATCTCCTGCATGCAGCGGCGCCGGTACTTCTTCAGGCAACCGGCGTCTTCCTCCTTCAGCATCTCGTACTCCTGCACGCTCATCTGCAGCAGAGAAGGTTGGGACTGTTAAGACCATAGACCGTAAATATCTCTGCCGTTCTAACTAATGTGCCACAACTTCCGCGGTCTATGGGCAGTTTCAAAATGGCCGCGGGGGCTGGAAAATTTGAAAATATGCATCTGTGCATGCGTCAGCTGCACGAGCCCCATTCATTTAAACAAGGTGCCTTCAAAATTTTACAGCGACTAAACTAGACTGGTCCAAAACACTCCCCTCAGCATTGACACACATGTGGAACGGAGCTTTGGGCCAAGAGACGAACTTTAAGACCATCCTGTAAAGACGTTTTCCAGAGATCAGCTTATGCTTTATGTTAGCATTGGCTAATTCTTATTCTGGGTCCACCCCCATCGGCTGACATGCGCACGTCGTTTTGGCCAATTTTGAGCCGGGACCTGCCCCCACTGGGCAGGACTGCACACAGACTACTCCTCATATAAACACATTGAAAGTGCTGAACAAAGCAAGACAGACAAAATCACACAAGGTATTAAAATCATAAATAATCATAGTCATCACTCATCATAAAAAGGGTGACAATAAAATTCCTCAATTGTAGCGCGGTGAAGCCAGTGCAGAGACCTGAGGACTGGACTGATGTGATCGTACTTCCTGGTTCTAGTCAGGAACGGAGCTGCAGTGTTTTACAGCCTGTTCGTAGAGACCTGTGAGCAGCCGTAACAGGAGTCTAACCTACTGGAGACAAAAGCAGGATAAGAATCTCCAGGTCTGACTCTATTTTTGGCAAATCTGTCTGTTTTAATGAGAACTTATTTTTGAGCAGACAATGAACCCCTCAGATGTGTGACTATCCATCTGCCTCAGGACCACACCTTTATCAAACATTTAAATAAATAATCTTTTTGTCACAGAATGAATTAAAAATATGGAACACTCAAGTCAGGGCATGAGAGCCACACACGCGTAATTGGAGCAAAGTATCATGGGAGCTCGTCCACTGCGCAGAACCGGGAGGACCAGACGATGCCCAAATATAGGCGCGTTCTGCTAATCTCCTGATCTCCATGAAGTCCCGTGAACTACTGAGCACAAGCCGTTCCTTTGAACAGGACGCCCTTGGATCACCGGGGCAGTCCATTTTAAACATATTCTATTGTTCTGAGATGTTTTCTTTGGAGCCAATTATCAACATTAAGTTTGTTTATTTTGTACTTTTGAATGTGTAGGAAACAGCCCATTCATCGTTACAGTGGTCTCTGCCCTTCATCGACCAATGTGTTTTCTATCAATGCATGTTTTGGCTAATTCAGCGGTTTTGTAAAGTCCTCAGAGAAAACTACTGTTGTGATTTAGAGCAATACAAGAATAAACTGAACTGAATCTTTACCTTTCTGTTGTTCTCTGCGATCTTGTCTCCGTCTTTGGGTCGGTTGGCGGACGACATCTGTCTCAGCAGCTCCCTCTTGGCCGGAGGCAGACTCTCCTTATCCATGCTCTCCAGCTTAAACCTGCGCCAGTCATTGATCACTCCTTTGGGCCCTGAGCCACAAAACACACACGTCACACACACATGTCACACACACACATGTCACACACACACGTCACACACACACGTCAACACACACGTCACACACACACGTCACACACACACGTCACACACACATGTCACACACACACGTCACACACACACGTCACACACACGTCACACACACATGTCACGCACACACGTCACACACACACACGTCACACACACACATGTCACACACACACGTCACACACACACGTCACACACACATGTCACACACACATGTCACACACACACGTCACACACACATGTCACACACACATGTCACACACACACACACGTCACACACACACGTCACACACGTCACACACACATGTCACACACACATGTCACCACACACACGTCACACACACACGTCACACACGTCACACACACATGTCACACACACATGTCACACACACACGTCACACACACGTCACACACACATGTCACACACACACGTCACACACACGTCACACACACGTCACACACACGTCACACACACACGTCACACACGTCACACACACATGTCACACACACATGTCACACACACACGTCACACACACACACACACACGTCACACACACATGTCACACACACACGTCACACACACACGTCACACACGTCACACACACATGTCACACACACATGTCACACACACATGTCACACACACATGTCACACACACATGTCACACACACACGTCACACACACACGCACACACACGTCACCACACACGTCACACACACGTCACACACACACGTCACACACACACACACATGTCACACACACAAGTCACACACACACATCACACACGTCACACACACGTCACACACACACGTCACACACGTCACACACACATGTCACACACACACGTCACACACACGTCACACACACACGTCACACACACGTCACACACACGTCACACACACGTCACACACACACGTCACACACACGTCACACATGTCCCATATGAGCCAAAAGACACACGTCACACACACACACACACACACACACACGTCACACACAGACGACTCACACACGTCTCATATGAGCCAAACCACACTCGTCACACACGTCACGCACACGTCACACACACTTCTCACACACGTCACACACTCGCCACTCACGTCTCACACACGTCACACGTCACGCACACTTCACGCACACGTCACGCACACGTCACACACTTCTCACACACGTCTCACACGTCTCACACACGTCTCTCACACACACTTCTCACACACACGTCTCTCACACACACTTCTTACACACACACGTCTCTCACACACACTTCTCACACACACTTCTCACACACACGTCTCTCACACACACTTCTCACACACACGTCTCTCACACACACTTCTCACACACACGTCTCTCACACACACTTCTCACACACACTTCTCACACACGTCTCACACGTCTCACACACACGTCTCTCACACACACTTCTCACACACACGTCTCACACACACGTCTCACACACACGTCTCTCACACACACTTCTCACACACACGTCTCTCACACACACGTCTCTCTCACACACACGTCTCACACACACGTCTCTCACACACACTTCTCACACACACGTCTCACACACACGTCTCTCACACACACACGTCTCTCACACACACTTCTCACACACACGTCTCTCACACACACTTCTTACACACACACGTCTCTCACACCACACTTCTCACACACACTTCTCACACACACGTCTCTCACACACACTTCTCACACACACGTCTCACACACACGTCTCTCACACACACTTCTCACACACACGTCTCTCACACACGTCTCTCACACACACTTCTCACACACACGTCTCTCACACACACTTCTCACACACACGTCTCTCACACACGCTTCTCACACACACGTCTCTCACACACGCTTCTCACACACACGTCTCTCACACACACGTCTCTCACACACACATGTCTCACACACACGTCTCTCACACACACTTCTCTCACACACACGTCTCACACACACGTCTCTCACACACACTTCTCACACACACTTCTCACACACACGTCTCTCACACACACGTCTCTCACACACGCTTCTCACACACACGTCTCTCACACACACGTCTCTCACACACACTTCTCACACACACGTCTCTCACACACACGTCTCTCACACACATGTCTCACACACACGTCTCTCACACACACTTCTCACACACACGTCTCTCACACACACGTCTCTCACACACACTTCTCACACACACGTCTCTCACACACACGTCTCTCACACACACGTCTCTCACACACACTTCTCACACACACGTCTCTCACACACACGTCTCTCACACACACGTCTCACACACACGTCTCTCACACACACGTCTCTCACACACACATGTCTCACACACGTGTCCGTGTTGTCACCTGTCTGAGTTGCAGTTTCGTCGAGGTCCAGCAGGTGGTCGGACATGTTTGCAACTTTTTAACTACAAAGAAAAAAACAATAATTAGTTACATTTTTATTTTTCCAACAACATTTTCAAAACAGTCTCACAATTTACCACAATCTGTGTCTAAATCAAATCATTAATCATCCTCCTGAAAATGTGAGACAGACTAATGTTCAAATCCAGGTCAAAAACAGAGATTTTACCTTTATCACTGTTTTTAATGAACTGTGATTATTTATGAGTGTACTTCCTGTATTGTTTCTCCCTTTGACTTGCCTTGTGTTTGAACTGTGCTATACAGATAAACTTTCCTCTGACGAAGCCTTTACAGATCCTCGGTTCTGAGGCCCGTGTGCGTCGGGAGTCAGGAGGTTCTAATTAACTAATGCTGTTCTAATAGGATCAGACTTCAGCACCGGACAGCGGCGTCTCAAACTAAACCGTCACTTCTCTGATAATGTTCTGTTTACCCATAATCAAAAACAAACCAAGTGGTTAAAAATAATTTGTGTAATAAGTTATTGTTAGAAAAAATGACATCGCTTCAAGGAGTGAACATTAAAGGGTTCAGTGCCCAAAAAGAGGTGCCGGTTTTCGGGGGTTTTTTACCCAGAGGAATGTTTTTAATGCAACAGGTTTTTTTTTACAACTGTCAACAGACAAACTTATAGAAAATAAATAATATATCAGAGAGATAGATAGACACTATATTGATCCCTGTTGGAGAAATGCAGGTGTCCAGTAGCAGCAAAAACACATCCATTCACACAAACAAAACAAATACATTGATCATTCTAAAAAGCAACAGTAGTGATAATAACAAGAGTCCTTCAGCAGCTGCTCTGCCCCAAAGTTCAATGATAAAGGCTTCATTAGCATTTTTCATAAAGTTAGCATTCCTCCAGTGGATTTTCTCCTGATCCACATGGTTCAGACCATGAATCCTCTCTGCTCTGGTCTGGACCAGTGTAAAACCATGAATCCTCTCTGCTCTGGTCTGGACCAGTGTAAAACCATGAACACTGAACTGCAGCAACATCTCAAGTAGAAAAAAATGAGAGAAAGAAAACAATTAAACAGCACAAAACAGTTCAGTCTTTGTGAAAGTACATTCATATAAAACACCACTGTCTCGGCAAATGCAACGTTTGGCTTTAATCTTGGCCCGTTTCAGGCGAGATTTCCCTTCATCAGAGATAAAGAAAACAGGCTCCACACCCGTTTATATGAACACAGTGATTACAGGTCATCAATAAAATGTGTGTAACTGCCATGACATGTGATGACAAGGAACCTCAGCACACACACACACACACACACACATATATACATTATTTACACGGTACAGAGTTGGTCCTGGAGGATTGACCCGTAACCCCTGAGATAGAAGTGTAATAATGTCCAGGTGAACCAAGTCTATACACTTTAGAATCTAGATTTTATAATAAACACACTATACTAAAGTAGAGGTAGCACTCAGAGGAAGATTATATAAAAGTCCAGTTCTGACATTGCAGAATCAGCAGCAGCCATTTCCGTGCACAGAGGAAAAACAATCTGATTTGTAATTTCCAGGCCACACTGAAACAGCTCTGAGCGTGACGTTATGTGGAGATGAATCAGAGTTTATCAGGTTTACAGTGTGTTTACAGTGAGCTTCACACACACTCTGGAGACACTCATGGAAAATAAGCAGAAAAATGCTCAAATTTGGCAAAATATGTCTCAATCTGAGAACATTCTCCGATTCTTCAACCGGACAACGCAAAATGATCTGGTTTTGAAGATACAGAAATGTGTCTTTAAGAATGAGAAAATTAAGCAAAATCAGACTAAATGACTTTGTCCCGTTGGAGAATGGTTTGCACACAGTCAGAATGTGTCAGATTAAGATAAAATCACTCAATTCAATCATTTATTACCTCATACATGTATTTTATCATTTCTTTGCAGTGTAGTCCTGGATCTGAAATCTGAAACCTCACTGACTCTGGGCCTGTGATTGAAAGAACAGTGTTGGAAACAGAAATCAAACGATGTACAGATCCAATATTTTTTAAGTTTAAATGTGCATAAACTGCAGCTGAATTTAAGAGAAACTTTTGTCCTTGTATACTCTGCAAAAAATGATAAAATATGAGGTAATAAATGTAAGAATCGAGTGTTTTTTTCTTTATCTGAGCACATTCTGACTGTGTTAAAACAGGCGGCAGAGTGGTTAGCATTCTCACTACTCAGTAAGTACGTAAGCTTTATTTATATAGCGCCTTTCACAGACCTGAGTCACAAAGCGGTTTACAATTGTTTTTTTTGGGCACTTGTCTCTCACTCCTCACAGAGACGGGAGCGGGGCCAGTACAGGAGGCACAGGCCAGACCTGTTGTACATGTTTTTAGGGGTAGGGGAAACCGGAGTACCTGGAGGAAACCTACGCAGACACGGGGAGAACATGCAAACTCCACTCAGAAAGGCCCTGGTCCGACCGGGATTCGAACCCAGGACCTTCTTGCTGAGAGGCAAGAGTGCTATCCACTCAGCCACCGTGCCGCCCCCTTTTTTTTCAAAAAGACGGTCCTGGATTCGGATCGTGGTCAGAACAGGGGCCTTTCTTTGTGGAGTTTGCATGTTCTCCCCGTGAAAAAAACGCTAAAAACATCCACGATATAGTGCTGAATGTGTGAATGTGTGAAGCAATATCTATATAACATCGTAAAGTGCTTTGGGCGACCTTGGTCTGTAAAAATGTGCTATATAAGAAAAGATGCCTCACTGACAATACACAATAGATCGAGTATTGTGTAGAATAAGGCCCTGGCTGTTCTGAATCAACCGCAAAACGTTTCCCAAGCTCACTTTGTTGTGGACATTTAGAAAACAACAAGACTGAAAATACAGAAGTCGACCTCTTGTTTGACGACGTTCTATTCAAGGCAAATACTCTTCATCATCAGCTTCTTTTAACCAATAAAAAGGAGATCTCTGAAGAACAACTTCTGAGATCTCTGAAGAACAAGACACACTTCCTGTTTGAGAAAGTGACAATACAACCCAGGACAAAGTGACGTAACCACATCTAGATTTTTGATAAATACTCATGAACACATTTTAATTTCACTCTGCAGTCGTTCTAGAATTATCCGAGTCATAAAACCACTTCTCAGCTTTCTGTCTACGTCTGAGTCTAATCTACAAGTAAGTGAGTAACAGTTATTTATATAGCGCCTTTCACAGACCAGAGTCACAAAGCACTTTACTGTTGTGGGCGTTAGTCTCTCACTCCACAGAAAGACACATGCCAGACCTACTGTACATGTTTTTAGTGGTAGGGGAAACCGGAGCACCTGGAGGAAACCTATGCAGACACAGGGAGAACATGCAATCTCCACTCAGAGTTAGATGACTAAGAGTTAAAGCCTACCACTGTTTCAACAATGGATTAACTTAATGTTTATAGGAGGATTTTCTACTTCCGGGTAGATCATTAAGACGATTGGTCCTCCCAACTGTCAATCATTCTGGTGACACGTGCTCGTCCAATAAGAACAGAGAGTTTTGTTCGAAAATGGGAGAGAGAAGTTTGTGGAAATCCTCCTATAAACCTTTAAGACAGACGTGTCAGACTCACATTTTTAGTGTTGCTTAAAATTATTTTCAATTTTTATCATTATTATCAACTTGCAGCTTTGATGGTGAAGAGCGACCATGGCATGTTATACATCATTTATACTCTCAGGAAAACCACCACATTTGACTTCATTCTAAAATATTTAACCAACAACATCAGTAGAAGTTGAATAGTTAAAGAAGCAGTCTGTGAACATGTGGCCAAAAGTGGTACTGCAGCCTCTCCCACTCTCCCTGACTCAGGTTGCCAGATATGCAGACGAATCCAGCTGGGACCATAACAGCTGAATAGACAAGAGTTTTGTCAACAACAAATCTATAACCAACACCTTTTTCACAAAGATAGAAATCCTGGTTTTATTCCTTGTTTTGTCGTTAATGATTTGAGAATTATAACGAGACCTTGTTTAGTTCTGCGCCACATGGTACTTTACCAGTGAGATTAGCTCCACATGGTACTTTACCAGTGAGATTAGCTCCACATGGTACTTTACCAGTGAGATTAGCTCCACGCTGTAGGAATGAGGAGCACACAACACAACAACAAGACACTGGTGGTTTTTATCTTAATCTGACACATTCTGACTGTGTTAAAACTATTCTCCAACGGGACAAAGTCTGATTTCTGGAACTGTTGCTTTATTTTCTCATTCTAAGCGACACATTTCTGTATATTTTTAAAACAACATAATTTTTCTTTGTCCCATTTGAGAATCTTGTTTAAGGCTCAGTCAGAATGTGCTAAGATTATGTAACTACAGTAAGCTTCAAACTGCGCCTTTCACAGACTGTGGCCCAAAAGCAGGTTAAACTAGATTATACACAATTTAGATTAAAACAAAACATTTTTTTAAAAACATTTAGCATTTTTAAGATGATTTTTCATCACCTTTCTGCCGTGTAACTCTACACCAGCGGTCTCCAACCTTTTTCAATCAGAGAGCTACTTTTATACAACAGAAGAGGCAGAGAGCTACTACTTTTTTTGCAGTCGTTATACAATTCTGTGCATTAATGAAGACAAGAGAGAACACACATGAAGAACACATATATACCATAATACTTATATTTTTACTTATAATAGACATGTAATAACTCATAATTCATCCAGGATAAGGTGTTGGATTCTAAATCATTTCGGGAGCTACCTGGAAAGGGCTGGCGAGCTACTGGTAGCTCCTGAGCCATCGGTTGGAGACCCCTGCTCTAAACTAACATTAAAGGAAATAAAAAATCCCGCACTCATCTCTATCTTTAGTCTAAAGTCTGTCTTACCGTTCCGCAGAGACCCCAGTTGTTGCTGTACGTTGTGTTGGCGAGTCCAAAGTCTGTCTCTGTCCCGCTTCTTCTAAACCGAGCTCGGAAATAAAAGAGGGCCTTAGAGAGCGGAGCCAACGGGAACAGCGGCCGCGGCGTAAGAGGATTTGGGAATTAGCGTCCTCTGCTCTTGATATAGATCCGACGCTGCTGTGCGAGACTAAAATACAGAAACTCCAAACTGTACTTGTGTCTTTTGACCCGGGCCTGTAACCGCGGCAACCGGAGACCGTGGCGTTATGCAAAAAGGGTTCTTATCAGGGAGAACACATGACCGGGACTGGGTTTAGCTCCGGGGCCCGGCGGAGTCTGGCGATCACAAGGTTTATATTATTTGGAGCACAGACCTCTGCTCTGTGTTCTCTGAGAGCCGAGATGGAATTATGGAGAGTGGAGTTTGTAAAGTCTCAGGTTTCCCGACGATAAATCCACTTTACAGGAGCGAGAAGAGGTGACGGTGTGACGCATCGTAGCTGTAGAAAAGAAGGGGCTATAGAGTTAGTACGTTAAATACATCAGAGCCAAAATAACTAATTCAGTTTATTTCAAAGAGAACAATGAAATTCAATGTATTTATTTATAATCTTTTTGGTTGGGACAGTACATGTTCATGAACACATCACTCTGGATCGTAAAAAGACAGAATAATCCAAGGGGGCTATTTTTTATCTGTAGTCCCCTCGCCATGGTGTTATAAAGCCAGAAAAATACATTTAAAACTATTAAAACACATTAAAATGATGCATAAAACCTGTTGAACCAAGACCTAACACAGTGGATTCTATTTTATTTAATGATTAAATAAGTAAGAAAGAAAAGTGTATTTATTTTGCGCCGTTCACAGACCAGGATCACAGTATACAAAGTTCTCATACAAGTCAGTTCCAGAAACACAGAGTCTGGATCCAGTGGTTTTGTGGCTCTGTCTGTGTGAAAACAGCCTCACAGACAAAACCAAACGTCCTTCAGAGAGAAAACACACACGTCCTGAACCATAAATGAATGATCCAATATCTGCTTATGGTTCTAATACTGGTCAAATATGATCCCAGGGGCCGAGGTCATTCATTCGTGGGCCACAAAAGGAAATCTCTTCTTTTGTTTCGGTTCCAACCAGTTCCTATGTTTTTATCCGGCCCCTGACCAGAATGAGTTTGACACCCGTGGCTTAGACGGTTCTTATAATGAGACCAAAGTGTAGAGAAGATGGTCCTGCTGCTCTGACCCCAAACGGATGAAGGAGAAGATGAAGATGGCTGGATGATGGTCTCTGCTCCGTATGGACCAATGCCTCTGTGTGTTTTTATCAGTACATTTCTTGTCTTTGAACTGTTTGATTCTCTGATCTGTGTTGGCAAATTGACAGCTTTGATGGTCTGAATCCAGCCAGTGTCTGTGCTTTGAATGCTGCCTTTGCGACCCGGCAACGGATAAAGCGGGAGAAAAAATGATGAATGAATGGATGGATTAGCGGGAGAGCTGGTCTAGGCCTTTCTCTGTCACACAATCACACAGACATCATTCACTGTTATTTCCGTATAACTGCGTTTTCAGGCTTTTGGGCCCGGAGCAGACTCGGTCGTCACGGTAACGTAAAAAAAAAAAAACCCTGTCCGGTTACAGCGTGAAATGTATTCATAAAGCAGCATTCATGAAGAAGCAACAGAAAAACAATGTGAGTATTTTCTATCCGCTAAATGACGCGTGAATTTAGGCCCTTAGGACAAAGACGCAGAACCCAACCCAGGACACTTTCTATACCGAGACCTGGCTTCACATCGATGTTCCCCTGATTGTTTTGCTTTTGTCTTTTTCATGTAAAATTTGGGAAAAACGTTAGCGCCTAAAGACTTAATCATCTGTGAACCTGTGTCTTGATGGGGCATTGAATATATTTTGACAAATTAGACATATTTGGGTTATGGTTGGTTTTCTAGTCTAGGAGTCTCCAACCTATAGCTCGATAACTCCCAACGTGACATTTTTTTGAGTGAATATAAAAACTGTCTACTTTTTGTACTCATAAATGACAGATTATTTTACGGGAATATGGCTACCCAAGAAAAAAATCCCCAAAAAAAATAGTAATTGTTTACATTGATTAGATCCCAGTTTGTGGATTTAAAGTAGAAGAAGTGGAGACTTGTCTCGTGGAAAGATTGGATTTTGTACAGTGCATCTATAAAATCAAAACAGTGAGACAGAGTTTGGAAAGTGTGAGGTGCGTTTGCCAGAAAGTGACATTTATCCTGCGTCAGAAAGTGCCCTGACGAGGCATTAGCCCAGTTGGCCTCCGTAATGTGAGCTTAGCGCTGGTTTTAGACGCCTCGACAGGACGGACCCACGGCCTGATGGCTCTGAGTCATGTGACCTGCTGAGTTGCGTCACTGCGGCTGTAGCCAAAGGTCCTGATGTGATGGAGACTTAAAGGAGCAGTCTGTAAAAATGCAGCCTCTCCCACTCTCCCTGACTCAGGTTGCCAGGAAAAGTAATTTAGAAATCCAAATATTGGAAAAGAGCAGTTTATTATTATGACAGATTAGGGCCCTTTAATGTCTGTCTGTGACCTCCTCTCTCTGACTCCTGCCCTGTTTGTCTGTGACCTGCACGATTAGCTTAAAGGCTTAGAGGAGTTTAATTTGGACACAGGCGGTGTGTGTGTCATTGTCTCTTCTCTCTCTCCGCTCGGATGCTTCCAAATCTGAAACAGCAGATTATTCAGATCCTTCACTGCAGCCAATCACCATCCTCAGAAACCCGTGGCTTCTCTTGTGATGTCACAGCACAATGCATTTACATGGAGTCCATTCTAAACCATGCCAGGACGACAGGAGAATGAATAGTAGAAGTGTGATGTGATGATTTGTTGCTGTTGCCATAGAAGAACGTTAGTCAAATTGTAATGAATATGATGATTAGAGCTGTTTGGCACCCCATGTAAAACTTTGCCTCAATCTGTAGGGGGCGCTAATGGGCCAATTTCAAATATTTCACTTTCACCTGACCTAAACCCTGGAGTTGAACATTGTATTCAAGTTTTGTGCAAATCAGAATTTGTTTGTGCAAACGGGAGAAAATTTAATGTTGTCAAAAACAGCCAAAAAACACTCACATTTTGCTGCTCCGCTGCTCAAACTATGTTTCACTGATCAAAAATCCCTGAGGTCATTTTGAAGGTACATGTGTTGAGATGATGTGGAGCAATTTTGAGGCAAATCGGTGAAACGGTCGAGGAGGAGAAGATTTACAAACGACATGTATGAAAATTATTGCGGATCATTTTTCCATTTTGCAGTGAAATATATGGGCTTCCTGTTTGTCAGGGGGCGGAGCCATGGTAACATTTCGGTCGTATCTTGACTTGAGGAACATGTGTACCAAATTTCATGGCGCTTCAACAAACTTGACCTCTGAAACTCCCATTGGCTGTTGTAGGTGGCGCTGTTCTGGCATTTTTTGAGTCCCATAAAAATAAACACCAAAATATAAACTTTTTCACCAAGTCTGATGTTTGAGCAAAATTTTACAACTTTTCATGCATGTTCAGGGGGTGAAATTAAGGCTCAAAGTGCAGAATTTGACATCTCTCGAGCAAAAACTAATAATAACACAAACAACCCGCCGCAAAGATTCACTTTTCACCTTCGCTCGGTCGTTTCCAATCTCCATAAAAAGCTGCAATTCTTTTCCATCTTTAACGTGAAATCTATTGTGTCTAAAACCTGTTGCATTTAGTCCAAACACTTAGATTTGATCCAAATTGAGTGAAGAAAGCTTAGTTTTGCGATACGTTTTTACCGCTGTGAGCCATTAAAACGAACGATTCACCAACCATTCACACACACACCAGACTCATTGTAATGTGAGGGAAGTGTTTTGCCTAAGGACACAACCACAGTTTGGCACTTTAAAGCTGCGGCCGCCCCACTGCGGCTCCTGCTGTTCCCAGAGGTCTCCCATCACAGCACTAACCAGGGCCTGGGGCTGGAGCTGGAGCAAGTCCCGGTCTGAGCTTCCTGCTGCAGTGCATAAACCGTCCACTAGAGGTCAGACTTCTGCCTCTTTCACAGACCCGTAGTAGTGCTGGTTAGAGTTAATTTGATTGATTTGAGTTGTTTTTAGTGAGAAAATGGAAATGCACATCTGCCTAGTGTAGCATCATAATCCATATATCTGTTACTTCAACAAAAGAGAAAATCTGTAAGAATCTGGCCATACTGAGCAAAGTAAAGTATCCGTTCAATTGGACAATGTGAACTCTATACTGTTGATCCAATCATATTATATGTATTGCCTTGAAGTCTGGGGCAACTCCTACAACACTAATTTAATACCTTTAGTCATTCTACAAAAACAAGCTTTTCAAAAAATACACAAAACTGCTCCAAGAGAACACACAACTGAACTGTCAGGACTGTTAAACACGAAAGATGTAATTCTATTATTGATTATGTTCAGAGCTCGACATTATTTATTGCCCTGTGGTCTTCAAATGTTTGTCTCTGTAAACGATGAAATCAGCAGAAGGAATCTGGATTTTAAAATGTCTTTTGCAAGAACAACACTCAAACAAATATCCTTCTCATGTGCTGGTGTAAAACTATGGAACTCTGTGGACAATGAACTTAAAACATGGTCAAATAAATTACATTTTGAGTTTAAATGTAAACAAAAATGATAAATACTATGTAAAATGAAGAGAGAAATAGTATTGTATTTGTATTAGTTGTATTTGTTGCTTTTGACATGAAGCCATCTATGTTTGTAAATAAATATAAACGGGTAAATAAATATTTATCTCAAGATCATGTTCAGAGACAGAAAGAACACAGATAATTCCATAAACGATGCCAGTTCCTGTTGTAGCAGTCACCTTTGCCCTTGCAGGTGTGAGAGGAGGATGCAGGAGCTGGAAATCCCCGGAACTACGGCAGAGAAACTCATGTTGTTGTGAGACGAAGGTAAACGAGGAGAGGAAGCAGGCTATTTTTAAATCCTTTTCCAAACGACACAAAGGTTTTCAGTGTAAATACGTTTCTGCAAGTCGCCCTCATGAGCCGCCGCCGCCTCGTCTCGGTCGCTCCACTGCCGTTGTTCAAGCAGAAGGAGTGGGAGGCGAATGGAAAACAGGGCTAGAATTATTATTATTATTAGTTTATTTGATATGGACATATCAACTGCATTGGACAAACCAGATACATTGTTTCAAGTGTTATAGCAAAACTGCTAATTTGCAACACCTGTCCATAGGAGGACAGAATCTATACAGCAATGACTGAAACACGTTATTAGAATAAGATTGTGTTTTCTTCATGGTTAAACATTTTTCAAATTCAATATCTGTAAAAACCAAAATGCCCATGGCAGACTAAATTCATGTTATCCAGAAAAACACCGGGGCTTGGAGTAAAGCCACAACATCTTTGCTTCAATGACATTTACTAAACATTCCTCTTGCTCCGGCTTCAGTTTCTTGATATTTGGATCGAACCAGAACAGATTATTTTACTATCGCATTCTCCGACAAACTACAACCAGCAAATTCAGCACAAACTCTTGACGTCACCGACACCAACCTACAAGACCCGCCTCCCCCGCTCTCTGATTGGTCGGATTCAACCGAGGAAACTGCAGCCACTAGGATCAGACCCAGACGTACATGTAGGAGATGACCATGGACCAGAGTTTACACATGGTAAGACCAGACGTACATGTAGGAGATGACCATGGACCAGAGGTTACACATGGTAAGACCAGACGTACATGTAGGAGATGATCATGGACCAGAGGTTACACATGGTAAGACCAGACGTACATGTAGGAAATGATCATGGACCAGAGGTTACACATGGTAAGACCAGACGTACATGTAGGAAATGATCATGGACCAGAGTTTACACATGGTAAGACCAGACGTACATGTAGGAAATGATCATGGACCAGAGGTTACACATGGTAAGACCAGACGTACATGTAGGAGATGATCATGGACCAGAGGTTACACATGGTAAGACCAGACGTACATGTAGGAAATGATCATGGACCAGAGGTTACACATGGTAAGACCAGACGTACATGTAGGAAATGATCATGGACCAGAGTTTACACATGGTAAGACCAGAGGTACATGTAGGAGATGATCATGGACCAGAGTTTACACATGGTAAGACCAGACGTACATGTAGGAGATGATCATGGACCAGAGTTTACACATGGTAAGACCAGACGTACATGTAGGAGATGATCATGGACCAGAGGTTACACATGGTAAGACCAGACGTACATGTAGGAAATGATCATGGACCAGAGTTTACACATGGTAAGACCAGACGTACATGTAGGAAATGATCATGGACCAGAGGTTACACATGGTAAGACCAGACGTACATGTAGGAGATGATCATGGACCAGAGGTTACACATGGTAAGACCAGACGTACATGTAGGAAATGATCATGGACCAGAGTTTACACATGGTAAGACCAGACGTACATGTAGGAAATGATCATGGACCAGAGGTTACATATGGTAAGACCAGACGTACATGTAGGAGATGATCATGGACCAGAGGTTACACATGGTAAGACCAGACGTACATGTAGGAAATGATCATGGACCAGAGGTTACACATGGTAAGACCAGACGTACATGTAGGAAATGATCATTGACCAGAGTTTACACATGGTAAGACCAGACGTACATGTAGGAAATGATCATGGACCAGAGGTTACACATGGTAAGACCAGACGTACATGTAGGAAATGATCATGGACCAGAGGTTACACATGGTAAGACCAGACGTACATGTAGGAAATGATCATTGACCAGAGTTTACACATGGTAAGACCAGACGTACATGTAGGAAATGATCATGGACCAGAGTTTACACATGGTAAGACCAGACGTACATGTAGGAAATGATCATTGACCAGAGTTTACACATGGTAAGACCAGACGTACATGTAGGAGATGATCATGGACCAGAGGTTACACATGGTAAGACCAGACGTACATGTAGGAAATGATCATGGACCAGAGTTTACACATGGTAAGACCAGACGTACATGTAGGAAATGATCATGGACCAGACTTTACACATGGTAAGACCAGACGTACATGTAGGAAATGACCATGGACCAGAGTTTACACATGGTAAGACCAGACGTACATGTAGGAGATGACCATGGACCAGAGTTTACACATGGTAAGACCAGACGTACATGTAGGAAATGATCATGGACCAGAGTTTACACATGGTAAGACCAGACGTACATGTAGGAAATGATTATGGACCAGTGTTTACACATGGTAAGACCAGACGTACATGTAGGAAATGACCATGGACCAGAGTTTACACATGGTAAGACCAGACGTACATGTAGGAAATGACCATGGACCAGAGTTTACACATGGTAAGACCAGACGTACATGTAGGAGATGACCATGGACCAGGGTTTACACATGGTAAGACCAGACGTACATGTAGGAAATGATCATGGACCAGAGTTTACACATGGTAAGACCAGACGTACATGTAGGAAATGATCATGGACCAGAGTTTACACATGGTAAGACCAGACGTACATGTAGGAAATGACCATGGACCAGAGTTTACACATGGTAAGACCAGACGTACATGTAGGAAATGACCATGGACCAGACTTTACACCAGTGGGGGCGGGTACCGGCTCAAAAGTGTCCAAAATGACGTGCGCTGACATGCTGCAATACCACCCCGGGCCTGTGGGGGTGGACCCAGAAGTAGAATTAGCCAATGCTAACATATAGCATCGGCAGACCTCTTGAAAACGTCTTTACAGGATGGTCCAAAAGTTGTCTCTTGGCCCAAAGCTCCGTTCCACATGTGTGTCAATGCTGAGGGAGGTGTTTTGGTCCAGTCTAGTTTAGTCGCTGTGGACTTTAGAAGTCTCTCGTTCAAATAAATGGAGTTGCGCCGGCTGACGCATGCGCAGATGCGTTTTTTCACAGTTTTCTTGTGGGCGGGACCACTCGCGGCCATTTTTGATTGCTCCAGTAGAGCACATTGTTTGGCCCATTAGTTAGAACGGCGGAGATAGGCCTGACTCTGTCCGTTAATATATACAGTCTATGGTTTACACATGGTAAGACCTTTCTGACCCACTGCAGTCGTTCTGACACCTCCTCCACACATGACTCCATCAAAGCACCTCCAGACACAGTCCTTGCATAATAAATGTGAGATTCCCCTTTTCTTTGTTGCTTTTGTGTGAGCAGATGAACCACATTCTTACTGTAACAGACACAGTTTCACAGAGAGACCGACTGCAGGAGTCACGGGTTCCAGTCCCGGTCTCGCACACGGGTCTGGACTCGTGGCTCTGCAGATGCGTGGGGGCAGCTCCGGCACTTCCTGATACTTCCCCAACAGGTAAAAGTGGCTCGAGAGGGCAATATTTGCAAAGTGAGTCAGTCTCCGCAGCATTCTTCAGATAAGAGGAACCGCAGCTACTGATAACCTCTGTGAGAATGAGCAAAACACAGAAACCACAAAAACTATTTTTAACAATGAGACGGAGTGGGTTGAAAAGTACCTCCAAAGTGAAAGATGTGACGTCACTCCTGGCTTTGACACTAGAAATCTGAAACTACTATAACTCCCAGATCCGCCATTTTGACTGCTATCACTCAAACCAATGGATTCTAAAAAATAAAAAATATAATAAAAAATAAACGACAAATTTTTGTTTTTTTGCCAGATTCATGAAAAGAAAGTAATTCATAATGGAATGGGTTTTTTTTTTACCTTTTATTGACTTTTACTCAGTGCTAGAACTGGTGGGTATAAATTATGTAGCAGACAAGGCTAATGCTAACTTATGACGGTAAGCATTGTGTTGCTATGGTAACTAGCCCTTGATATTCTTTGGTGGGAAATGAGATATAGGTAGAATTCCTCACATTTCCAAAATAAAATATTCTTTCATAAAAACAAATGATGAGTAATCAAACTCCCAAAACCGTCAAATTGACTGCTCTGGGAGTTCTAGTGTTAAAGCTGGGGTACCTGACTTTTTTGATGCATTTGATTTGTCCCACAAAGTAAAATGTCAGACCACAACTTGCTGCATTAATCCAATTTCACAAACATTTAAATCATTTTCAGACTATAGAAGATTTTTTTGGAACTTGTAAGAAAAAGCCCGAGGTCTGAAAAGCAGAGATAGAAACATAATCTGTGAAATGATTATGATGCATTGTTTTTCCGGGGCCTCTTATCTCCTGGATGTGGTCCCGGCTGCAGAGGTCTGAGGTTTTCCTCCCACACATGCTAACGCTAACCGCATCCCGAGCTTCTAACGTCCACTGACCTCGTACAGTTCAATCTGGACACACTCCGTCAGGTCATCACACAGATTACAGGTCAGAAGATAAGATAGAGATCCTTTCATTTGTCCAACGGTGGGGAAATGTCAGTGTTGCAGCGCACAGACAGGACAGAAGTAAGAGCTCACAGGGAGCATACAACACATACAAAATAAGTGAGTAGCAGCTTTTTTCCCTATAGAGCAGGAGTTATATACTGTACATATAGACAGGAGTTATATACTGTACATATAGACAGGAGTTATATACTGTACATATAGACAGGAGTTATATACTGTACATATAGGACAGAGTTATATAGTGTACATATAGGACAGGAGTTATATACTGTACATATAGGACAGGAGGGTTATATACTGTACATATAGAGCAGAGTATATATACTGAGACAGTTTTTTTTTTTCCTCGCTTACTGTCAGTGTGCCCCAGGGGCAGATGTGGCAACAGTAATTAATTTATCAACCACCGTGAGTGAAAGATATATGTCATGTGAAGAGTTTTTTGAGTGTCCCTGAAAAGCGCTGTGTAAAACCAAATGTATTATTTTAAAACATTTTTAAATCAGACCATGTTATAATATTAGATTAACGATTAGATTGATTGTTTTCAGTACCTCACACACAGAAACCCAAACATAAATACATCTACAAGTATCAACATTTGAAACACACCTCCACCCATTCAATGTTGTCGGTATTGATCTCTGCTGACTTTAAAAAACCCGTGAGTCGCTATTTTGAACCTTTGGTTTTCGGCTAGAGCTATTGGCTAAGAAATCATGGTACCTCTTTGTTTCGAAAAGCTGTCGAAAGATGCAAAACAGATGTGAACAGTGTATAAGCAAAAACAAATCAAACAGCAGAACAATGCCATTGGAAACTAGATTTAAAAAAACGTCAATTTTGTATCAATCTATTTTATGGCCCATACAGATAAGTTTCACCCCTTCTTGACAAAAGTGCTTCAAAATTGGAGTGGAGTGGAATAGATCTTAATTCGATAGAATCAGAATAAATCATTTTTATTGTAATAACTAGAGTCACAGACTTGGAAATTCGCTTTTGACTCGGATAAACCCTAACCCTGGGATACGTAATTGATCCTTCCGTACTGAAGGCATGTTCCATAGCACAAAATAAAAAGTAAAATTGATCATTCTAAAAAGCTAACAATAAAAATCTCAACAACATTCCTGCAGGTCACAGCAGCAGAGTCGAGTACATAGTTTATATTTTCGGTCCAAAAAGTCAAGTGACTCCAAACCTCCACTTATTTACATTAAAAACTAAGCGTGGTCCTTATCCATCCGAACACTCATCAGTCAATCACATTACACTGCATGTAAACGTCTGGGTCTGGTCCCTCCTCGTTAAATCCATTCCGAACCAATCAGAGAGCGCGGGTGTTGTAGTTAGAATGTGGTAACGCAAAGCGTTGGCGCCGAACGTGCAGGTTGTCAGTTTGGCGAAGAATGCGATAGTAAAGTATTCTGTCTGGGTTCTTCAAGAAACTGAAGCCGGAGCAAATGAACGTATAGCAAATGTAAGCGCCACTCCCCACGGCTTTCGTTAGCAGCAAAGGAGATGGCTAAAGCAAGGCTAAATGCTAATACTAACGACTCACTCGGCCTCATTACAACGTCACGGTACAGCTCAGATCCAATCGTTTCAATCTGCAAAAGGAGTTAACCCTCCCACCTGTTAACGAGTCAATGGCACAAATCCAAGACCTAGATGAATTTAATTGTTCTATGGTGGTACACCAGGCTAACATATATGGTGTTTAAACAGATCTCCAAATCATTAACGTGTTTCGTCTGTTGTCTCCATAATATCGAGTATAATGCAGCTTAGAGCGCAGAGATTGGTTTGAAAGAACTACACATATATATTTTTTCTTTTGGATAGAAAAATACTTTAGAGCAAGATTAAAGAAACTGTGCTCGAGGTGTCCGGTGAATAGCATAACATGACCACCGGGCTCATTACAGCCCAGCCTTCATTCCACGGCTATAGCTCCCATTAAAGTCTCACCCAAAGCAGGAGAGCACAGCTATCTCATACGAAACCTCCAAAATCCCTGCAAAACGAGAACTGAGCTGGCAATCAGCAGTCACACTTAATATTCTGACTTCAAAATAGCTGCCGTATTTTCGATTATCTTATTAAATTGCAGTTTTGTTGTTGGTATCAGTTTGTCGGGGGGTGTGTTTATACTCTACGCGACTTATAGTAAATTATTAAATATTTTGTTTTAAATGTGTGTTCTTTATTTATCTAAAAAATAAAATAAAAATAAAAATAGCCCGAGGTTATTAGTTGAGCGATAAGCTGAAAATCCATATTGTTCTGTTTCCATTGTGCAATTTAAGGACTGTTTTGTTGTAAAAATAGACAATTTTTTTACCTACATTTTTGCTCCTTCGCTATATGAAAACTGCATCTCACAGAACATTTGCATAATTCACAGTTAAATTGACCCAAGATCAAATAACTATTCTGTGGAGTTAATTTTATCAAAGAAATTTACCCAAAACAATACACTTGTATATGTTTTTTATCCTTCCTATAATGCATTTTTTGGTCCTTCGCCAAACTCAGTAACACCGAGGCCCCCTTAAAAATCTGAACGGGTCTGCGTGGCCCCCCAAAATAATAACCAAGAAGACAACATTTAGAGAATATGCTCTTCTGGTTATTTTATTTTGGGAAATAGCCTCTGCTACAAACATTGTAATACAAAAATGATTACAGTGGATTATTCAAGTCAAATAATGAACTCAAATATTTTATATTACAAACAAAACATTATAAATTTAACATTAAATAATTATATATTTATTTTTTTTTTTTTATGACCTCCCGCGGACCCCCCCTGCAGTACCCTCGGCGGCCCACCATACACCAGGGGGCCGCGTGACCCCGCGGACCCTGTACAACCCATCATTCATCGGTGTAATTACTGTATATGCATCTCTTGGTATCCGGTTCAAGAGATGTCCAAGACCTTGGATCATTATAATAACTGAAGGGTAATACTTAGCTTGGAAAGCTTAAGAACCATGTCTCAGGGGACCTCTCGCGTAGTTTTTAGCAGACTAGAACCAGACTAAATTCTTGTGACTATACCCAGAAACTTGTTCCCCATAAGATCTCATGAAAACTAAAACAGCTTCGACCTCGAGTTCCAGAGACCCTGACGAGAACCTAACAGAGAACTCCAGCATCATAAAGGTCGGATTTTGTGGGGATTTTAGTGTTCCTTCGTCATCCTGAACTTTTTTACTTCTTAAATCCTTCGTTTTCTTTAAATCCACATCTTTACCCGCGACAAACTCTGCCCTTCTGGCTCCCGCTCTGAGATGGTCAGATCCGTCGAGCCCTGCTGTGCAACTGCATGAAACCAACACCATATTTGGCGCAAAGACATGATGGGAATCACCACTCCGCTGAAACCAGGAGGACCAGACGAACCCCCACATACTGCCAGTTCCATGGATCTTTGAAGTTCCAGCGAGTTCCGCAATCTGTCGACCCCGTGCAGCCGCACACATGCGCCACTGAGCACAACCATCATTTGAACTCGACATCGCGCCATCTTGGCTCCCGGGGCTTGGGCAAGTAAACTTAACCCCACTTTGCCTTAAGCCCCCCGTGAAGAGACCAAGGCTCCTGTGGACTCATCAGCTGCAGGAACGATCAGGGCTGGTGCCTGTGACCTGGGGGCAGATCTGACTGAAATGGATTAAGAAGAAAAGGATGAATGTATTGCTTCACAAATAGAGGGACATGTCTTTAAAAATACAAGGTCTGTATAAGTGGTGTCCGCTGTTTTTTTCCCTACTCCTGCTTGTGTCCTTTATGTTTGCACCATTGAGTTCAAATCAACTGCAAGTGTCTTACCTGTTTCTGTGTAAGTCACTCTGGTACATGCTTGGATCATGTCCTAGAATGTACGTCTGGTCTTACCATGTCCATGTCATTTCCTAAACGTCTGGTCTTACCATGTGTAAACTCTGGTCCATGGTCATTTCCTACATGTACGTCTGGTCTTACCATGTGTAAACTCTGGTCCATGATCATTTCCTACATGTACGTC